TTTAATTTCAATTTTCGTGTTATTTGCACTTGGAGACATGTAATTGACAACTGTAGTAACTTGCATTGTCCATTACTATCACACTATTTTGAGGAAAGTTAGGTATAAGACAATTCTTAAACCATTGCTCAAAAAGCTCTGCCATTGTATCCTCATGGTAGTCCACGCAGGAGTCTTTAATGTTCTTTGCAGAAAGCCATAAGGCATTTGGGACCCAACCATTTTCTAATCCTGCATGTAAAATTGTTATTATTTTCCCTTTGTTAGATGGAGCTTTTGTTTGACACCTGTTGGAAGAATCGGACCATCCTTTGGATGGTGTTTCATGAGTTTCAAACCATGTCTCGTCCAGATAAACTATTTGTTGATCTTCTGTACGGTACTTTCTTATGGAAGTTATATATTCAGTACGCCACTTTTGTAAACGATGGGACTCCATAAGCACTTGCCTTTTGTCAATTGTACGATATCTGAAGCCCATTTTAGACAAAATCCTCCAAAGACTAATGCGGCTACAGTTTATTTGTGTATCATCATTAGTAAGCCGTTGTTTTAAAGCATCTAATGTAGGTATCCGTTGCTCTTCGTACATTGTGTAAATTTTTCGTCTTATTAAGTCCGTATCACTTTTGTCAATACATTTGCTGACATTTGGTAGAACCGGCATCCTTACGCTTCCTTCTTGACTTAATGGGATTTGATGTAATTCTTTTCACTGAGGTTAGAGGTATTTTCGTTAAATCAGATATTTCACTGGCAGCAGTAAGTCCTCTTGTAAGTAAAGAACTATATATATTGTTTTTTATGATTTCTCTAGCGTCAGCAGATAAATGCTTTTTCTTTGTTGGAACACTGGAAGAAGCACCATCAATGTTTTTCCACGGACGCCACATAATACTGTTTTATAGGTATAACACTGGTAACACTTTCAACTAAATGAAACAAAATGTATATTTAAAAATTTCTCATCGGTCTTATATACTTTTACAAATTATACAGAATAGAGGGAACCTGTATAATTATTCCAGGAAATACTTAACGATCAACAAATTTATTGTGGTCATTAAAAGATCAACCATTGATAGTGAAACTCACTGTTAAAATGTTTACAACTTTATGAAATAAAATGTATTCTAATCGTTTTTATAATTTTATACGATTTTTTAATCGTTTTTATATTACCAGGAATTTATGATACAAACAAGATAACGATACTCCACAGTAGCTTCAATTTTACCTGAATACTTACCTGCTCAACTAATGTTGACTAAGCTAGGGTACTTGCGGTAGGGTTTTATTGCAATCATTAAGCACTCAACCATTTTTCGTGAAATAAACTATACTAGTACTGACTGTTTGTGTTTATTTATTATGTTTTATAAAAGAACAACTTACTATAAACCGTGATATACGCATGACATCACAGAACTAGTTCTGTTCTGTATAGATGAGCGTTGAATCACCGAACTGTTTCATTCAACCGTTTATTTGTCGTTAACGAATCTACGGTTTCTCAGTGGGAAGCCAACTAGTTGATGTTGTTCTGAAGCTGAAATCTTTATTGATAGTTCGTTAAAGGATTTATTTATTGTAAATATTTAATTAAGAAGTATTTTTCATAGTTAAAATCATTTACCTAGTACAAGCGTAATAATTGTATTTTCAAAAAATGCACATTTGTAGAAGATGCAGTTTTATGCTCGACTTTTTGAATTTTGCAATGATCGATTATTTTTAATTTGAAATATTAACACATGATAGTCCCCGATTCACGTTTTATATTATTCAGCAAACATAATTTTTATTTGGAGTTGAATTTTGCCTAACGTAAATGTGAATTTATTCTGTGAGTACTGAATATTTACTTTATTAACTAATTGTGTTTAACATGTCTGCGCGTAAAGATGTTAGTATTTTATGGCATCATTTGAAAGACATTAACAGTGAGAAGACTGTATGAAATATTTGCAAAGAAAAACTTGGTTATAAATCAACTACAGTAAATTTGAAAAGCTGTTGCCAGTATTTCAGTATATTTTTCTTTGATTCAAGAAAGCATGTTTGTTTATGTACTCGCTTATTTGAAACTACTGTTAAACAATCAACCAATTAAATATTTTAATTATTTTTTCAACTTGTTACTTGTTTAAGAAAAGCGGTTCAGTTTCGTTAATGATAAAAACGTCAACCTCTATTGTTTTTCTCGTTACTACAGTGTCCTTACTTTAAGAACTCGACGTTGCCAAATAATTTTGTAAGCTTTTTTATTTTGGTGTCATACTGCAGTTTATTATTTTTATTGGGAATAAGGCACAATGTGACTTTAAAATAAGCTTATTTTGATGTTTAGATTTCCAATTCGGAAATCGTACTTATAGGAAACATTAATAAATTATATTTAAATAAAACGATTTCCGAAGTGGAAATCAAAATGTTAAATTCAACTTCTTGTAAAAGTAAATTGTGGCATATTTAAAGTAAAAAACAGTAAGTTGCCACATAAATCAATTCGCCCAAATTTGATTGTCTTAGAACGTTGTTAAAATGCAAAAAAGACAACAGATCAAATAAAACCAATAAGTTTGGCAACGATGAACTTCTCCTCTTTTCTTAGTTCCACTAATGCAGTTTCGATGATATAAAGGGCGGACCTAATATACCTCTCTCTTTTTAAATAGGTGTTTCTCACTCCATCTCACGTAAGGTACATACCGACCATAAGCTTTTACCTACACTGTATTTATATAATTCATTAATTAATATATATTTGAATGATTTGAGTGGATACATTGTTCTGTACTGGTAAGTGCTTAATTTACTGTACGTGAACCCCCGACATTTGGTTTTTGTCTCTGAGTACGTTGGAAACTTAAGTTCTCCATGACCAACAGCTTATCCGTTACCGCACCAGTCAACTATTTGTTCTACTCTAAGGTGTTGTATCCCATCAAATAAAACTACGCTAATAAAAAAAATTTATTCATAGTATGCATTAACCTTATAAATCAACGTCATTTTTCTGACAACATTCATATAAATTTTAAAAATGAAAAGAATAAGAGAGATAGTTTATTTCAAAAACAGATCCGCGGAAAATCGATAACTCAGTTCGTACCTATATATACAAATCAACAAACATATCTTAGATTTAGGGAATGACATTAAATAAGCATAAAAATACACAATCGGGCGTTACAAATATTTCGTATCGAGTATTTTTTCTGTAGTAAAGTATAATAAGTGCCAAACCTGGTGAACCTGATCGAATGTACTTGAAAATCACTCATTTACGTTTGTATGGATTCATACATTTAGTAAATGTGATAATGAATGTTCTGGTCAACCCGTGACAAAGCATTCTTCAAAATTAATCAAACTTTTATATCATATACCATAATTCAATTAAAGCTGCACAAAATTGGCATAGAAATAAACGAGAGTTTCAGTATAATTCTCTCTACAGGTACATCTCCAAATTTTAGGTCAATAATAAGTTTTTTTACCATTGTCACTTTCATACACAGTTCGATTTAGATAAAAATCTTCTAACTTCGAGTATTCTATGAGTTATTCGTTTTATGACCTCACTAACAATGTATCTGCTTCCCATAATCAATTTTTATTATTTTATGGAATCAAAACGATAATTAGAAGTGGTAAGTCTCCTAAAAATAGATACAATGACCTTACAACATCAAACTATAACCCCGATTCGATTTGTCGTATCACAGATAGATCATCTTAAAAAAGGCATCGAGATTGAAGATCACTCGGGAAGTCTCAACAAAAAATGACAGAACCGGATTACTTTTTACACTTGTTTACCTAGTAGTAAAAGGAACCGCCTAAATTACCTTGTAATAACCCCTCTATATGATAATACCTCCACAGTCCGCATTCGTTTTCTTATACCACGAATACCATTTAAGAAGAAATCGACGTTGAAAAACCCCCTAATTGTGTCAACAATATCTGACATATTTATCGAACATATTTACCTAGTGTCGATTTAATAAGTACCTTCTAAATCGCCGCAAAGTTTTTTCCACTGCTTTAGCTAAATCAGCTTGAGCAAAATCCTCTCCCAACATCACATCTACATCCACAATACCAAAACAACAATAATAAACCTACTATAAGATCATCTGACAGACCCTGAGTGTTTTAACAGACCATATGACGACACCCCCGATTACTTTTCAACATTTATTATCTAGCTGTAATTAAGGAACCGACTAAATTACCATAAAGCCCCTTTTGTACAGTAATAACCCCACTATACGGTAATCCCTCTACAGTTCGCATTCGTTTTCTTATACCACGGATTATTTGAGAATCGAGATTGAAACACACTGATTGTGTCAACAAAATATCTGACAGCATCCGATTATCTTCATCTTTCACCTTGTGTCGATTTAGAAAGTACCTTCTAAATCGCAGCAAAGTTTTTTCCGCTACTTTCGTCGAACCAGCTCGAGCAAAATCTTCTCCAAATGTCACATCTATAAAAGCATACAATAATAATCCTGTTCTGAAGCTATTTTCTTGTGGCATTTTAAATTAATTACTATTTAACTGGGAATAAGCCACAATTAAAGATAAAAATACGTTTATTGACGTTTCAATTTCCACTTCGGAAATCGTTCTCAAAATAGTAATTATTATAATAGTAATTAATAATAATCCTATTATATGATCACCTGACAGGTCCCGATTGTTTCAACAAACGATATGGCAGCACCCGATTACTTTTCAACATTTGTTACCTAGTGGTGATTTGACATTGACATTGTAAAAGCCTTGACATGTCAGTACAAGCAACAAGCGACAGTAACGTTTGCGTAAGGGATTGAAATCTTAGGAAGACTGCCTAACGAAGATCAAGTCCTGAAGATGATTCTACGAAGAGCGTTAACAATATCAGATATACAGACGATACGATTATAATACCAAAACGCTTGCAAGAGAAGTTGCAAGTTAATTAATCCAAAATACTATACATTCTTACATATAACTTATATTTTGTGTCACTTGCTCGGCAATTTTCAGAAATACATTACTACAAAACGAATTTTCCGTTAATATTGTCCATTTTTGAAATAAGTCTCGCAATCCGTTATTTAATGATTATTTTGAGTACATTGTTCCTTGAGTTGTTCAGGTTTGAATACTCCCTTCTCGGTAATGATTCCTTCGATCAAGGCTGCGGGTGTGACATCAAAAGCGGGATTCCAGCATGAAATACCTGCAAAAAAGAACAAAGACTGAGTTTGATAATGCCACATATACAGAGCAAATAGAAAATTAGTAAAAATGATTTTACAACATCTAGAACCAAACAGAGCTTATAGATTAATAGGACCCCCTACGAAGTAGGCAACACACTATGCACTGAATTAAAAACCATCTCATCGGAGTATGATAGGTAATCATTTTCTGTTTGAAGTTGCAAATCTTTATTTTAGTTACGTTAATTTACGCATAGACACAAAGATACTTAAAGAAAGTAAACATATTCAACTGTACGATTCCGCTTTTATATATTTTATAATCTCTGACCTCAAATAGGATCAGATTCTGTCTCTACGTGATCTAGATACTTTCTTCGAGACCGTCCACAGCGTCTTGCCCTTATGGCTTTTATCTATAATCTTCTATCACAACGATGGCACAGAGGTTACAACCCAGACAATATATTTGTCAGCGACAGGATTGGAGACCAGGTGACAAAAATTGTTGGAAGTGCCCTCCCAAAAACACAGCACAGACCACTTGTCTTTTGAACGCGGCAATCAGATACGAAATTGTTGCTTTCAAGAGAAAGTTCAATTGCACTAAAGCAAAATGGAAAAAATTCGCTGAAGCATTAGATCAAGAAGTTTCCCAGCTAGAACCGTGCTCTGATTCATACGATAAATTTGTACACATCGTAAAACAAATATCACGAAAATATATTCCTAGAGGTTGCCGAACCGAATACATAGCGGGGCTAAATGAAGAATCTAAACCCCTACTTGAAAGATACGAGCAGCTATATGAAGACGATCCCTTTCTCAAGCAACAATACAGGCCGGGGAGGAAGTGCTACATGCGATATCCGCCAACAGAACGGACAGGTGGTGCAAGGAGGTCATGGAGTCTAGACATGAAACAAAACAGCAGACTCGCTTGGAAATTACTATCTTGGTACTAAACTGACAAAAGTCACACCCGATCAGATAGCCCATCATCTCTGACGAATGGTAAGACGACGTCAAGGAAGAACAAAGTGAGACTGCAACGAAATCTCGACGAAGAAGAGGATGTTCTAGGTACCTCCTGTTGTCTGGAGGAGATGAGAAGAGCGATCCACCAAATGGAAGATAATAAAGCGGCCGGCCTGGACGATTTACGAACACAACAAATAAAGCACTTTGGACCAAAAACCCTAGAGTTGCTCGTAAAAATGATGAACTGTGGCGTCCTTATATTCCAAATCCTCAAAATATGGAGGAAAGCTAGAGTGGTGGACCTCTTAAAACCAGAAAAGGATCCGGAGGATACAAAGGGTTTAAGACCTGTCTCTCTTTTATTACACCTTTTCAAGGATTTCGAACGAATGATACTGAACCAGATCGCTGAATCTGAGGACACTAAAATTATTCCTGAACAAGCAGGGCTTAGACCCTAAAAATGCTACTGCAGTCAAACTCTTAATCTCACCCAACATATTGAGGATAGGTTTGAACGGAAAGAAATAACAAGAGTAGCTTTCATAGAACTGACTGCCGCCTATGACACAGTTAACCATCAACGGCTGCTGGTAGAACTCTACGAAATTACAAAGGATTTCCGACTAACAAGGTTAATGAAATGTCTTCTCCAGAATAGACGCTTCTACGTAACGCTCCAGTCAAGAACACTCGGTGGAGGGATCAAAAAAATGGACTCCCACAGGGAAGTATCCTCGCGCCGATGCTATACAACATTTACACCAACGACCAACCCAAAACCAACAAACAAGACAGTTTATTTCCGTGGATGATACAGCTGTGGCAGCTCAGGGAAGTACCTTCAATGAAGTTGAAGTAAAACTGACAGATGCCCTAGAAGACTTAGTACTATACTATGACGGAAACCATCTGAAACACAATCCTACAAAAAACTAGGTGTGTGTTTTCCACCTTAGAAACAAGCATGCCCGAAGGACACTGGAGGTGAAATGGCGTGGTCAGATGCTGGAACACAATGAGACGCCAAAATATCTCAGCAGAAATGATGATATGATAATATCAGCAGAAAAAACCAAATGTATGACAACATCTAAATACCCACTACGGTGTAAAATCGAAATTGATGGGAAAATAATAAAGCAGGTAACAAGGTTTAGATATCTGGGAATAGATATAACTAGTTACGGAGAAGTTAAAGAAGTACGACAACAAAGCTGGAAAGCAAGTAAAGCGGCGGGATCTCTTAATGACACAATCTGGAAGAACAAACACCTAAGACAAGACACAAAAACAAGAATCTATAAAGCAGCAATTAGACCTATATTAACATACACGGCGGAGACAAAACCTGACACATCTAAAACGAGACGACTACTAGAAACAACAGAAATGAAAATACTCCGACGAATATCAGGGAAAAGTCTGTTGGATAGGGAGAGAAACGAAAACATAAGAAGAGCATGCAATATAGAAGACATAAATGGATGGGTGACAAAACGAAAACAGGAGTGGAACGAAAACATCAGTAGAATGGCAGAGGATAGAATAGTATGAATAGCACGAGTCACTTAAGTCACCAAATGGACGAAGAAGTATTGTCAGACCAAGAAAAAGATGGTGCGACAATTTAAACAATTTAGAAGCCTAATATTGAAGAAGAAACAGGTTTTAAAGCCTACGTACAAGAAGAAAGAAAAAGAAGAAGAAGAAGATCTTCACTTCTTCGACTTCAGTATATTTATGTCCTACACATATGGAGAGTAAACTTGACTTACCTTTCGCTGCTATTCTGTGTTCTCCGACGTGCGTCATTTCTCTATCGGGTCTCTCCTCGATGACGATGTGATCTCCGCTGGGTATAGACACGTCGATGGACGTAAAAGGTGCTGCTACGTAGAAAGGCACGCCGTGGTACTTGGCAAGAACGGCAATTTGATAGGTTCCTATTTTATTGGCAGTGTCTCCATTTGCAGCTACCTATATACATATTACACAAATTAAAATTTTGAATTTGCCATTATCGAATTGTTAACAGATGAATATCGCTTCGAAACAGAAGACTTTCACCTTTGGACCTGATCCGGCCGGTTTAAAGTTAGCTGAAATGACATTGAACGTGAGATTTGACGTAGAACATGACATTTAACAGACATTTGGTGTGGAATGTGATATTTTACGTGACGTTTGGCGTGAAACGTGATATCTGAAGTGACGTTTTAACATAAAACTGACGTTCGACGTGAATCCCAAGATTTTACAGGACTCTTGCCGTTTTCACATCACATTTCATGTTTTATCAAGGTTTTCCAGAGTTTTGCAAATTAGATGTCACGTTACACATCAGATCCGTCAATAGTCGGATCAGGTCCAAAGGTTCAAGTATTCTATTCTCAAGTGATCTCCATTTACTAGCGGTAAGGTGATCTTCCTGTATGTAATACATCCTGTTTGACTTATTGAAATGGATAAAATTCGCTGAAAGAAACCTTGCAGCTATCCGGATCGAAAGGACCATGGAGAGCAGAAGTAAAATTTGACCAGAAGGTGCTAGAGTTGTGAAATATTGTAATATTGAACATTTTGAGCGGAGAAAATAATCCTGTAGGCTCTTATTGACCGTAGAATTCACTTCTAGACTAGCGTATACCTACCTATCTATAGTTTATAATCTTAATACTACACTAAAACAGTTCTTACCCTATCGGCACCAACCACGACCGCGCTAATGTGTCTGAATTTCATAACAGCTGCTACCATACTATCAACTATGAGGGTGGCTGGAATTTTATCGTGAACTAGTTCGTAAGCAGTCAGTCTTGCACCTTGGTTGTAGGGTCTTGTTTCAGTACAATATACGTGTTCTAAAATAAAGTAAAATACCAAAAAATATATCAGTATACTTAAATACATAGAGTAAAAAGTTTAACAAATCAACATAGATCAGATAATTGTTACAATGCAGTAAATAATTATTATTTCGAAGAGATTATCTCCAATTACTTCTTCTTCTTAGGATGACAGCAGCTTGTCTAGCTTTTGGTGAGCTTGTCTTGGTAGTTTTGGCTTTTTGCTTAGACGGCGTTTTCAATTTGCCCTCTAGTGAAGTCGGAACTTGCTACAGAATATAACGCACTTTTACACGCCAATTTCTTTTCAAATTTCTTCGTCTTGTCCGGTTTTTTCCTGTCTTTGTTACAACTTTTTTACAAGCGAAGATCAAGAGAAGTATAGAGAGGAAAAGAATAGCGTACCTTAGAATGTGCTACTTTGCACTATTCCATAGTCACTTACAGTACGGAATATCTTTTTGGGGCAATTCTTCTCTACTCAGATCGAATTTTTAAACTACAAAAAAGAGAGTGAGGATATTTGCAAGAGCAGAGTATAGGGCACACTGTAAACCTTTATTTATGGATTTAGGTATTATGCCACTACCTTCACTCTTTATATATGAGACGCTGATTGAAATTCATGCCAACAAAGGTAAGTTTAACATAAACTCCAACTTCCATGATCACGATACACGATCTAGATATCTAGATTAGAGCACACTGTTTTAGGTATGTTGGTTTGTATAATTTTTTGCCAGATGAAGTAAAAGTCTTCACTTGTTATCGTTTAAGATTAGAATCAAATCACACTTTTTGAAACATTGTTTCTATTTAAAAACCTAAGTATAGTTTTTACTCAATAGTACTGGTTTGATCAGGGTATTAGCCTATTATGATAATATTTCATGTTTTTATATTTTTATTTAGTGTGTTTATCGTTCATTGAATTGTTAATATTAAATATCTGTTTGTAATGTATAAATTCGCAAAAAATTGTTATGTATGTATGTAAATTGTCACTATTCCTTTGACTTGTCAAAAACAAAACTATTTTTGTATATTGACTAAATAAATTCTATTCTATTCTATAATAAGAACTTCTTAATTTTTCTATGTAAGTTTAGGCATATTATTTGTTTTCGAACATTTTTCAGGTTTTTTTGGAAGTACTAATCGTATTTTTCGATCATTTAACTAAAATTTAGATACGAAAACCACAGACCACAAAAACACAATTTTAAAAATATGTTTGTCATCGCTGTTATCACTAGTAGTGTTGACAAACATTTGTCGATAACTATTTTATACGGATATCTAATATATATATATATATATATATATATATATATATATATATATATATTATATATATATATATATATAATATATATATATATATATATATATATATATATATATATATATAATATATATATATATATATATATATTATATATATAATATATATATATATATATATATATATATATATTATATATATATATATATATATATATATATATATATATATATATATATATATATATATATTATATATATATATATATATATATATATATATATATATATATATATATATATATATATATATATATATAATATATATATATATATATATATATATATATATATATATATATATATATATATATATATTTATATATATATATATATATATATATATATATATATATATATATATATATTATATATAATATATATATATATTATATATATATATATATATATATATATATATATATATATATATAAATATATATATATATATATATATATATATATATATATATATATATATATATATATATATATATATATATATATAAATATATATATATATATATATATATATATATATATATATATATATTATATATATATATATATATATTATATATATATATATATATATATATATATATATATATATATATATTATCGATTATCGAAAAACCCCTTTTGTGTAGAATTAGAAGAATAGTATTAGTAGAATAATCTTTGGAAACAGGTATAGATTGTGTATTAACAGACTGAGGACAAAAAAAAATCAATTTTATTTATTCTTTCTCTGAAACAGTAATTTGGTTTTACCAAATGATACACAGAATTTTTAAAATAAACATTAACAGTAGTAAACAAGATTTGAACTCTTTGATTGGATAGTCGTTTTTGATGGTAATGGGGTTAGCCTGATTAGGAGACCGGGAGCAAGGCAGTTGTAATTTGGCCATCGAAGGAAACAGTCGTTTCTTTAAAGATAGGGAGTGGTTCGTGAGTTTGGATACCGGCATTGTGAAAAGTAAATAGTTTTGCAGAAGTAGATAACAAGTAGATTAGAAGAGGTCCGTGTATCTACCGTGGGCATTTTGTGAAATATATGTGAAAGTAGTTTTACGGCATCAAGTTGACAAAAGGAGGTCCTTGTGTCAAAAATAAGTAGCTGAGTTTTAGAGTTTTAGACAAAGTTTTAGACAATAAACATTCTACTTACCTAGTCTTTTCATGCTGTGCAAGGTCCGAACAACCCCTAGGGCGGTACCATAACCAGCTGTAGCTAAAGACCCCGTATTGCAGTGAGTCAAAATCCGTACGAGGTTATCTCCACTAACTCTAGACAGAATATCTTTGGCACCATAATCACCTATAGCTGTATTGTCAGCTATGTCCTTCGCTAACATATCCTCAATAGTCTTTGTGAACCTAAATGATAATAATATGAAATAGATAAAGATAAAAAAATTTTCTTCTGTCTAATTTGAGTCCAAGTGCATTAAAAAAATATAATCAAATCAAAGAACAAAATCTTATTGTTACCTTGTGGTATTTCAGGTTTTATCAAATATTTCAGAGGTAAACCACAAATTACCAAAACCGTGACAAGTCACTATTAAATTGAGATAAAGGAAATTATTAATAAAAAAAATGTGGATACGGTGAAATAAAGAATGTGTTCTTTAAAAAGAATTTAGTTTTATTTTTTTTTTGTTGTGGGTCCACATGTCACCAATATATGTTAACATCATTAACCATTTTGCATTTTCAAATTGTTTTTGATAAATATAAATGTTACACAATGTTATATTATATGAATTTAAAAAAAAATCATTATACAACCTTTTAGCTCGAGCATACACAAATTCTTCTAATAAACAACCTTCCAGAAACATTTTCTACAAAAACCTAAGGTCTGACTCACTAAAGCCATCTAAAACTATTATTGGACAACTCTGGACTGGCTATACCAGAGAACTAGGAACACAATAGTTACTTCTTGATTTTTTATTTGTTTTAGTTTAATATCATTTACTCCAATATTCGACTTTAAAGGAAAAAATGTAATTTTAATAGGCTTCCAAGACATTAACAATCGATATCAATATAAAGTTTCTTGTTTCTCAGTCTCACCCAAAGAGAATTGGAATTTTTAGAGTTTGTGAAATTTCCGTGGCAGTTACAATGGCTTTGTTATTTTTCGATTATATTATGAAAGATAATTTATTAGGAAATTCCACGACGAACAAATTATATCTTGAATCAACACAAGCCAAAAAGAATCGGTGTATTATTGTATTATCAATGCCAATATCAGAATAAACAAAAAAGTATTTTCATCTATGGTTCCATCAATACGATTTTCACCATTACTTTGCGTTGTGCGATGTATTTGCAACCTTTTGTAAATCAAAAATAATTACACCATTTAGAATGTCAACAAAAGTCGGCCCTGCATGTAATTATTTTTTCAGTGCAATATTTCATATTTATTGAAAGTCAACATAAATGCTCAATTTTATTTAAGAATTTATATTGTGTGATATGCCCACTGACTATTAGTTAGCTGGTTGCTTTCCTGTCATTTTCACTCATTGGCGGCTTGCCCACGCAAGATCAAAGGAGTGTCGCTTCTCTGCGTTCGTAGTTCTCTGGCTATACCTTGTAGGTATTTTGTTTGAAATATATCAAAAAATATATGAATTTTAACAAATAATCATTCTACAGCCATTTAGCTGAAATACATTAAAATTCTGGTTCTAAACAACTTTTCAGAGATATTTCTACAAAAATCTGAAGCCTGGCTCGCTAAAATATGCTTTAACTATTTTTTACACCTCTCCACTGGACTATACTTTTTGGTAAATTATGTCAAAATTATCAACATGTATTAAATTGAACAAAAAGTCATTCTATAACCTTTTAGCTCAAGCATACTCAAATTCTAGCAGTAAACAACCCTCCAGGTATATGTCTACAAAAATCTAAAACCTGGCTCACTAAAATCAACTTGAAACCTATTTTTGACATCTCTACACTGGACTATACTTGATAAATTATGTGAAATGTATCGAAGTGTTGTATGAAATTAACAAAAATCTCATTACACAACCTATTAGCTGAGCACACCCAAATTCATCACTTACATTAAGTAAAAAAAATTAAATTAAAAATAAATGAATGATACTCACTTTGCTTTCATCTCTTGAACATCAACTTTTTCATCGTTGCACAATTGGTTGGCCAAATCTATCAGATCTTCAGCAGCAATTTTCATGTTAACAGCAGTTGGTCTGGAAGACACTAAATAGTTCAGTTTCCCTTCGATCTCTTGCCTCATCTGCTTCTTGGAATCATATTTTTCACTGTGCAATTCAACTGCTAAACTTAAACATCCTACTATAGCTATGGCAGGTGCTCCTCTTACCTGCCGAATAACCAACACTGTGTAGTTTTTTATTAATTATGTAGAACAAGTATTTGAATTTACAAGTATTCTAATTTTTGGACTGTAATGAACAAATTTTAACACGATGTCAAAACTAGTGATCAAAATTGACCTGATGCATTAGTAGAGGTAAAAGGTAATTGCATATTTTTTATAGTGGGGCAATGACTGGATGTTTAGAACAGATTTTATACTTTAAAAATAATAATAATAACAAGGCAAGCTGATTTAAGCCCATTTCAGAAACAATATGCACTCTTAGACTGAACATTAATAAGTATCATGAATGAACCTGGTGGTCCAATAAGCCGATCTCTCGACTATATATCAGAAACATATTCATATTATAACTTTAGGAGAAAAAATTCCAGTAAAAATGGCCAAGAGAAATCGCTGGAAATAACTTTCAAGTTTCTGGGTTAACCGCTAGGGGCGTAACCTGTAAAGAAAAATTTGAAAAAAAGTTTTTTGTAAAACTGCCCAATTATACCAAGTGTTAAATAAATAGATGTTATTTGTCCTTTCTAAATGTTCTAACCTAATCAAATCTAGAACTTGATAGAATTGTGATGATAGGACCTTTCTATAGTTAATCCAATGTACATTAACATAATGTTGACTATAATATTATAACCATTTTAGTAGGAGATTCCAGGTATACCCTTACAAAATGTGGAAAACTTTATAAATTTTAAAAATAAATGCTTAGTAAACCAACGTAAATAAACAAAAAGCAGTAAATAAAGCATTGTTAGCAGTTGGATCAACTGTATTTTGGTATTATATATTTTAGTTTCTGAAATATCACATGTTAAGTGTCCAAGATTCTGTAGTTTTGATAGATTTTCAAATACAATAAGTTGAAAATGAAAACAACTATTCTCAAACTATCAAAAGCTGTGGCAGTTGAGAATCTTTTAGGAATAGACATTCCAGTGGATACCTGTAAAGAAGCTGACCAGAAAAACGTAGTCCCAAAACAGAATTTTTGGGAAGTAACAATTACTACATACTCATGTGGATGACTCAGATCATTTTATTGACATTGTTGGACATTCAGACAACAAGATTGTTTAGTTAGTGATTTGTTTTCCACATAAAATATAATATTATTAAAACATGTTTTATAAGAAACAATTCAACAGCAAGAACCACCTACAGATAAAAATAGATGTGTATATCTTGTAGTATAGGGAAATGACAGTTTTAACAACTTTGTCCAGCATTGTATTAATACTTTGAGTGAAGTAGAATATCCACCAAACCATTTTTTTGTTTGTTTTACTATAAACATAGATTATAAAGGAAACATACTATAACATGGTTTACACTGTGTATAGTATAAATATTTTGTTTCACTATACAGAAGATACATGAAAAATGAACTACAAAAGCATTAGCTAGACTATCACTTATTCTAACTGGAAGCTAGAAGAAAATACTTAAATAATTCCAGACCTTAGTAATGTGTTGACATATAAGTATAAGAAAATGAATTGATCTAATCTAATCTTTATCAACACCATGTAAATTAATAACACGTTAAAATGTTAATACCTAGAAACTTGTTTATTCAATGTTACAATTCACACCATTGTTTTAGCATTATCACATCAACATTATATAGAATATTTATAAATATACCCCTTTCGTTAAAACTTTAAATACTTGTGACATTATATTTAGCAATTCCGATATAGAAACGTTATAAATAACGTTTACTTCTACTAGTTTGATCAAAAGTTCTGAACATAAAGTTACCTAACCTAACTTATTGCACAAGTTGTGAAATACATACCTGCATTTTATTTATAACTTTCCAACCATCCTCGACACCTTTAACTTGGATATACTTAGTTTGTGCTGGTAAAAGTAGCTGGTCTAAGATCTCTAGCGAATTATTATCATATTTAATCGCCCGCAGAGTCATTTTAACCTCACTTATCAAATCACCGCTGTTAAAGAGGATTTCTTTGGTGGTTTGATAAAAGCGTACAGACAAATAATTTACATCTTATCTGCACAAAAGTTGATATCGGTTACTTAATTGGAATAAACATTAGATTGTTTAATTAATAGTTTTGGCTCTACGTCCGGCAAAAATGACAGCAATCTGAGAAATGTATGTTTTAATTTAATCCTGTGTTACCATTGCCAGATTATTTTAATTAAAACATTAAGAACATACTTCCAGGTGTAATTTGAATTTATACATCTTAATATATGATTTTATTCAAATATAAGTAAAAATAACTCAATTACTTTTCATTTTTTATATTACGGTTTTCACTACACAACCGATGCTGAGTGTAAAGCATGGCATGTGTAAAGTTTTTACACCTGAATTTATGCAACAGACATTGCAGGTGGATTTTTCAACTGTTTTTTGAGCAACGGCAAATAACTGTTTTGAAATACATTTTCTGCAATTACAAATACAACAACTAGAGAAATGGTTGGTGGAATTATGTGTTCTGCTCCTATTTTTTTTCATTATAAGTGCTCAAATTATTGCAGATTTTTATATTATTCGGGCACTTCTAAGCACATTTATTACGGTAGAAATCAAGGCAAATCGAGTCTATTTTGCGATCTAATATGAGTTTTGTTTACAATTATTATATGATATGAGTTAACTCTATTCCCAGTATATTGGAAATGAGTCAGTACTCACAAAGTAGTTTTTATTAATTTAATTTAATGATGGTAAATTTTGGGCTACTGCAGTGGCGCATCCAGAGAATGGGGGTTAAACCTCCCCCAGGGCACTATTCCGACACTGTTACTCACAAATTTTAAGGACTCTTTTAAGGGACGGTGCTTAACCAAAATTCCCCCACAAAAATATTCTAGGTGCGCCACTGGGCTACTGGTTTCAAGGCTTACAATTTACAATCATAGATAAATGATTATATTTGCTTCAATATCAGGCTCTAGCACGTTAGTCATATTTATGTTAAAAACTACAAGATATCAGACACAGGAAAGCTATATCTTCACAGCTCTACAAACAAGGAACCCATCACTCTTCACTTTTTATTTTATGTATATTATTATGTCAATATAAATATAGCGAGATGTTTTTTTTTTCATATATTTATTAATTGTTATAGCTGTTAAGTTTTTAATTATCTTTAATTAAAAAATTAATAGAGACAGTATTTTCAATGCTTGCATGGACTGTTTGATGATTTAAAAATTATGTACTAGTGTTTTGGGATTTGTATCTTTCTTATACATCATACATATTATATAATATCATTCGTTAATATATTTCTTCAAAATGTATCAAATACATTACGTACACCTCCGATTGTGTTATAGTCACTTCCATAACGACCCAAAGAGATGAGAGTACGTCATTTGTACGTGTACGGTACACGTGCCAAAGACGTTGTCATTTTCGCTATGTTGTGACGTCATTCGTCAATATCATGATGATTAAATAAATTCAAATTATTTTGTTCAACAACAAAGATTCCAGTGTTTGTTTTTAATCAGTGTACTTAAATGTTCTTTTTATGAAAAATCGCGACGTAATGCATTCTGTACAATAATTTATTTATTCAATAATGTGGGTTTTTGGTTATGGGTCTCTTATATGGAAAATTGATTTTCCATATGAAAGAAAAGTTTTAGGGTATATTAAAGGATACGATAGAAGATTTTATCAGCTCAGTACAGATCATAGAGGGACTCCAGAAAATCCAGGACGTGTTGTAACCCTTATTCCATCGGACGAAAATTCAAAAGTAAGTTTTTGAAAATTAAAGAAACTTCTCCAAACATATGTGAACACATAATAAAGATTTAGATTTTATGACGTCAGTAAAATTCTTTTACGTTTAAGATAAACGATTTATTTTATAGAAAACATTTGTTAAACAATTCTTTGTTTTGATGCAAATGTCGTGTTTGTTACACAAATATTTTTCCAGGTATATGGAGTAGCTTACAAAATTTCGGACACGGATGTAAAACAAGTAGTAGATCACTTAGATTATCGTGAAAAAGGTGGATACGAAAAGAAAACACTCAAATTCTTCCCAATATGTGAAGACCAACAAACCTTCGATATCACCATTTATCTTGGGGATCATGATAATGCAAATTACGGCGGCCCAGCTGATTTGAACGATATAGCAGCTCAAGTAGTACGATCTGAAGGGCCCAGCGGGCCTAACGTGGATTATGTTTGTAATTTAGCTAATGCAATGAGAAATTTTTTCCCTTCCATTCAGGATGAACACTTGTACGAACTTGAAAAGAAAGTTCTTAATTTATTGAGGAAAAATAACGGAGTATGTACTAGTACATAAGTGATATTTCAGGCAAATAATGTATTTATTAATAAGATGTTAAATTTTTGGCTGTTTAATTTTCCGTTTTATAAAATTGTTCAATGTGTTAGTAAATTAGTTGCTAAAATTTGTTTTAAATTTTAGATAAATAACGTAGGGAAAAGTTTTTAGACACAAACATGGGGTTTGTGGTTTTAGTTAGAAAATTCGTATATAATAAAAATAGATATTTTCAGAAGAGTTAAAATCATATTTTCAAAATTAAGAATTGAAAATTTGGAAGTTTTATACATTACCAAAAAAAGTATTACTTAATAAAATGTTAACTTATATTTCCTTCAAAGTAGAACTTAAATGCCAAATGTGCGACAAATATGTTTTCCCAGTGTTTTGATTTACTCTGTGTACAAATATTACTATAAGGATCCCAGTTTTATACTTTAAAATGTCTGTGGCTCCTAGGTAAGCAAGGATAGGTCAGTTTAATTGTCAAAACTAATGAAATGTTTTGTTATCAACTCATTCTCGTTTACTTTAGGGCCACAACTATAATGATACTTATCATTAAAAACAAATAAACTGTGACAGTATTTCGAATTTTATATTTACTAATCTTTTTGGTAAATTATTGTGATGTTAAATATGTTTTTAGGCTTAAGATATTTGGAAACAATTTACTCCAAAACTTACTGGTAATTTGGCGTTTTATTTATATTATTTATTTTATTATACAATTTTAAGCTTAACTGAAGTTTTATTGTACTGATTTTATTGAATGTTATGTAGTTGTTTCGATAATGATATAAATAGATGATAGAGTTTCCTAATAATATATATGAATAGAACAACATAAAATTACTCACAAGAATTATCAGTAAAAGAAACAACAACTAATAAAATTGATGTATACTATACTTGTTTTATGGAAATGCATGATGGCAGAAGATTACAGTGGTCTTTATATAGGCAATATTTCATACTTAAAAAATTATGAAAGTATCCACATTATTGCTTTGTTAAAATGTCTGTATGTCATTCTGTTGCTGTCACACCAATAGTTCAACTGACTACATAAAATAAGACTGTAGTTTCACCATCATTCTCAATTTTCAAATATAATTTTAAATTGTCAGCAAACATTAGGAAAGAAGCAAAGAGGAAACAGGAGGCAATGTCATTAACATAGTTATTGAATAGCAGAGGTCCTAGGTATGATCCTTGTGGTACTCCTGAAAGTACCTTAATCCCAAAAGATTGAAAACCCTGAACACATACCTACTATTTGTATTCTTTCAGTTGGTAGAATAACCAGGTCTGGATACCCAGACTCCTCAACTTATTGATTAAAATCTTGTGATTTACCCAGTCAAACACATTTGTAAAGTCTGTGTATACAGCATGAACCTGGAAGCCATCTTCTAGATCAGAGATTCTATAAGGAAATCAGTAAATGTCAATAAATTAAGTTCAGTGGAGCGGCTAGAGAGAAATCCAAATCCAAGGCTCTCAAAAACTGTGGGAATACAACTTAGAATGCTAATATGCCGATAATTGTTCACTTGAGAATTACCTACAGATTTTAGTATTGGGGTAATAAAGCTAGTTTTCCAGTAGACCAGGAACATCTCTGTCTTTAATGACAGCTTAAAAATGTGAAAAAGAGGTCTAGAAAGTAAAAAGCTAAAGTGTTTAAGAAAAGAAGGTGGAAGACCATCTGGACCTGGCCCCTGTTGCTATCCAAAATGGAAAGTTTTTATTAATCAGTTAGCTCGTAATAAAGAAAACTCATTATAGTCAGCAAGTAATTGAGATTTTAGATATTTTTTATGCATTTTTTTTATATTGGTTTTTTAAGCTCTAGAGAAAACCAGACAGGAAACTTTTTTGCTGAATACTTTTTCAGGGCAACAAAAATATCAATTGCAAGGTAAATAACATAAAACATGTTGATCATATCATCAAGACCTTTATCTTTAAACAAATCATCCCAGTTAAATTGTGAAAGAAAGTTTGTTACTTCCCTTACACTCATTGAGCGAAAGTCTATAAAAGCCATCTCCAATCAATCCGGTCTCATTGAAATATTGAGATTCACATTTAAACCCAAATGAGAGTGGAGGATGATGCCTATCCTCTGGGAGTAGGGCACTCTCAGCTCTAGATACCTCAACCTCTTCATCTTGAACCATGATTAGATCTAACAAGGAGTTGTTTTCATTTTTAACAGTGTTTACTTGATACAGATTATGAAAGGAACATAAAAATGAGAGGAATTAAATGGAATCGACTTCATTTGGTGAGGTTCCCGGTATGGAGTAGCCACAGAAGACCACTGACAATTGGGAAGATTAAAATCTCACAGGATACTGGAACTTATCTTCTGGATACTTTTCAGCTAGATTATCTACATTTTCTGCAAATTTCACATACTTCTCAATGATACTATGTGGTGGAAAGTAGGCAATTGCAAAGATAAACTTGTCGATGTGACCAATCTCAATATTGACAAACAGATATTTTGAGTTTCTGACAAACGAAAACTGGTTATGGTTTTCTGGACAGCTATAAGCACTCCTCCACCTCTTTTGAAGCTACTTGTTTCTGAAGATCTATGTCTTCTATATATCGCACCCTCAGTGCAAGACTGCAGTAAGTCAGAATAAGTAAGTTTCGAGATAAAGACGATTTTGTTTATTTTCGTGCTAATATCGGTGAAATAAGACACAAGTTTTAAGAAAAATTAACATTTAATTATGATTTTCATGCTCTTCAGCCTATATTACATTAACCCTTTAATTGGCAAGGGTATAAATACTTACTGAAAAATTAAAATTTGTTCAAATATGTAGCATAAAACAATCATCTTGAAATAATTTCTAGTTTTTTTTTGTTTTCCATTTCATACTTTTTTTTTACAGATTGTATCCTATAGGATACATTGCCAAAAAGTCAAGATATAACGTTTAGTTAATTTTGAATGTTTAAAATACTTTGCTTGAATTATATAACATCAATAGGGTTAAAAAATAAAAGATTACTACTAATAAATGCTTTAATAAAAATAATTACAATTTAGTTTTATGGTAAGTCATAAAACAGTTCCTTTCAGAGATAATACACAGTCGTGTATTACACTTCTGACACATAAATGTAGTTTGTCCTTTAGGGCACAAACGACACCGACCTTTAGTTGTTGTTAAGGAAAATGATCAATGTTATCTAGCCTAGTATCGTCGGTCGGCCTAGTAACTACCGGACTTCGGATTTGTTTGTTAGGAAATGACCAAGCAGCTGGGCGACCTATTTTTGCTTTATTTGATTTTAGTAGACTTTGAATAATGTCGTTGCGGAACGTTTTCAATGGAATGATTTTTTTAATGTTCAGTGCATTGCAGTGTCTTCTATAAAGCAGCCATCCATTATTTACACTTATATCGAGCATTTGGGCTAGCAACTTCAGGTACCATCGATGTGACTTTAGGCCAGTTCGATATAAAGACACAAGCATGTCAGCAAGGTCTACGCCTCCCATATGCTTATTATATTCTAAAACTACCTGGGGACATAATACGTTAATTTTTTTCTTTTGTTCCTTACAGTATCTTTGAACATGAGATGTTGTTGTAGTATCAGAAAATGATGATACTAAATTAACACATTTATTATCTGCCCATTTGGTAATACTAATTTTCATTTCGTTGTCGCTAACACTTTCGAAGCTACCTCGTCCTCTTTTAAGTAACACCTTGTCAGAAACCATAGTACAATTTCTTATTCTATTTTTTTGAACTGTCCCTAGGCTGAATATGCCTAACTCACTTCTTAGATATGTAACTAATTCAAGTGAAGTAAACCAATTATCAAAATATACAATTTTACATGGTTTCTCATGAATACTTCTACATAAGGCTACTACCACTTTCTGCGGTATTCCAAAGTATTTTTCCTCATAATTTGTAAAAATGTGATTCAAAAAGGTATTTTCACCAGCATAAGGAAAAAAATCATATACAATACCGCTCACTCCACATCTAACAAATAATTTAAACCCCCATTTTTTCGGCTTGTTTTTTATATATTGTCGTCTAGTTCCTGCTCGTGTTCCCTTATATGGGACCATCATTTCATCTATCGAAAAACGCTGTTCTTCTGGAATCGCTAAGCAGTTTTGGCGTACATGTTCCAACAATGGACGGACTTTAAAGTACCTGTCGGTGCCATTATCATCTTCATTGTTTGCGAAATGAATGTTTCTTCTGAGACTTTGATAACGTTTCAGAGGCATCACGTCAGCTACTTGATCATAACGGAATAATTGAGACCAAAAATCGCAATAGGAAGGCATGCTGACTATACCCATCAACAGCTCAATGCCAACGAAAGATTTTATTTCCTTAATATCAGTGGCTACGGATTTACCTGTTCTCTGGGTTGAATACAGATTTGTATTTTCTGCAATTATCGAAAACAGATCGTCCTTGAAAAACATTTGGAAATAAGTCAATGGTGATGAAATATCAGTTATACTACTGCAAATAGGTTCTGGAATTTCTACTGGATAACAAAACTCTGGAGAGTTAAAATTAAAATCCATTTTCTGCCGTTGAATGTTAACCTTCTTAGGTACAGGTGGTAAAGGATCCGGTATATTTGGTTCTAATGAAGTCAAAGAATTGTTTAAAGCTCTTTCTGATCTTCGAACAGATTCTGTGGCAACATCATTTTCACTCTGAAATGGTTCTAAATACATATTATCATCAAATATAATTTCAATGTCCATATTATTTTGGTCATAATTTGTTTCCAAAACATCCTCTGTGTCTGAAACATCCGAATCGTCAGAGTCTATTGGTGGTAACATTGCGATTATATTCATTGTTCGTTTAGAATAAACTCCAAATTCGCGACTTGCCATCTGAAAACAAAAAATAACAAGTTAATTTATCTAATTATTCATACCACATTGTTAGGCAATGTATCTTTTAAGATACCACTAAAATCCGTTCGTTATAACTGAGAACCCGGCAATGTTTCTTTAAAGATACATAGTTTTAAATGAGACTTCATACAAAAATTATAAAATAATATGGAACAAACAACTTAATATTACATCTCAGTAGACTTACCTTTACCAAAATAAACAGTTATCAGCATAAAATCTCTAAAAACTTTTCAATAAACGCTGTTTACATGGGATCAGTTAGTTCACTAACCTAAAAATTGCAACATGGTAAATTTACGTCACCTGTAGAACGTTTGTAATAGATCCTATAGATGGCGACTCACAACTAGTTATAAAAGAAAGGGTGTATTTAAAGATACATTACCAAAGACTGGCATATTTTTAAAGAAAATACGTTGATACAAATTTTTCCTTGATATGTATCTTTAAAGATACATTATCAATTAAAGGGTTAACCAAAAATAGAAATTTAAATAAAATAATATTAATGTTAAAAAAATTAGGAATTTCAAAGTTGCAACACTTTGTGTGTGTGCTTGGGATATTGACTGCGAAACCTATGGTTTCATTCGCCTATACTACAACACTTTTGCATGGAGAAAATTGTAAAAAGTGTAGACACATTTTCTGTTAGTTGTGCTCTTCTCGTATATTATTTTGGGCCAAAATTTTTTATAAAATCTATGGTGGGCTTCTGGTATCATACCCGAATGACATAATTATACCAAATCTCTCTTAATTCGTAATTCCCTGGGTTTGGTATATACGTTTAATAAATTCCAATGAATCATCGGGTAAGTAAAGAAAAAATAATTCCCAACAGCAATCGGGGTTTAGTATGGTATTAAACTTTACATTTAATAAATTCCAAGAAATCAGCTTGTAATAGTCACAATTTCTTCGCTTTGTAATGACAATGTCATAACAAGGTAGAAAAATTATTTGTAAAACTTTCAATATTTTTATTTAAATTCAAAACAAAATGACTATAATAAAAATATGCAAATCAGGCTACCTTGAGTACAGTGATTTACAAAAGGATTGAAATTCACTACCTTAGTAAAAGTTGGGAATTACGGGGGACAATGATAAGACCATCGCCCCGGAAGGTTACATGAAGAGTTAATACAATTTGGGATTTAGTTTTTATACAACAAGTTTTCTGAGAATAGATATTTTTAACCTTACACAAGTTTTAAGACAACTTTTTCCTTTCATAAGAAAAAATACTTTTTGGCTGTAACTAATTAGTCTTAATTTATGTGTTTTTAATCCAATCTAATAAATAAATGTTAAAAGGACATCGCACACATTTTATGAAAAATATAATGTTACACAAAGGACATACAATTTACATGAATAGATTGGTCTCGTAAATCTTTGTTTATTGTCTCGGCCGGTGATGGATTACGTAGTCACGCTGTATATTAAAATTAAACACCACAGATACAGATATTAAAATAACAAATATTTTACTTTTTTCGTGACTTTCATTGCTTGTTATCGAAACCATTGCAATGTCCCGTGCAAAACTGTTGTAACTCTGTTACATTAGAATTACAACAGTTTTGCACGGAACTTATGTACAAAAACGCAAAATAGTTAAACTGCTGTAATATTTACCCGGTTAAGCATTTGAAAGTTAAAGTTTTACAGGGGATAGATATGCATGTTTACAATCAAATTCCATGATACTTCATTTTCATAAAATTTTGAGTTACTGCAGTCTTGCACTGAGGGTGCGATATGTTGTAGTCAGACATTTGCAGTTCGGCGCTCTTCATGTCATATGTTAACCATGTAATAACACTTTCAAAATTCAACTTTATATTAATTCATTTGTTTTGAATAAGCGACTCGGATCAGAGTCACTTAGCACATGTAGTAATAATGTGCTCACGACTCGGATCTGAATCATTTTTTAAAATGAATTAAATTATGTAATAACCTTTTAATTTCCGAATCAATATTTTCAAAAAATCTTGGTTAATATATAGAGCCACATTTCATGAAAATGTGACAAGCCAGTAACTTATCTTACCTGAATGTGATAAAGTTTCTTCTGTGGGCTGATAGCATGTATCTGTAATTGGTCTTGTTTAGTAATGAGGTGCTACCAGCTGAACTAAGGTTCAAAAGTACCGAGTACAATAAACAGTATTCAGTAAGTTTTGAAACTGCGTCGGATGTCTTCAATTCTTGAGCACATTTAGTGGCTCCATGTTTACTCAAACCTACAAATTCTTGATGAATCCAATATAGTCTCATATTTCTTTTCCTTCTCAAAATTTGCCACATTACCACTTTGTCTTCATCAGACATTTTGAACAAGTAATTATTATTGCTTTGGTATAGAGTACAGCTTGTCAAATTTAACGTGATACTTGGCCGATTTGAAATTAGGCTCCACCCACGATGCGCATTCGACCACAACACAATTCGACCTTATTATTTCTTGGCCCTTCGAAGTGCAAGGTACTTGTATAGTCTGCGACAAAGTTTTTTTTATATTACTTATGTTTAAAGTTACTGTGTGTTGAAGAAATATCGTGTTACAATAGATTTGACTTTTTAAATAATTATTAAGTATTTTAAATTATAAAAATGGATTTTCATTCAAAATTAGAAGGCAAAGTCTTGTCTGGACAAACGTGGGAGGTAATAGCAAATGTAATTATTTTTATGCAGAGAGAAGCGATGCAAAATCCGCATAAAGATTTTAAAAAAGTTCAAGAGCGTGCTTCCTTAGCAATGGGAGAAAGTATAGCCAATATAAAACGGATCTCTCGTGAAATGAAAAACAGAAGGTGCTTCTACATCATTTTCGACGCCTAACAAAAGAATAAGATCTGCCCCAAAATCCAACTTGGGCGATTTTGACAAAGGGTTTACTTCGGCGTATAATAATAAATTATTATGTCACGGAAAAACGAGTTCCTACATTGCGACATATAACAAAAAAAATTAACGAAGACAATATTTATACAGGGTCGCATGAAACTTTGAGAAAAGTGATGAGAGATATGTGATTTCAATGGAAGAAAGCGAAGAATAACAGGAAAATACTAATAGAAAAACTCGATATACAAGTGCTCCAGAGGAAGTTCCTCAGAAATATTAAACAATATAGGAAAGCAAATCGGCCCATAATTTACATGGATGAAACTTATATTCATTCCTCTCATACCCATGACAGATACTGGGGAGACAATACCACCGAAGGTATTGAATTTTTGTTTAAAATAAGTTTATTTTGAAGTGCGAATTCCACTTTGGAAATACGAAATACCAATAAATTAAACAAATTTTGTTTTTGTTACTTGGTAAAAAAATTCTTCTAATTTTATTTTATCTGACTTATTCACTGTTTGAGATATATTTTATACGATATATTTCTACAAAATCTCCTTACAAAAATAAAATATTCGGTAAAATTAAACAGTTTAGTACCTAAATACCGGATGTTGTCAGCCATCCCAGCGGGGCTGATTATTGTAAAGAAATAAACAACAGATTAAAATATTAATGACTTATTAAAATACTAAAATCAAAGACAGAAAAATCAAAGTATATGACTATATAATATAAATATAAATGATTACAACTCTAGTAATAAATGTTTCGTCGGTATGTTCCTGGTATAAGATTAACTACTGTTCTTTTATTCTTATACAGTTTTCTTGATACTTAGCAAAGTCGACGTCATTGTCTTTGCTAAGAGACGCTAATTGTATCCGAACGTCTGCGGTCCCTCTGGTGAGTACCGATCACACAAGGATAGAAATTATTTTCCTATACAGTTAACTGTAACGCAAATGTAAAGCTTTCAATTCTGCCAATATTCCTCTTATAAAACTACAGAACGAGACATTTACAGAAGTGTTCGAAAAAACTGCCGCTTCAACATGACTGAATTTGAGTCAATATTAATGAGTCAAATAAAATATAATTATTAGAATTTTTTTACCAAGTAACAAAAAATTTTGTATTTTGAGAAAAATTTCAGAAGGAAAAATTGAAACGTCAAAATAACATACAATATAGACATATCATAGAAGTTCCATTAATAAATAAGGTCACTCTTTGTAAACTTGTAGTATGGAGTGTACCAACGAGGCGAAGAGACCGAGCGCATTATGTATCCTTTTCTTCCGAATGCATTCTCACCTAATTTTCTAGGCAAGTGGACAAATTTGTCAAGTATCACCTTAAATTTGACAAGCTGTACAAACAAAATCTGTTGCCTGTTGCTCCGATGATGTGTGAGCAGATTTGATGAACTGGTAAACATGCAATTCTCATTACAATCAATTTAAACCATATATGGTTTAAAAATTGATTGGCCCATATAAACTAATATGCCACAAGAAAACAATTTTAGAACATGCTAATTGACCGAATGATTTTAATACAATATCATACATAGCTACAGTTGTAAAGACTATTTATTAGGAACTTTTCTTCCCTCTTTAAATAAAACACAAATTCGGATTTGACTTTTTATTTTATTCATGAACGAACATAATTATTGCAGTAATTTTTTAACTGTTACCAAAAACGTTGTCTAACAATTGAAAAATTGTGTAAAAAAGTAAATTTTAAAAAAGCTTTGTCTGCAAGTAATACTGCACAATAGTTAACAAAAGTTACAAAAATGGAATGAATAATTTAATCAACTTCTTCAATGGTTGGTCCAGCACCTCCGGCGGCACCTGCAGCTCCTGGAGCTGCTCCACCTGGGAAACCGCCTGGCATGCCACCTGGAGCTCCACCGGCACCTTGATACAACTTGGTGATGATGGGGTTGCAGATGTTTTCGAGCTCCTTTTGTTTGTGTTCGTATTCTTCCTTCTCAGCTAATTGGTTAGCATCCAACCAAGCAATAACTTCATTGCATTTCTCCATGACGGTGGTTTTGTCGCTTTCGCTGATCTTATCCTTGATTTTGTCATCTTCCATGGTGCTCTTGATGTTGAAACAGTAAGATTCGAGAACATTTTTAGCTGAGATGGTAGCCTTTTGCTTATCATCTTCATTACGGTATTTTTCGGCATCATTAACCATTCTTTCAATGTCTTCTTTGCTGAGACGACCTTTATCGTTGGTGATTGTGATCTTGTTTTCTTTGTTGGTGGATTTTTCAATAGCTGTGACATTTAAGATACCATTGGCATCAATGTCAAAGGTTACTTCGATTTGAGGGACACCACGGGGTGCAGGAGGAATGCCGGTAAGTTCAAATTTACCCAAGAGGTTGTTGTCCTTGGTCATGGCACGTTCACCTTCATATACCTACAAATAAAATAAAGTGAGTTAAAATTTGCTCAAAAATGAGTTAATTGTTGAAGAATTTGTATTTACATTGGTTTATTCAGATTATGTAATTTTTTTTGCGTTGGTATTAGGAACATAATTGATTCATCATGTCTGTATCAATGCGAGCTGAGTGGATCATCATTTTAAACCAATGCTTACAAATTTTCATAATTTTCGTAATGATTTTTTTGTATTACTAACCTGAATAAGTACTCCGGGTTGGTTGTCAGAGTAAGTAGTGAATGTCTGAGTTTGCTTGGTGGGAATAGTGGTGTTACGTTTGATGAGGGCAGTCATAACACCTCCAGCAGTTTCAATACCCAATGAGAGTGGAGTGACATCGAGCAAGAGCAAGTCCTGTACTTCCTCAGACTTATCTCCGTGCAAGATGGCAGCTTGGACGGCTGCACCATAAGCAACAGCTTCATCGGGGTTAATTGATTTGTTCAATTCTTTACCATTGAAGAAATCTTGCAACAGTTTTTGTACCTTTGGAATACGGGTAGATCCACCAACCAATACAATATCATGGACTTGAGATTTGTCCATCTTGGCATCCCTGATGGCCTTTTCTACAGGTTCCATGGTAGATCTGAATAAATCAGCATTGAGTTCTTCAAATCTAGCCCTGGTGATTGAGGTGTAGAAGTCAATACCCTCAAATAGAGAATCAATTTCAATGCTAGCTTGGGTCGATGAGGAAAGGGTTCTCTTCGCTCTTTCACAGCTTGTTCTCAAACGACGGAGGGCACGTTTGTTTGTGGTAAGATCTTTCTTGTATTTCCTCTTGAATTCTCCAACAAAGTGATTGACCATTCTGTTGTCAAAGTCTTCACCTCCTAAATGAGTGTCTCCAGCAGTTGATTTTACTTCAAAGATACCATCTTCAATTGTTAAGATTGATACATCAAAAGTACCACCACCTAGATCGAAAATGAGGACATTTCTTTCACCTTGACCCTTCTTGTCTAAACCATAGGCAATGGCAGCAGCAGTGGGCTCATTAATAATACGTAGAACCTGTAATAAAATAAGATTTGTTAATTTGGTACAAAAAATTGTTAAATAGGTTTAATGCTACTGAACAGAATGATAACTTTTATAATCAGCACATTCCCAGCCAAATTATTAGATGCAATCTTAATTTTTTTTATAAATTTATTGTTTTATGAGTTTATATATGTGTCTGTGGCTGCTTATATTACTCATATTTGTTCAGATAAACATTAAACAATCTGCTTGAACGCTTTTATCATTGGTGAAAAAATCTTTCGCCACATAAAAAAAGGTGAATTAAAGGTGCTCATGAAAATTAAAATATTTTCAAACCATGAAATATCAAAGATTGAAGGTTTCTGAAGCTAGTGTATGACACAAAGAAAAATCAGGGGACAAATTGAGCCAAAAATTAAAAAAAAAATGTGCCAGAAACCCTACTTTCACTCAGAAAGATCTTTAGGGAAAAGATTTGCCTGTAAAACAGATTTACTACCACAAAATTGATAAAATTGCAACTCCAAAAAATGTCAGTGTCAATGCTTCGGGAAGCCACAGTTAACATCTGCAATGAAAGCAAAGCATCTGAATTGGGTCAAACAGTGGCATGATAAATATGTGGACTTCTATGAGATTACTAAGTTCATAATTTCTTCACGAATATGCATTTAACCAACAAAAGGACTAACGCACATTTATTTTTCTAATGTTGACAAGTCGAATTAAGTGATGAAGCAAATTTTAAATCTTGCATAACAAAGCTCAGTTTGTGTATCATCATCATGGAGAAGAGTTTCATCCAGACTGTTGTGCAGTCACTAGCAGCAAGAGTACTAAACTTGGTTTCATCGTTCTTGGCATGTGCCTGAAATAAGCCTACAGAATTTTTAATATTTGTCTCTCTCTGATACACAGATGAGTAATTCAATTGTGTGAGTCACGTTTGTCATGGTAAAGTGCGATGAGAAGGGAATGAAGAGACCACGCACGTCTCACAGTATTGTAGCAATAACATCAATGCGTTTGGCTGATACGATGTCGGTGATAAGTTCGGCCTCTTTACGAATACAGATAGCTGCCACTGGACGAGGTAAACGAATCAAGCTTAGACAAGGAAAGACAGATGAAACAACTTATTGCAAGTGTTTTTACACGCGCACCCCAAGAAAGATGAAAACGTCTATAGACACCTATATGCTGTAAAAGGAATAACGAAACAAGACCAGTACAGTTGGCTCCACAACTGCATTCACTTTTATGCAAGATGAAGTTCCCTACCATAAAGCACTCGATCTGCTTGACAGAACCAAAGCTTTTTTGACATAACAATACATCCCTTCGCTGGGATTAATTAGCCAGGTAAGAGCAACAATATGAACCCCATAGAAAAAGTTTGAGAATTGATGAAAAGAAGTGGCTAAATATATGATCACAAACAAAACGAAGCTCTTAGAAAGAATAATTGATGTGGAATCATCATCCTCACATGCAGGAGACAGTACAAGTTTCCAGGATTAAAGCTCTCTATTTGAGGCTAAAGGTGGCTCTACAAAATATTAACATTTGTCATTATTTCTGTTTTCTTTCAAGAGCCAATAAATACATATATTTCATTGTTTTTTCTGTGATGAAATATGACAATTAAATGGTGAACCAAACAACATACTTTGTGTCTGGTACCAATTATCTCTGGTGTTAAAACCAAATTAAGAAAGCAGCTTTTTTAAATATGTGGATTTCTTTAACATTCATATTTATTAGCTGTTATTTATGATCTGATGAAAGCAGATTTACAAGTAAAACTGAATTTAGTTATGAAAAATAGCATGTACTGAATTGAGTTTACATAGGATTGTTATTTTTGAACTTATAAAATGAGTCATCATGCAATATCCATGGAGCTGAAGAACAATGGAACCTAGTCAGTGGGAAGATTTACAAATATACCAAGTAAAACAAGTGATATTTTCAGTAACTCTCTGACAATGCCCAAATGTATGTTAAAAAATGTTGATGAATCTTTCTAAATTGAAAGACAATTACAGAAACAAAAATGCCAAAATCGCCCATTTATGAAAAACATCTTCATTTAAGAAAATCAATAGTTAAATCTTGTAAAACAAATAAGCTTGAATCAATGAAAACACAATAGTGTTAGTAGATTTATATATCAGCTGCTAATATTAATTCTTATTTAATTTTTAAGTGCTTACTTTTTTAAAATCAATTTCTTTTATTTTGCCACTCATTATTCATATTACTAATTCAACATTTAATTGTGTCATTGCTGCTATTGTAAAAATTAAGACAGCATTTGTTAGTAAACCTATCATTCTGTACATTTTCAGACAATAAGCTAATCATAGTAAAGTTCATAAACTCTAGTCTGGCATGCTTATTGGATTATCATCATATAAAATCTGCATGAATTGAACATTTATAAATATATGAACATAATTTACCTGAAGTCCAGCAATGGTTCCAGCATCTTTGGTAGCTTGACGTTGTGAGTCATTGAAATAAGCAGGTACTGTGATGACAGCATTGGTGACATTCTTTCCTAGGTATGCTTCTGCTGTTTCCTTCATTTTTGTGAGGACCATGGAACTGACTTCTTCTGGATAGAAGGATTTCTCTTCGCCCTTGTAGGCAACTTTAATCTTTGGTTTACCGGCATCATTTACTACTTCAAATGGCCAATGTTTCATGTCAGACTGTACAGCACTGTCATCAAAGCGACGCCCAATAAGACGTTTGGCATCTACATAAATAAAAACACAAATTAAACTCTTTCTTCACACTTAACAATTTCTTGGCTTGTTTTAAGCTTCAGATAATAAGCTAATCATAGTAAAGATCATAAACTCTAGTCTGGCTTGCTTATTATGATATCATCATGTACATAACAAATATTAGATCATAAAACAGCATTCAAACTTACCAAAAATTGTGTTATTGGGGTTCATGGCTACCTGGTTCTTGGCAGCATCTCCAATGAGACGTTCTGTGTCTGTGAAGGCCACATATGATGGTGTGGTTCTGTTACCTTGGTCGTTGGCAATAATTTCAACTTTGCCATGTTGGAAAACTCCTACACAGGAGTAGGTTGTTCCTAAATCAATACCTACAGCTGGGGCTTTTGCCATCTGAAAGAAACAAATCACTTATAAAACAGTCCTCGTCTCAGTAGCAAAATTTTAAGAGGTTATATCACGGATGACAAGAAAAAAGTATAGATTTCTGCAATGTCTGCAATCAGCCTTAAAAATAGAAATACGACATTTGAAGAAAATTAACTGATGAGATTTCAAGAACACATCTGAATTTTATTTCAATGCAATCAAGTCTTAACTAAAAATGAATTTGAAACACTGGAAATTTGAAAAACGATCAGCCCTGTAAAATATCTACACCCGCCCTATATCTGAACAAACAAGATTAATATTATCAAAAACCACGTGTTTGTGAAATTAATATTGGAATTATGAAATCATATAGACCAACCTTGAACTTTTCCTTGATAATATTTTATAAGCTAGCGTCATAGACGCTTCTAGAATAGTCTACCCGGTTCATAAATTTTTAATGATACAAGATACAGCGGTAATTTAATTATGTATTTTAAATACAGAAATCTTTCGACAAAGATAATTTTCATGAAAGAGAAACAATGCTATGGGAATAAAATAAAACAAAAACTACTAATCATTCCCGGAAAAGCGTCTTGGACCCCACCTATATTTGAAACTATACCTGATTATTTATAAACCATGCATATTCTAAAATTCTAACTGAACTCACGAAATAAACATTTAATAATGCAACAAATGCTTCTAAACGTGAACAGGAACTTACAACTAGAAAAACGTGGTCTTCTATCAAATGGCGATATGTATTTTATTCTTGTCAAATTTTGACGTGAATTTAATTTATATTAAAACAAATTAAAATAGAATATTAAATAAAATAAAAACAGTATATTTACCTTAAAATTAATTATTTGCAGACAATTCTTAAATAAATACTTAAATTACGTGTGCACTAGAGCAACGACTGCAATCAAATCGAACGAATCCAAGCGATGGCCTGCTTTATACGAGGTCAAAGAATATTCTGGAAGTTCTAGAATCCACCAATGAGAACGCAGATTTTGATCGACACGCAAGTCTCTAGTGGCCAATAACAAAAGATATGGATGTTGTGTAGCCATTTCCGGAATTGATTTTTGTATTTTTTAGAAAAGTTACAACACACATTTTGTTCATACTACAATTTTGTTATTGTTTTAATATGTTTTGATGTACTGTTAAGTAATTTTTAACAAACTCTTTGTTGTTTATTAAAACACTTTTGGCGGTAGAACGCAAAGTTTTTTGCGGCAGATTTGAAATTATCAGCTGTTGGTGTAAATCAAATATCAAAGCACAATAAAATACTCATTTGGTTTTTTATGATTTTGTTTTAATTCTCTTTTCAAACTGTAAAAATTCTTATACCTATTTAAACGTTCTTTATACAGTTTTTAAATAAACATGCACGTGTCAGTTCGGCGGAAATCGGAAATAAAAATTAAGGTTAACAATATCTTATATGGATGATTCAATGCAATGCCATTGATTAAATATGCAGAAATATAAGCAAAAAAAACTACAGGATAACCCGAGAATAATTCTGACGCAAATACTTTTTTTGTTGTTCAGTCGAATGTAATTCATTTTGTCTTTATTGAGATTGCCAACTGTCTGTCCCCAACTCAAGGAAACTTATTTTTGAATTTTTTTCATGTGAAATGTTTCGCCCTCAAATTTAAAATTTATTGTTAAATATTTTTGATCAAAGACGATATATTTATCAATAGTTAAAAAATTTAGATTGTGGGCGTCTTATAGTGATAAAATAATCTGAGGATATCGGCATTTAAAAAATACACAATTAAAGAGAAACATTGAAGAAAGGAAGTGCAGAAAAAATGGAAAATGACAAGAGTATTTATTGTCTATAGATTTTTACCCATTAGAACCTATTCCTTGAAAACTAAAATGAATAAAGATAAATTTATTAGACATAATTATTCATTGCGTCGTATACTGAACGTTTGATGAGTACATTGGACTTGTGACAAAGTTCATTAGTGAAGAATCTACGATGCAATGCAAGTCTCAACTTATGCAATTATTAATTTGCAAGGTTTCCTTGCCTAAATGTATAACTAATGGGCAAGTTTATGGTAGTGAATCAGTTAAATATTTTTAATATCTATATGAGTACCTTATATCATGTACCACATATTATACCTGTAGGTATAATTTTATATTTCAATCTACCAAATCGATACCTTTCTCATTATGGAAAACCACTGGCTTAATCATGCAGTGGTTTTGTTTATCAATAATTATGTAATGACTGATGTGCTTATGATCATAATTAGTATACAAATACATATTTTAGTATCAATGAAAAATAAGCCACGTACAACTTTTATACAGGATAAAATGTTATAACTCAATGGACATAAGGTAATCCGTATATGTAACAGAGATGTGTAAATTCCGCGAATATTTAATATCGTTTTTTATTACGATTTGGTATTTTGTAAAATCTGTGTATGCATTTTTAATTTGTGTTTATTTAATTTCACTAATATCAGATCAGATTATACTTTAGTTATTGTCGTAGGAAAGGGACGCCAAAGTTATGCAACCAGAAAAACAATTATGTTTATCTGGTAAAGATATTCTCTTCTCTTCTCTTGAAAAATGATTAGGTTATCCCCATGGTACAAAGAATAACATTCTTTGTACCATGGATTATCCCTCAATTGCCCGACTATTTTGTAAACTTAAAAGAAAATGTTTTAATTTGTATATATGCTCAAATATGCATTTACAACTGGTAATATTTTTAGATTTTTTAAATTTTGTTTGGGAGTGTTGCCCTCAGGCAACTGTGGACAGCAAAAACTAACGAATTTATACTTATTTATTATGCCAATCAAAAAAACAATTATTTGTAGTTGTAAAACATAAAGCAACTTTATATTTATCGCACATTACTTTAGGAGTATTACAGCAACCTGGTTTTTTGTATCTTTCCTTTTTTTCAGAAACTACTGGCCAGTGGGAGGTTTGGTCAAGCCTAACTTCCTATGGTAGTACAATAGCAGTAGGTCCTCTCTTCTGTTTTTTTACAATTTCGTTCTCAATTTAACTGAGCCTGGGACGTCCTTTGTCTTTGATCTAGTCAGTTCTTGCTAACAGTACGCTACATAAGTGGGACTTAAACTGTAAGAAAGGCAACTAGTTTTTCTTTTCAATTTCAAAGTAATCGCAATCACGACGATACAACAACCAGCTGTTAACAACAGCTAAATCCAAAAGGTGAAAAAATATTTTTAGACATCACTTTTTAGATCTTATGTTTGTTCGGTAAAGAGAAATTAGTAAATATATAAGATCGACATCTCCCATAAATTTATTATAAAATTGTACTGCATTTGGACAGCATACATCAATTCTTGATTTTTGTTTCTTATCCCACCTCTTGACTAACGAAGTAGGCTGAGAACCAACAAATGTACTAAGCAAATGAACCGGTTTATTATCGTACCACTTTAACGCTGTTAGTATTATGCCATCTACTGTAGCGTGCTTTTCTTCTACAGTACCTCTGCTCTGTTTCTTCATATTCTTGTCATCAGAAAAATGGCAATTAGGCAATCTATTTGGATGAACAGTTCCCAAACATTGCAGTCCACGTTTTTCCATTTCAATCTGCAACTGAATGGTATTGAACCAGTTGTCAAAATATATTTTATAGTATTACAATATTATTAGCAATACCATTGCTATCCCACAAAACAGATGCCTTGTATCCCCATTTTTTGGGTTTGTTCTTCATATATTGGTTTAAAGAATGTGCCACTTTGAATGGTATCATTTGTTCATCAATACACAATTTTTCACTCATTGGAATACTCTGAAAATTTTGAACTAGACCGTTGATGAATGGTCTAGTTTTGTAGAACTTATCATTATTGTTGACCATATTTTCGTTATTATTGAAAAGAATTTTAGTTGTTATTTCTTCCCAGCGATTTCTAGATATAGTGTCAACTATTTGAGCAACACGTGTTTCTTTCTGCCAAAATGATCTTGTTATTGGGAAGCCATATATTAATATCAGTAGAACAGATCCATTTTTCAGATTAATTCTGCTATTTTCTTTTTAGTGTCATATTCAATGGTATATTTATATTGTTTTGCAGTGCATACAAATTACTTTGTTCTACTATATTTTCCAGCATATTGGTAGATATTATCATCTTTTTAAAACAATGTAGAGGGGATTCCGGTTCTAATAATTTGCATGTCGGTAAATTACCTTTCCATTCTGGAATTGGAAATGCTGTTCGGGGACCACTCTTCCACTGAATGTTTTTTTCGATCATTTTTGACCTTTTGAACACATTTTGTTCAGTGTGTTTTTCTGTTTAATCATCCTCATCTTCATCTTGGTCTAAATCTAAATTGGTATCCTGGTCTAAATTTGCTTCGTACAAATCGTCATTTTCCATTTCATTTTATCCTGGATCGACTGATATTTGAGTACCTATGGAAAATTCATTATCACTCTCTTCAAAGTAGAGTCTTCGGATTTGTTGGGAACTTTTACAAACAATAACGGATATTTACTACTTTTCCCGTAGAACGTTTTTGTATCCATCCTAAAAAAATAATTTAAAATGATATGGTCCAGTGTGGATTCAAAGCAACATACCTGTTTTTAATCACAGTACTGAAACAACACAATAAAATAAACAAATTTCTTCGGCAATCAATATCTAAATGCTGATATAATGCCTGTATGTATTTTTATATAAATTGTATACAATTTATAACAATAAATCACGATTGAAAATACAAACTAATAAGGCAGCCATGTGCATTTGACATACTGTTAAAAATTTCCATGTAGGTTATGTCATAGGTTCATAGATGGCACTAAGTGTGAAATCGACAGAGGGCATCTTAGAGTCGGAAATTGTTTTAAAAAAGTTTTCTGTTCTGCATCAATAACTCTTTTGCTACCTTGAGTACACACGGGACTATAGAGGGTTAACTATTGGAAAATGTGTTATTGTAGTGCCAAGTGCCATGCACAATTTTTTACCTAGACTGGCTTTCTGAGTTTGTACTGCAAGTTTGTACTGCAAGTTGTCTAAGTTAGCAATATATTTTATTTCGTATAATGTTACTACTTCTCAAGAATTAATTTTGAACTGCACTCTATTGGTTTTATGCTTGGGTGTTCCAAATGGTGGAGCTTCAAGATTTACTTGTTTACTGTAATTGTATCTTTAGCTCAAGCTACCCATCTGAATCTGATTTTTATGGCCTTGACAATACAATTTGTTTTAGCTTTTACAGTCGGTATTTTGTAATGATATATTCTTTTCAGAGTTTATATTACTTTTCTGTCAGCATTATCAAATGCAATATGCAACGGTCGTAACAAGTCTGCAGCAGTCAAAAGGCCAAAAGGAATAATTCCAGATAGAGGAACACAAAGTATCATTACAATACTGCGGATTGAACCATTTAAATCCACAACAGTTTTTAAAAACTTTATTATTAACAAACGCAAGGGACACATTATGAAATTTATTTATACAAAAGATCTAAAAATTAGAAAAGTACGATTGATAGATCAATCCGAACGATGTGGTGGCGAAGTACAAAAAACAGCACCACCACGTAGCAAATCCGAACAACCCCCTGAATACAGTCTTCGGGAAAACAGACTTGAGACTCTCCAAGGTCAGATGGAATTCGGCTGCGGTGTCTGATATCGATTTTGAGTCTTCGCTAGAACCGAAGATTTCCATATTCGGCAAAGACTTTTCGGTTGCTACCATTGTGTCATTGTCGGACGGTTGGTACTTTAACAGTTCGCCTGTCCACTGGTATTCGCCGAGAGTTTTGTACATCAGAGTGAAGAAAGAACACAGGACGATCGGTGCCACATATTGTAGAGTTACCACGCAAAGATAGTAAAAAACTGCAGCAATCTACAAAATAAATAAGGATTAAACAGGTAAATTATAAAAAAAATAGTCTAGATCTATCGAAAAATCGTAATTTCGTCTAATTTGTTGACTTGTGATAATTTGGTAAATTTTTTATTTAGATGCGATAAAACGCAGTATAAAAATGGAAAATACCCATTGTTGCGTAACAAATTGTTAAAATACAAGCAAAAATCTTTGTTAAACGTTTTATAGATTTCCTAGGTGCTGTCATATACTATATCATGATACTATAACAACAAAATATGCTCACTTGCCGTTCTAATTTTAATCGACTTTGCGCATGACGTCATAGGGGACTTGTGTTTATCATATTTTAACGATGCATCATATGGCAACGTTGTTCCATTACTGTAATGAACAACTTCAAAACTTGAACTGTTAACGGTAAGTATACCTCGATGCCATATAATGCACTCAGAAGTCATAACTAGTTACTTTCTGTGAAAAGGTGGTTTGAAAATTAATAAGTAATTTGTAAAATTAATTAAAGAAATATATGAATCTACGATTTGATTGTTTGTATTACAAACAAAATAAATATTGCTACAAAACATAAATTAAATATAAAAGGCCGGTAAAATGTAAAGAATTTGACCATAAAGGAAAACCAGGTCATACTTGAGACTTTATGAATATCATTTAGACATTTATTTTGCAATTTTTGTGATTTTTCTCTTGTGGATATTGTAATTATCTTTAATATTTTTATTTAGAATTCTAAATTCGTATTTTAAAATACATTTTACATCTAAAAAAAATAATTTTACATCTTCGCTAACATTTACATATTTTGCAGCTTCTATTAAGTTTTTTAAATATTTTTTTGTTATTTTTAATGTGTCGCCATTATAACTACGAAAAATATGTTCCAGTCACTACATACTACATACATCCAAAGTAATGTTTTTTAAAGACCTATCAAAAAGTATTTCTTCAAGTTCTATTAAAATGGACATTAATATATATTATTATCCATAGACACATTTATTATCATCTGTAGAAACATTTGCTCTGCTGTTAAAGTGTGTCTAAAACCAACAAAGTCCTTACTACATCAATGAATAAATAAAAATATCATTCACTCAGTTTTGAAATACACAGGATAGCAAACTCGATTAACACAGCAACATAACTAACATGAACACTTATGAGCATTTAACTAACCGTCAATAAATTTGTCTCGGGCTTACGTCACAAAAACATGCGCGTTGACTTATCTTGTTTTGTTATAGTATCATGATACTATATATTGTTGTAGTACAAAATATATATGTATACAGCACTGCAACAGAGAACAATAGGTTGTCTAGATATGGTATAACTCAGTAACTTAAGTCAACAGACCAAGCTCGAAAATTAATTTTCTTCTTGTTGTAGTTCCTTCTCCTATCGGAGGTTGGCTATCATCACAGCTATATCACAGATTAATTTTAAAAGCTCTTAAATGTATATATTTTTAATTGAATATATATTTTTTTAAACTTTGAAAACTTTGATTCTTACAGAAGATTATCAATTTATATTTTTTTGTTTATACAGCTTATTTCAAATCGAGTGGCAAGCCTTTCCACGAAATTGTTAATCGGGCAGACAATAGAATATCTATGATCAGACCCATTCAGTGGCGTTGCAATATTAAACAAATTAAATTATTTGAAATCGCACTAATTACAAAATTATTACTCACTTAAATAATAACTGGAGTTTGATTACATACAGATTGTTTGATAGATACCAAACTTTTTGTTTGTTATAATACCATCTTTAATAATTCATACTCTATAAAGTTTGGTAAAAGTTAATTTTAAATTTAGTATCAATAAACTTAAAATCGTAATTATAAAGTCATTATTAATGACTCCTTAACGACTCGTTAAGGACATACAAAGCACTGATAAGAATTATTTCCGAGAATTTCTATTCACTGTATTTCAAACGAGTTCGTAATTTACTCTCATTATGTTGTCTAGTCTCAACAAGAAAGGTGCTACCACGCGTATTAGAACTATTTTGTAGAATGGTGATAGTTAAGTTAAGTTAAGCTGGAGGCATTTGAGATGTGGGCGTACCGAAGAATGTTAAAAATCTCCTGGAAGGATAAGATAACTAACCAAGTTGTATTAGACAGGATGAACAAACAAAAGGAGGTCGTATTGAGTGTTAAAATGAGGAAACTACAATACCTGGGACATATTACACGTGGGAATAAATATCAACTGTTACAACTAATTATGCAAGGAAAGATTGAAGGTAGGCGCAGCATAGGTAGGAGAAGAATGTCGTGGTTGAGAAACCTCAGGGAGTGGTTTGCTTGCACTTCCATACAATTGTTCCGAGCGGCAGCCTCCAGGGTCAAAATTGCCATGATGATAGCCAACCTTCGTAGCGGAGATGGCACGTGAAGAAGAAGATAGTTAAGTGTAGTACGAGTAAACAGATCAGATTGACACCAGAATCCAAAGGAATATTTTACAATGTAGTTAAATATATGCAAATACCATTTCTGAAGATAATCGAACCAGTATTAAACAACGCGTGAGTGGAGCTACTGGAATATCTTTACATACAGTAGAAAGGATCATTCAACAAGCGAGTATGTTAAGAAACGCAGAGTCAAATAATACACTAACATTTTCAGCTTCAACACTTACTAAAAGGAAAGCAACCGTGACAGACTTGAGGGAGTATGACAAACAGTTCATTAGAAATACCATTCATCGTTTTCATGAGACTGAACATTGTCGTGTATCATTGAAGCTTTTGCAGAAAAAGTTAAAAGAGGTGTACGAGTGGACTGGAAGTCAGAGTTCTCCCTAAGAAAGATTTGGGATTTAAATGGATGAAAACAAAAAATAATCGACGTGTATTAATTGAACGGAATGATATTCGTGCTCTACGCATTAAATATTTGGACAAAATTGTATATGTCAATAATTGTGTATGTTGATGAAACCTATGAACATGCACACAAGTAGGTTGGTTATTGTAGTGTCGTGGACAGATGACAGTGGCAAAGGAATGTTCAAAACCATTTCAAAAAGAAGTAGGTTGGTTATCGTACATGGTGGTGGGAAGATGGGTTTCATACAGAATGCCCTTTTGATTTTTTAAGTCAGGAGCTAAGACAGGAGATTATCATGATGATATGAATTCAGAAAATTATGAAAAATGGATGAAAGAACAGTTAATCCCCAATTTGCCTATTGGATCTGTTGTTATTAGTGATAATGCGTCATATCATAATGAACAAATTAATAAATCACCCACCAGTAATTCTAAAAAAATGGATATGATATCTTGGTTGACAGAAAAAAAATTATTATTTGTAACATCAATGTTAAAACCGCAATTGTATGAAACAGAACGTTTATTTTAAGTTAGAAGACGCAAGAGTGTTGGTGGAACACGAATTTGCTAGAGTAACTGTAGTTAATTGGAACGTGTGTGAATATGTTGTCAATGTTGAAGATAAGTATTTGGAAAGTGAACGTCGCATAGATGTAATTAGCGAAGAATTAAGGATTGATTTAAATGATGACGACAACAGTGCATCTGATTATGAAAGTGAATAATATAATTTAACATTACGATGTACCTATGTAATATATGTGAATATAAGTTTTCCAAACTGTTCTATATGTATGTATTATTTTTTACTTTATTACAATCATTTCGTATACTCTTCTATTTAACTTTGTAACGTTTAAGTGAGTAATAATATAAATAATAAAGGTTTTAAAGTTAAAAAATGTTTGTCATTAATATTTATTAAGGCTGTTTTAGCAGTCAAAGCACACTACGATTTGAAATGGGCGTATCACTTACTTTTCTACACTGCTTACGCCAGCCGACGACGGGTACAGCAGGTACAGTGGCGCCGACCGACGGATAGTTTAATGACAACAAATGCATTATTCTCCATTCAAATTAGTTTTGTCGGGAATATCTTTTTTGAATAATTATCGTAGATGTTTTAAAAATGTTTATCACATTTTTAATTTATATGTCTTAGCTAAATATGGTATTGAATAAAAATTTGTGAAACTTGACTGCAAAAAACAACATGGTGTTTATTTATAATAAATTTAAAATAACAAAAAAATATTATTACCAAAAAAAAATACAATTTGTTGTTAAAAGAAATAAACAATTTCGCAGTTATAGCTTGAAAATGATTTCAAATCGAACTAACTGACCGTACGTTCATAAGATTTGACGTCACGAAGCCGATAACGGTGGAACTAAGTGCCAATGATGAGTAACACGTTTCACTATTAGATTTCAGTATTTTTTAGCAATTTTCTTCAAAGTTTGAACAGGCTTTTCTCGATTATTACCGGACACAGAAAGATGAAAAAAATCAACGATTAGTTTAAAGTCAACAGTTTAAAGGCAACATAATTTTGAATGACGTGTCCAAATTTCGAGACATTTTGTCGGTAAATAACAGAGAAAACACTATCTCTAGGTTTTGATGTACCGATAAAACAGCATTAATACATACTGTAATACGTATCTATGTATCATTGTTTAATAAATTGTGTGTACCTATCTTTAACAATTTAATTTAAATCATTTTTTTGGAACGCAACTGCTTTGTTTGGTGAGGCTTTACTGTTCCGCCACTACAGTTGAAACATACTCTAAAACTGATAAATTTCATATAAACGTTCGCTTTAATTTAAATCCAAGCTGATATTGAAGTGTTTTCTGATAATTTTGATTTTTCAAAGAATAGCAATACGATAAAAGTGATCTAAGTTTATTCTTTTTCCACCAGAGGTCGTCGGGTCATGAACAGCTCACAGTAACTACTATTTTAATAATAACCACGTAATGTCATAAAAAAATTTGAGGCAAATTTTACACAAATAATCCATGAATGATATTTAAGAGTACATTTTACCCTTAAATTCAAAAACATAATTTTTAATAGTATATTAACTAGTAAATTTTTTAGATTAGAACTCAAGGCTCTTATTTTTGTCTTTCACATTTTAAATTGAGAATTAAATGACTATCTCATTTGCAAAATGTGCTGTTACAATTAATGTAACATGCTTTATTTGTCGTCAAATTTAATTTCATTTCTTAAAAATATTTCGAATTTATTTTTAAATAGACACTCCATCTTTATAGGAGCAGTAGCCACTTCTAGTTTTCAACATAATTGACAAATATTCTAATGTTTGCATTCACTTGTGTTCGACCAACCAGGCGTTGGTAAGTATTGTTTTTAAATTATTTTTTTGGTAATGAGTTTTGTTTTCTCATGTAGAAAAACGCCTTAATGTTTTTTTATGTTACCTACTACTAGTAAATTTTAAAGTTTGGAGATTAAAGGTTGAGATTCCTCTCTAAGGATATTTTTTTCCTGTTATTCCTGTATCGAGGATGTTTCTTAATATTTGAATGGTATGGGTTTCTTCGTATGGATTTAAGACCATTCATATGGTTGGATACGACGTATCTATGGCTGGGAACATGGCAAGGTTTAACATTAAGTTAAGTACAACATAAATGTATTAATTGTAGAGTCAAATTGGTGCACTTAAATTAAAAATTTCATTTATTTAAATTTTCTTTGTAATTTAACTTTCACGTTTGATTTAATTAAAGTGGTTATACTTATTTTAGGATAGCACTGTTGATGGAATAGTTATTCCAAAAACGTGCTGATATCTGTCTTTTTTTCCACTTTTTAGGTAAATATATAACGAATTTTTGTGTTAAAAATTGTAACACAAAGTGTGGATTTAATGACTTTATGTTTTATAAAATGTGTTTTTCGTGGTCTAATGGTCTTTTGTACTCTAAAATTCGTTTCTTGAAGACTTTCGTATTTGTCCTATGTAAATTTTTAGACATCTTCAATATTTTGTGAATAATTATTGTTTTTAGTTTCTAATTTTTATACCTGCTTGGTTTATACTAATGATTCATACAATTGATACTGGTTTTCTTTTTTATTTAAATCTCTTAAGCTCAAAATATACCGCCATATATATCTTTGCTGAGCAAAAACCAATAAACATCAGTCTTTTTTTTTCCTTTTTGAATGAATATCAATAACGAATTGATGATTTGGATTCAAAAATTATGGATTCAAAAATCAAAAGATTGACCAAAAACACTGAAAGATTCTAGATCACATCCAGTCTACTTCATGTAGACCTGTCACTTGGTCGTGAGATCTTTGCAACAAACTCTTTTCTTTCATTTCTCCCAATCTCATTTGTGGAAGTGATTTTTGGAGGCCTTGATCCATTAGTATCCCCAGTGTGCATATATTTCTAATAAATCGCATTGTAGATTTGGGGTCTACCATGTATGCAGTACTCCATCGGTAGCCATCTGGGAGCCGTGACTTGCTTCAGTCTGAGTTCCTTATTTTGTTTTCCAAGACATGCTAATGCCAATGCCAGAACCAAACTTTGGATTTAGGTTCTTCCCTCTTAACTATGCTACTACCGACCCATAGAAATAAGCGATTCCATGGCATCCTGAAATTACAACATTTTTCGATGGTTCTATAGATTTTATACCGGCACTTAACTACATACATTAATTTGTTTTGTTCACCTACTTGCTTTTGCAGCTCCGTGTTGGTTATCCTTCCAGCTTCCTTCTTCTGATTTTCCAGTCGATGGAAAGCCATGTCGAGATAGGCTTGTAAATACCAAGGCATCAAAACTAATTTAAGACACATCGTGGCAACAATGGCTAATAATCTAAATGAATCGAAAGCATCTTTTGTCATCCTACAAGTACAATCGTCTAAACAGCTGAAAATTACCTAGGTAATGTTACTTACAGAGGCTCAGATCGTCCGGAGAAAATTCTGTCAGTCAAGTAGTCCCTGGATACCGGTTTTATCCAGAAAATTACCAGGATAAACGGCAAGGCGAATGTGAAGTTGAGAAGTAGCTGTTTTAGCTTGTTATCTTGAAAATATCTACAAAAAACATTTTGTATTTTATTGCTAGATAAAAGATTAAATTGTGGTTATTAACAGGTGAGAAAGAACTTCCAAAATAGAAGTATCATAAAAGGCAAGTCCAATATAACTTCGAAATATCTTGAGAAATGTTAAAACAAATTGTTTAACATATTTGTGCATGATTAATATTGTTATAATGTAACTGACACAATTAAAAAGTGAACAATAAATTATTTCCAAAGCAAACCAGGGATAGGACAGGACAGTGAAGGGGGGAGGACAAGAGGGTGGGTAGAAATGACTAATGAGACAGTAATTGCTTATTCCTCTTTTTATATCAAAAGCACCATTATTGTCTTGGCTCTGCAACTTTATTATGTTCCTAAGCTTAACATTCTTATGCTATTTATTATGTTCCTAACTTTATTATATTCCTGAACATGAAAACCTGGACAAAAAGATATGGTTGTTTATTTCTATAGTGCCAGATTCAGCCCTAACCGATAATATTAAACATTTTGTAGTTAAAAATAAAAGTACCCAATATGTGCAGGTCAAAAAATTAAAATAGAAATGCTAAGAGAAATAGATATTGATGAATAAATCAATTTTTTCTGTCACCTTTTTTCTAAACCTCTCATACTTTACGGGAAATTTGTGATAAGAGGGTAAATAGGAAAGTCAGAAATGTATTGTAGGGTAAAAAAATATATGCATACAACACTGCAACACAGAATGGCAGGTTGCCTAGATTTGGCACAATTCAGTAAGGTAAGTCAACTACCAACCTCGAAGATTAATTTTAAAAGTTTTTAGATATATTTTTTACTTGAATATATTTACTTTGAGTATAAGCAAACTGATATTGATTTAAAAATGAGTACAGCAAATTATAATTATTGTTTCTTGTCAAAAAGTGTAACATTATGTATATATTATAAGAGTTATCAATATCAATAGAAATATACTTTAAAATTACTTTTGTGTTTAAAAGAGCTTAAAACTATTTAAAACCTATCTTACAAAACATAAGCAAAGTAAAAAACACTGTTATAAACCAACAGCGGCTAAAGCTAATATTAACTTACTTTAAAAGTACCCAGTGCATTTTGGCAAGTCTAATTCCTGGGAAAGTGAAAAGAGCACCAAGAAGTCCACACCAGACAGCCATGAAGAACTTCAAAACAATTTTTGAAGCTGGTCCACTTCAAACAAAAACAAAATTATGTGTTAATGGAACTACAAAGTTTCTAAATAGTTACTTAAATATTATAACCTAATAAGTTTAAAAATAAGTCAGATCCCAAGAGACATACAGAGATACTCAGGAAAGACTGACACACTTCATTTCACTGAACACATAAATCACTCCTTTCTAATACATTCCAAAATCAACAAAAAAACTACTGTTACGTCGATACAAAGTTAAAAGGTAACTCTGTCTTGATTAAGTGAGAAATCAAGGTCTTACACAGTCATCAATGGAAAAGGAAATAACTTGTAAACAGTATTTACAAAGAAAGGGTATAAATCTGTAACATTTTTTTTATTATTAATATATTAAATATTTCTAATTCCTTTTACCCCCGTGCGATACGCCTATGATCGTGTATCGATAGCAAAATATTGTAGATACCCAGCTAAAATGGAATTCCCTAATTAGGAATGGTTTTTAATCCTTCCGAATGCAGTTTCCTTTTCATAAATTGGTAATTTTCGTCGAAGGCCCGTTTCTTTTGACACTAACTTAATCCCAAGTATTGTCTGTTTCTTATGTCCAATTGTTAATACCGATTATTTTACCTCAAAGTTTCCAATAGTCGTTAAGGCCTTACCTTCTGAGAAACACATACAACTGTCCTATCATTCTTGAGTGGGGGAATATTTTCTTCTTCCTTTTTCAGGGACAGTTGGTGAAATTTTGAGTGGAACCAAGTTACTTGTTGGTGGGCCGTTGTTGAGTTAAGGCCAATATCTCGTGTTACGCTTTGCTCACTTTATTTCTTATCGTATCGTCTTTGTGAATTATTTTCTAAGTGTATACACTTTATATTTGAGTTTTCTTTCCTTAGACTATATTAAATTATATATAGTTCTACACTACCTTTAATGGTTATTAAATTCAGTGTTTAGTACCAGAAAAGTATTAAATTCAGTGAATTAAGCTGCCTTCGTCAAGATCTACTGTAAGTAATTTTATCTACAATTATCTGGGCGAGTAATATGGTATGGTACCATATCACCTGCCATTATCTGGACGTATCATCTATATCTTCACCTGAAGATTGCCGATTTTTGAATGTAATTGAACCATTCAAGAAATTTCTATAAATATTACCTATGAACATACAAGTCTCAGTTTTTTATTAAATAATAGTGCGAGATAGTTAATTGACTTAGCCAAGTGCGGTTTGGTTTATGTTTTCATTCTTGTAACCTTTTTGTTTTTTTTTGTAAATTTAGAGTTAAGTAATTTTTGCTATCTTTTGTATTTCCTATAATTTTTGTTCATTATCTTTCCTATGATATCTCGAGATACGCCAAACTATATTTGTATATGATTGCCTTATACATCTTGGTAAAGGTATTTTTTTATTACATTATAGCTTAATTTTATACATATATAACACCATTTCATAGTTGTGTATTTTTATTACCTGGGTTGCATTTAGCAGCATCATAATTTTGTGTTTAATATATTGTTATTGTTTTATGCATGTATTTTATTTGTCGGCTCCTAACAAGTTCCCTGATAAAATAATAGCTCTGAACAATTACTATCTTTAAATATTACTATGCTTTTGAACTGTAGAAAGATCAGGCTGATTAAGTTTCGTAGGTAAGTAAGTGTAATACTTAATATATTTATTATTTGTTTATATATTGCGTTGACCAGATTTATTTGATAATTTACTGTTGGTATCTTTCCTTGGGTTTGATCTCTGAACCTAAATATCTTTTCTTATCTCTTTTCTTTTCTAAGGTTTTCTTAATTTTCTCCTTAACCCCAAAAAATTGAGTGGCGCCCTGTTTCTATCTTCTCTTATCTTTGGTAATTTTACCCATCTATCTTTTTGTTTATTTCTGTATCTTTTCTAATATCTCTTATCCTATCTTTACCTATTTCTTCCGTTGGATCCATTCCCGGTTCCAAAAGCTAGTTTCGAACCCACGACTCGCTCTCCACCAACCATCTGGCTGCCGTCCGCAGTGTCTCCATTGGTTATCTTTCTAGCACCACCCAAAAAAGATTTCCGAGGTTACAAATCTTTAACGCTTTTAAAGTCTAAACGGAATAAAGTCTACTAAAACTTGTTGATAAATACAAAATTATAAATTCAAAAGGAGAAAATGTCATAGTTAAAAATTTTCTAAAGGCGATCTCAGAAAATCTGAGCATAAATCATGTATTTGAACTCAAAACAGAACACAACTTCAGAAATACTCTTATTAACCTCCAACAAATCATGGACTCTATTAACACTGGCCCAGTTGATCAGCAGAGAAAGTCAAATGTCTTATATCCCCTTCTTACAAATTTAATCAATATATTGCTAAAATTTAGCTTTTTACTACTCCTTACAAAATAACCAACATAATAAGGATCTTCAAATTTGAAAAATTAATGGCAGACCTATTTAAATCATCAAAATACTCAGAAAGAATGCATCTTAAAAAAAAGACTTAGGTACTCTGTCATTATAATAACATACCAGACTACCAATGTAGTACCAAACAAAATTGTTAAAGATCATATGATTGTCAACATTAGAAATTCAGATTTAGATCAGTCAGAATGATAATTAGATCAAAAATCAAAAAGCTAGTAGACATTAGTCTTCCTTAATAAATCATTAAGATTTTCAAATTCTGTGGTATAAATACAGAAGTAAATCCTCCTCCCTCCCGAAAGTCACAATCATAGTTAGAGAGTCACTCAAATGCCAATACAACTCAATCTATCCAGAAACCCTTAAAATAGTAGAAAATTATTGACGAAAATCACTATCACATACAAATCCATAATCTACATTCTTCTAAATTTAACACTGAAAGAAAATAAATCCTCAGTACTGAATGTTGCATTTTAAATAACAAATATTGGGTACTTACGTTGATGACAGCCCTTGCTTCTCTAAAAACACAGAGGCACTCTTATTAAAGCTGTCGTAAGCATCTTCTAGACCAATCTCCAAGGTTTTTTCATCCACAATTAGTACCATCATGGAAATTAATAAATAGATAAAGCCCATGACGATACATGTTGACCTCTCTCCTATGGATTCTTCTCCTTTAAAATACTGTACAGTCAGACCTAACAATAATTTACTAAATAAAAGATTAAGGAAAACAATTACAACAACAGACTTTTGTCAATAAGTTTGTTACAGTATGTTTTTTAGCAGGTTTATATTAAGATTTGTTTATTTCTTTGATTTTTGTCTGTGTAATTAATTGTTTTAATTGGTGAGTGAATAATACTTTGTGGATTAAAAAGGATACATTGCAAATAAAATCACCAAAAAACACCATACCATACTCAAATTGATTTCATTTTTTAAAGGAAACCACACTTGATACAACTAAAACAGATACAAACATATAAACATATTATTTAACTGCTAATATAACTTACTTCTGTAGCTCCATAAATAACAGCAGCATACACAGAAAAATCCACAAGCCACTGGTATTCTGTATAGTACCTAATATGAATTACATCTTGTCTGGTGATCTTAATACTATCTAATTTTATATCCAATGATCTGGGAATATGAAAAGTATCTACGGTAGTCTTCCCGTTCGTTTGTGCTTTGGGATTTTTACGGTTCTTTGATTTTTCTTTGGGTATATTAGCCAATTCTCTTAATTCACTATCTGTGGGATAAAGGTATCTGATAAGCCCAGTTGAGCACAACAACCACCGAGCTAGGGAATAATGTGGCCCCAATTTTTGAATGACACTGATCATAATCAGTGTTATTACTAGCTGAGCTCCCAATAGTGCCTAAATGGTAAAATCAGTTAAAATATATGATTATACAGTGGCGACAAACAAACTTACCATTTTGATCTAAATTCTGTGGCCTAGATATTTACCCGTACCTTATTAACTTCATACTTTTGTGGTATTTATAGAAATTTCAGCAGGTACCTGAATTTACAGTCATAACCTTAAAAAATTGAGATTTAAAACGAGAGTGGCTACTAACACGATATCGAAATTAAGGAATTTTTGAATATTTTAAATTGCGGTCTATCTTTAAATCAAGTAATGTCGGATAAAGATAACGTAGAAATCAATATAGAATACTGGTAAGTACTATTCAAGTTCTAGAAAGATATCTGTGATTTAAAATATGGATATTTTAGTAACAAATGTGGATTTTTGGAAAAATATGAAGAATTGGTTAAACATTTGAAGGAAAAACATCCATCGGTTAAAATTAATGGACAAGAAGGACGAAGAGGTATTTATGCAATTAAGTTATTTAGAATTTAATCAAAAATACTTATGTCGCATTTTTACGATGTTTCCTGTAAAATAGTATATTTTAAACCAACAAATGTGATACAATTAATCCATAATTTGATGATTTGTGTTGTGATAATTATTATTGGGAACATTTGGGCATTTTACAAAAGGTTTTTATTTATTTTAATTTTACTCACGATGTGCTCACGATTTCTATATTTATTTCGATTATGTGAACGAGTGAACGCAACAACGAACGAAGTGACAGGTACGAAGTGCAAGTAATCAGTGGAGTGAGTTTGAGTACTTGTATAATTAGGAAATGTGCTTTTCTAAGATATATTCTTTAAAAATGAAAATAATTTTGTTTGAGCGAGAATTTTGAATACTCGCAAAGAAAAGAATATGAACGCATATATGCGTCTACATTCTTTGATAGATATAAAATAATAAAGAATTTTTGCTGCATGTCCTGAATAGTGAAAGTCCAGTTTCCTAGAAGTAGGAGAATTGAGGTTAAATTTTGTTTTGTTTATGATTACAATACAAAAGTATAAAGCCATCTAAAAAATAAACGCATCATGAGTTCTGAAAGTAGTGAAGATGAATATAATCCTAGTACTAATCGTGAGAATCGAACTGCAAGAAAATCTGTCTCACAGCCCGTTCAAGCATACCAGACCAGACGACAAGCGGCAAGAAAAGCTAGCAAACTCCTAAAAGCCGACTCGGAGAACAATATGACACATTCCGATATTAGGAGAAGAGATAAAAGAAAATTAACAAGGAAAGTGAGTAGTAGTACTACATCTAGTACTGCTAGTACTGTTCGTAGACCTGCTGGGGCAGTGTACGATGAAAGCGGAGTATACATTCACTTAGATGTCGATATGTGCGATTGCCTGAATGAAGATTGTGTAGGGTGTTTCTTTGAATGTCCTAAATGCCAATCGGAGAAATGTGGCAAGGATTGCAGAGTTCACAGGAAATTCTTGGTAGACCAAATTGAATATAATGGTTATGACCATGTCATTAAAAATCCCTTGATAAAAAATTAACACCAAATTGTTCCAGTGTAGAGTGTAGTTTTGATAAAAAAGAAACCGTATTTATGTCAAAACATTTTATGTTCTAATTAGTTTTCTATCATTGGCAATAAACCACTATTGAAAAACAAATTCTTTTCAACAAAATTGGGAAAACGAATTAGATTTAGAAATAAATTTGTGTAATTCTACTTTACCGTTTATTCCGCAGGATCCTTTGAGGTATCTGTAAATGGAACTTTAGTTCATTCAAAACTTTCAACCTTAGCCTATCCAGATTATGAAGATCTCTCAAAAATAGTGTATGATGTTCAAGATGGCAATTCTGTACGAGCTCCATGTAAACAACAGCCAATTACCAGCTGCTGTATCTCTTAAGTCATAGAAAAGAATGATTTGTATATTATAATTTTCCCTAATAAATGTTTTTAGTATTTGGAGTATTATTTATTAAGTAAGACCTATCAAAATAAATGGAGAATACCTGCATTATCTGTGATTTTTAGAAAAACGTGTATAATTGATTAGAGAATTAAATGTTAAGTCCAAACATGAGGCAAATTTTTTATATAATAATTTTGTCAAAATTAGTTATTTGTGGGCCATTCATTCTATTTATTTGAAAATATCCAGGGCAACTTTAACGAAAGTACAAGCTGAAAATAGCCGCAAATGTCATCCATGGAACAAAATATTTTGGTTTGGCAGTGTTGGAATATTTTTAGTATGCTTCAAATATAAAGAGAGAAAGCTGCATTTTTCTAAACGAATGAATGAATTCTGCAATTTTAAATTTATATAAAACATTACCGAGTAAATATTTGTCTCTTTCGAGATTAATTGCAAATATCTGGCAATTGATGGTTTGAGGATTGCCAAATCTATCAAAGGACCAAGAAAAATTTCTAATAATAATTACCGGCAATTAATCTCGAAATGAACAAATATTTACTCGTTCTTGTTTTATAAAAATTAAAAAAATTGCAGAATTCTTAAAATAATATAATCACAATGTAGTTTTACTTTGATTTGAAGCATAAAAAAATGTTACAACAGAATAATCCAACACTGCCAAACCGAAATTTTTTGTTTCATGGTTGACATTTGCGCTGGTTCATTCTTCATTAAACCCATCCAGCAAAAAGATAAAAGAGGGAATCTAATCGTTATGAAAAGGAGACCAAAAAAGTGGCCTCTGATGGCGGACATATCCGGAAATGCAAAGGCGCTAAATTTAAATTTTCCAACACTTATTAACAATAGCTATAAAATATTTTTCAGACGAGAAAGTTTTAATTAAATATTAACTATAATAGTCTAAAAAGTGACACAATTGGTAAAAGATTTCAATATAAATAAAATTTCATGTGACAGTTGGGACAAACAATAACATAACCTAACTAAATTTGACTTCTTAAACAAGGAAAGAGACTGTCTATCCTTGTCTAAAGTGGCCTCTCAAGATGGCACTTCCTGTCTATCAATATGTTTACCCCCACTACCTTTACATTCCCTCTTTTGTCTTATTGCTCGATGATTAAACCACAGTATACTGTCATAGTTTTGTGGTTAAACTGTGATACTGTGATTAAACCATAGATAAAGAATATATATTACCGGATAACCGGATTAAACGTTGTCCTATAATCGCCTGCATTACTAAGTGAATGAATAAAATATGACAATTGGAAAAAGAAGCGATATTATTTGTTATTAACCTAAAATATTTATTTTATTCGTGATAAAATAATATCGAAGTAAAATATGGATACTGAAATTAATAAGGAAAGCGATTCTGAAATAAGTGAGCTTGAAGATGAAAATGAAGGTAACTAAATCCATTATTTTTTTTTTTCGAAAATTACTTCATTTGTTTTACAGGAATTCCAAACCAGATAGAAGATTCAGAGGAATCTGCTGATGATATTGGTAAGCTGATGTAAATATTAAAAATGCTTCAGTTCTGAATTTATTTTGTTTCAGAATTTGTTATCGATAAGGAGGGGGTGCCAGACATGACTCAAGAAAAATCTGAAAAAGGTAAAAACTGTCATACACTATTCACCATATTTATACAGTGTATTTTTGTAGAGAAGCTACTTGAAGAAATATTCAAAGATTGTCCAATTTCATTCAATGAAAGAAAACCAAAGGTCAAAAAGAATAAAAAGAATTCTTTTATCAGACAAACACTTGCAGACTTAGGATTTAATGATGATGGAACACTAAGGAGTAAACCTCATCACATACAGAAAAAGCTGCTTACTAAGAACCAACGAAATGATGTTAAAAAGGCATTAGAGAAGTCAGTTATAACACCAGAATTTGAAAAATTGCATGTAGTACCACCTTTGGATGTGTCAGAGAAAAAATTAAGAGAACAAAGAAAGGTAAATTCACATCAAGGCTTACAGTTTTACATGGTTTTGTAGTTCAATATTCATTTATAAATCTATGATTTTAGAAAGAAAGGTCTCTAACCAAAGGGTCTAAATGGTATGGACTGCCTGCAACAGAATTAACTGATGAAGTTAAGAGAGATTTGGAAGTTTTACAAATGAGGTCAGTGTTAAATCCGAAACATTTCTACAAGAAAAATGATTTGAAAGTATTACCGAAATACTTCCAGGTAAGGCTCCCTTCTATAGTTCAGTCAGTTTTGAAAATAGTGTCTTATCACTACTTATAATTTTTAGGTTGGTAAAGTTATGGACTCACCACTTGATTACTATAATAACCGTCTAACAAAGAAGGAAAGAAAGAAGACACTAGTTGATGAACTTCTGGCAGATGCTGAATTTAACAAGTACAATAAGAGGAAATACAAGGAAATCATCACAGAGAAACAACAAACTCATTATAAGGCTTGGAGGCAAGCAAAGAGGTTAAAAAAGAAAAAATAGTTTGTTTTTTTTTTGTTGTTTTTTATTAAAAGTTATGAAAATAGATACATTTTTTTGTTTAAAATCCTCCTGTAACATGAATTGATGCACCTGTCACATATGAGCTTTTGTCTGACGCTAGGAATGTTATAACTTCAGCAATTTCTAAAAAAAAAGATTTTATGAACAAAAAATATAAAAAAAAAACAGATATAAATGAATCAATTTTACTGACAAAAAAAGTAAAAAAATAATAAGTGTATGCTGTCGAGTTAGCATTTCCATAATTTGCTCCAGACCTTTTTAATACCACTTATGTGCACTGTGGCACATCAATCCTCAATATTGAAAAATTTGTTGAAGTATACAAAAATTATGAATATGATATGGGGTCACAAAATTTACTATTCTCTGCCAGAATACCATTAGTAAGTAAATAAAAGTGATTTTGTGACTTTCTTAACAGCTGGAATTATTTAAATTATTATTTTCCTTCTTTATGCCATAGTATTACCACATACAAAGAATTTACAATAGGTATGGCATATATAAAAATCATCTGTAGCATTATTTGCATCAATTCATTGGTACTATCACACCTAATACAGATTACTTTCAGTAACCAGTACAGGTAACAATGTGCACATACTCTTCCATATTTTATTAAAGAATTCTCCTAAAACAAACTCACCTTCTGGTTCTCCAAATCTAGCCATAGGAATCATTGCTCTAAAACGATCTTGAACTTTATCTGGCACAGTCTCAATCATCCTTGTTTTAATCATCCCAGGAAAAATTGTATTAACCCTAATACCTAACTGGCCAAATTCTTTTGACGCTGTCTTTGTTAATAATTCTACTCCAGCTTTACTTGCAGTGTAATTGGCTTGACCTATATTTCCATATTTGCCTACAATGCTGGAAATATTTACTATAGAAGCATTTTTGAGTCCATGCTGTACTATTGAATTGGCGAAGGTTTTCATTATAAGAAAAGTTCCCTACAATACAAAATACATGTAGGAATATGATAGGAATTGTAATTTATATGTTTACCTTCAAATTAATATCCAGAACTTCATCAAAGTCTTTCTCTGACAACTTTAGAAGAAAATTATCCCTAGTAATACCTGCGCAATTAACAATAACTGTGGGAGGTTTTGAATATTTCTCTAATGTCTTCTTTAATGCATTTCCAACGCTATCGGAACTGCCGACATCTAGTTCTACCCCCAAGTGTTGATTTTGTCCATTCTGATTTATAATATTTAAAGTTTCTTCCACAGTTTTAGGAACTTTATCTGCTACAACTACCGATGCTCCTTCCCTTGAAAATATTTTACATGTTGCTCGGCCTATACCTGAACCCGCCCCTGAAATATGTATTTTGTTTTAATATTAACAAACTTACAATCTAGTCGACATATAGGGTTCTTAAACTATTAATACAAAATTAACACAAGTAAACAAATTCATGTTAATAATGAACGCATTTACTACAATTACCTGTTACAAAAGCTAGTCGACCCGCGAGAGACATTTTTTGATTATTGGACTTTGTTCAACAACAACTTCAACTTATATTTTATCAACACCTTTAATTTAAACACTAAAGTGTAAATAGTCCATATATTTTAACTTGTTTGTCTAGTCTGAATTAATTTGTAGTTTTGGTAAAAATATAATTAATGATTGAAAATCAGCAGTTTAAACTTAAGAAATAAATTAAAACAAAAATTAAGAGTTAAAAACTTTTATTAGGGAACTGAATAATTCAATACAACAAGGCAGGAAGGAAATTTTATAGGTTATATTTATTTTCGTAATCCAGTACATAATTTATTATTTAATTAAGTAACCTGAAGTAACCTAAAATGAGTAAAAGATTGTTTAAATACGTTACAGTTGGTTCGCTTAGTTTCTTAGCTGGTATATACACAGAAAAATTTAAATTAGTATGCGACCCAAATACGATTATTGTAAAAAATGTTCCTGGTCTCCCAATTTTTGGCACTGTATCAGCCGCAACTCCTTTTACGCCAGTGCCAGTACCAGATGTATCAGTTACAGAGCCTCAGAAGAAATTAAGTAGGGTTTCTGAGATAATGAAATATGGATTTCCAAGTTTAGATCAAATAAGATCCTTTGAAAATTATGTATTGAGTTACGATCGTAGAAATAGAGTGGCACACTGGGTTTTCGAACATATTACAAAGGAATCTATTCAGCCTAATGATCAAGTCGATAGATCGAAGTGCGAGTTTAAAGTTGATGATAGTATACACAAATTCTTCAGGTAATCCTAGGGATATAACAGTATTCTTGTTCATATCATAGCTAATATGATTTTATGTGCATAGGTCCGAAAATACTGATTACAAAAAGTCAGGTTTTGATAGAGGACATCTAGCTGCTGCTGGGAATCATAAATGTAGTCAGAAACAGGTAGAACAAACTTTCTTTTTGTCTAACATGGCTCCACAAGTAGGTAAGGGTTTTAATAGAGATTCTTGGAACCGGTTGGAAAAGCATGTAAGAAAATTGACTAGGGTATATACAAATGTATATTGCTGCACAGGACCACTATATTTGCCAAGGTAATAAGAGTTTCTTATTAGAAAATATTTCAATATAATGACTTTTGTTTTTAGGAAAGAAAGTGATGGAAAAAACTATGTTAAGTTTGAAGTAATAGGAGCAAACCATGTAGCAGTTCCTACTCATTTCTTTAAGGTCATTGTAGGAGAAACAGCAGATGGAAAGCTGGAAATGGAGACTTATGTAATGCCCAACCAGGTTATAGATGATAATGTTCCTTTGACCAGTTTTCAAGTGAGTATTTTTTTAATGTTAAATATATCCCACAAATTCTACAATATCTAGAATATTGATATATCTGTCATATTAAGTTATTATTGTTACTGCTTGTTTTAGAAATATGTAATAAAACATATCAATCTTGTTATAATACAGATTTAGAGAATAACTCTCTAAATACTTGATGTGGAAATGTACAACATAATTTTTGTGATAGAAGATTACCATGTTCTTCATACAGAACTGTTAAAAGTAGAGAAAATATATTGTTACATTCTTGTACAAGAATTTATAAAAAGTAATATGCAAGCCATAATTGCTTGTTTCAAGGGAAGAGAATAAGAGAAACAGACCTCTAGACCCTTACCAAAGAGAAATAGAAAAATGTAAATAACATGTATTACATACTGAAATCGTGGGTCTAAGCTTAGAATCCACAAAACAGTAATTAGACCAGTGGTCACATATGGATGTGAAAGATGGACGCCCTCAACCACTGATGAAAATCAACTGAGAATATTTGAGAGCAAAATACTAAGGAAGATATTTGGACCAACCCAATGCAGCGATGGTCTGTGAATGCCAGATAAGCGAGCTGTAAAAGTAGTCCAGAGATGGAAGCCACAAGGAAACAGAACAAGAGGAAGGCCCCGTAAAAGATGGATAGACGACATAGAGAGGGATCTTAAAACCATGAACATCAGGCAGTGGTGAAGGAAAGTTTCTGACAGGGCAGAATGGAAGAACATTGTAAAGGAGGGACCAAGACTCACAAAGGGTTGTAGCGCCATTAAATGAATAAATACATAAATATAAATAGGAGAAAGTTGGACAAAATGGGGCACTTAAGGTTTAAATTGGGATTTAAAACAAATCTGTAACTTTCAAGGTCTTGAAATTAGGCAAAAAATGGGAGAACCTTGTTAAGCAAGCCAAGACTCACCAAGGGATTGTAGCGCCGTTAGAAGAAGAAGAAATACTAAAATAAATATGCTGTGCCTATAAATCTTCTAGTAATAATCAAACAATATAACTAAACTATTAAATGTTTTTTGACAATTTTTATGGAATTATATATGTATGTAGTTAAAAACTGTCTGTTTTAGGTTCCCCCAGAGAGTGTAGAACGAGCAGCAGGCTTGTTATTTTTCGATAATGTAGCTAGAAACAAAATAAGTAAAATAAATGGGAAGAAAAATTAGTGCAGACTAATTTAGTGTGTTTCTAGTCCATTTCGACAAGTGGCATTGAGCATCCATTTGTTTTTATTCCATTTTACCCAATTTTATTGTAGGTCAGTAGTTGATATGATGTTTTTATCATTTAAAATTAAGAATGCCATAAAAAAAAAACAAAAATATATTGTGTAGAGATCACATTTTGTAGATAAGGACAAAGTTATTAAATGTAAAAATAAATCAAGAAATCAATAATTGTTTGTATATATTGTTAATATTTTAAATATTTGGTGTATATATTTTATAGAATGTTACTGATGGTTTTAAATAAATAACAAAACTATTTTACATGTGTATTTAATATTTTATCGTTCATATCATTAGAATGAACATAGGAATCAATCCAGTATGCTCATTAGACTCAACTGATAGTGAAGGTGTATGACCAGTAACTAATCAACACAGGAACAATTAAAGTCACAGATGACGTTTTGAATATTTAAATAGAAAAGGTCCTCAACTACTTATTATAGACTTTATAACAATCTAGTCGCTGCTATCTGAGTCACCATCACTTATTTCTATTTTAAAGAAATCAGGATCTTGCACTTTTTCTTCACTAAGCGAACAATATGTTTTCAACTCTCTATTGACTTTTCGTTTTATTCTTTCTATTCGCCGTTTTGAAGATGGATCGCCCGGCTTTGGCTCCACTAACCCATTAGCTATTTGGTAATACACACAAGTCGAGTCTGGATGTACAATTGCTATATACACTAACCCTGTCCAAGTACCTATAAAAGATTGTAGTTTCACGAAATTTAATCTTTCATACACAGCTACAGGTACAAACATTGAAGGTGGGCTCTTCTTTGTTTTATTTCCAGTTATAACTATTTTATTCAGTTCTTTATTAAAAAAATAGTTCACATTGTAATACTTTTTTATTTCGCAAATTTCTAAATATGGGTATAATGCTAAAATTGCTTCCTTTTCAGGGGCTTCTAGTTTGAACTTTTCTACAATAGCATCCTGCATTTTCATTCAGCAATATATATTTTAAAATATACCATAATATAAAAATTACACTTTGACATTTTATTGGTTATGTTTATCTTCTTTTTTATAAAAATAAAATATATACATGAATAAGGGAATAAGGATTTACACATCTCCTTTAAAAATTTGAAATAAAAACTTGTTTTATAGCTTAATAAATGTATTAACAAAATGCTGCCCTACTACATTAGCGAAAGATAACTACTCTTTAAATATATTTGCTATATTTAACTTGGGCTTTTCTTGATTTTTGTTCTGTTCCAATCTAGCCTCCTTAAAAGCAGTACTTAAAGAAATAGGTTCCTCTTCATCAACTTTTTTCACCTCTTTATCTCTTCGTAGTACCTCTATGGCTTCCTTATATAACTGTTCTTCTGTAGCAGAACCCTCTGCACGAGCTTCCAGGTTCTGATAAATATCTACAAATTTTTGAGTCAAGGACTTGTAGTTATTCTTAAACAAGTTTGTGGTGCCCAGCTGTTTATTATTTCTGTGAAATATTCTGAAAAATTTCAATAATTAACGGATAAAACTAGTAAATGATCCATGAAAAACGTACGCTCTTATCTTGTCTTCTTTATAAAAAATTGTCTTCAGTTTAATATTTGGAATTGGTTTATCAAATCTAGGTTCTTCTTTTGGTGGAAAAGATTCGTAAATATCATACCATAACGGCCGATCCTCCCACCTTAAGGCCCCTGAACGAATTAATCCTGTTGTTCTACAAATAAGGTAAATAGAGACAAATTAGATCACAACAATTGGTTTTGTTACCTTGTATATATTGTTCCTATTTTTTCTAAACGACTTCCAGCCATTTTATGTGAAATTTATATTAAGTTATCGTATTTTTATTTATTTTTAAATATCTAATATCTTTGAAAGAAAACCATATCTTTGGTTAATTGCAAATATATTCTTCTTTTCTTTCATAGCCTAATCTGTCTTTAGAATTCATATATGTAAATTTTATAAAATTATACATATATACCTGTGGTATTTATTTAAAAATTATAGCTATTGAGGGCAATATAACATCTTTGATAATATGATACAATAAACAATCTACATTTTTTTAAAATCTGATGTTGAATTTTCAAAATCCGGTGTTATGAAGTTTAGACAGGACCACTTCAGATTGTTGTGACGTCGATCCACGTGCGCCTGACAAAAACGTCAATGTTTCCTTAAAATGTCAATATTGTGGTTCAAAAACCGGTTTTAGTTTTGAAAATGAAAAGTAAACAACTATTCTTTATTATTTTAATAATTGTCGCCCCTCTGGTGACATGTACTCTATCACCGAAGTCGCCGAAAAACAAAGACAAGCAGTCAAAGGCGTCGGTACAAAAGCCGAAGTCGGGGCCTCAAGACACCACTATTTTCAATAAGAATTTGATAGATGAACATCCATCAGCAAAAGATATAATTGCTAATCACAAGACGTTCTTTAAAGAAGTAGACGAGTATAACATGGATGGGCTTGTGTTGGGGTACGTCACTCCATGGAACAGCAGGGGCTATGATATTGCTAAGATTTTCGGCAACAAATTTACGCATATAAGTCCAGTATGGCTTCAAATTAGACGCAGAGGTAAAGAGAAGTATGAAGTAACTGGTACACACGATGTAGACACCGAGTGGATTGCAGCTGTGAAGAATGCTGGTAGAGAAAGAAAGCTTAAAATGGTGCCAAGGGTTTTATTTGAAGCATGGACTAGTGGTGACTACTCAAACTTGTTGTCAAGCAAAGAAGAAATGAAGGAGTTCCTTAAAACGCTGGTTAAAGCTGCTGAACAATACAGATTTGATGGATATGTGTTTGAATTTTGGACACAATTGGGACCAGTGTTGAAATTCGACATCATAGTTAATTTTGTAAAAGATATTAGTGATGGTTTGGCATTACAGGGTTTACAAACTATTTTAGTTGTACCACCAAAAACAGGAAAAGATGATATATTCACAGATAAGCATTTTGAAGCTTTATATGACCATGTAGCTGCTTTTTCACTAATGACTTATGATTTTTCAAATTATAGACAACCAGGGCCGAACTCTCCAATACGATGGGTAGACGATTGCATTCAGTTCTTGACAAACGATGAAAATAAACGCAAAAAGATTCTTACAGGCCTGAATTTCTATGGCAATGACTACACTGTTAAGGGGGGAGACACAATTGTGGCTCACCAGTACATCTCAAGACTAGAAATGTATGATAGTAGGTTACAGTATGATGAACAGAGTGCTGAACACTTCTTTGAATATGAGAAAGATGGTAAAAGGCATATAGTTTTCTACCCAACATTGTATTCTATTAATAAAAGGCTTGAAATGTGCAGATTGTACAACACTGGAGTATCTATATGGGAACTGGGGCAAGGTTTGGATTATTTTTATGATTTATTGTGATATTCTAAGACTGTATAAAAATGAATAAAATTTTAAATTATTATTTTCGCTTTTAGCTGCATGAAACAAATACTTAAATTTCCAGGTGTATTAAATTCTTCTTTAGGGCCAACTAATTATTCCATTGAGTGTCAATAATTAGCAAAACATTCAGATCTTTTTCCTGTTTGTCTATTATCATTTTTTTTTCAATAAAATTTCTTAATAGTGGTATCCAATGTGCAATCGCCAATGTTTTAGTCGTAGGTTTCTAGAATTGTGAAAAAGCATTGAAAAATTCTGAATCTTCTATAGCAGCGGCTCTCAACCTTTTAGCACTGGCGCCCTCTTTGAACACTGAAGACAGCTCACGCCTCCCCTCCAGTCAATAATTAGTTGGTTCAAGTTAGAACAGTGAAATTGTGAAACTGAAGATGCTAACTCTACATTAGCAAAAGCTGGGATGCAAAATAAAAATCCAGATATGTTTAAATACAAAAGTTTATTTGATGTCTCATTAAACTTAACATTGTTTATTTATTTGAGAAAAAGAATAATCAAAAAAATCAAATATGCATATAAAGTTATATATAAAGGCCTTATATGAGTGTTTTTTCTCTTTCAATGAGAGGGTTGGCATTGTCTATTCTTAGCAAATTTTTTTGATATTCAGTTGAAACTGTGATAGAGCACACCTCAAGTCACTTTCAATGTCCAGCCTTAAAAGAATAGAATAAAAAAAAGCTTTATTCTCAGGATTCACAAGTTATACACAAATATAAATTGTCAATAGAGAGAATGATGTCAGTTACAATTTATAATGGTTGCTGTAACAACCTACACTTAACATAAAAGTAATATTAAAACATAATGATAATAACAGTGGTAAAAATAAAAGGTATTTTGATTTTATATACGCCAATGCAGAAAAATCAGATTCGCCAAGATATGTGGATGAAAACTGGACTAATAATTTCGCAAATGCTAAAGCCACTTCACCTACGTGATAGACGCACGTGCAAGACGCGGGGCGAACATAGACACTCCTCTACATAGCAGAGGAGTGTCTATGTTCGCCCCGCCTTGGAGGCAGTGTAGAGCCATATTGGAAGAAATGGCAACTGAAGTTATTGGAAAGAAAAAATGTAAAAGATTAAGGTCAGACTGGTACGATGAGGAATGCGCACAAGCAACGCAAAGAAAGAATCAGGCATATAGAAGACTCCAAGGCTGAAGAACGAGACAAATAGAGGAAGAGTATAGGCAGCTGAAACGAGAAGAAAACGAATACTTAAAACAAAAGAAGAAAGAGCATATAGAGAGCCAACTAAAAGAACTAGAGAGCTATAAAGCACAAGCAGAAACGCTAAAGTTCTACAAGAGGATTAACCAGAACAGGAAAGAATTTAAACCAAGATTATCAATCGTTAGAAATAGAATAGGGGAGATCATTAGTGATCAGGACCAGATACTAGAAAGGTGGGCAGAAATTTGCAAGTCAAAGTATTTTATTAATTACCTAACACATTTTCCTCTATTGCATAAATTTGTTATAACAAAGCTTCTAGACTTTTCAGTTTTATGTTCTGTTCTACAAACCAGGTCCCCACAGCTTCCTTTACTTCTTTTGGAAAGAACATTTAATACTTTTTAGAGAGTAAATATACGCTAGTCAGGCATTGTCAGATTTGGTGAAGAAGAGGAGTGTTCAGAGTAATTTGAACCCTAAATCACAAATTGTTTGTACGGGAAGAACAACGATTTGTGTTTAGAGACATAGTCCTGCAAAAACAATATAAATATATCTTACATATTCTTTCTATAATTTTCTAGATTTGTCAGAAACACTGATTACTCCTGGAAAATCTCAAAAAATTTGAAGCAAGGATTTTCCCAACAGATAGGATGAATAAATGGAAAAATAAATAAGAGGTATATCGCATTTTTCATATAAAAAAGCTTGCACGTCATTCAATGTTTACGTCGTCAGAACCACACAGCGTTGCTAAAACATCAGAATAGTTAATGAGAAATTTTTAAAATGTCAACTATTTTTCAAACTATTATATTAACAGTAAATACAATTAGTTTTAAGACCACTGCAACACATTAAAATACATAAGAAAACATTTTAATACAAAATTATATATTCTAAATTTTAAACTTACCTCTTTAGGGCTTTAAGAGTAAAAACGTTCCGCCATTATTTCTTGTTCAAAATAATCTATCTTATATGAAAGCTTATCAGCTTTCTACAGACTATTTATTTGTTTTGGCATATCACAATCACAATACACAACAATAATTAGTTTTTAAAGCTATTAATCTAAATTGAATATGTATTTATAAATACAATTTATTAATATATATATATATATATATATATATATATATATATATATATATATTTATATATATATATATATATATATATATATATATATATATATATATATATATATATATATATATATTATATTATGATCAAATTGTGTAAGAAATCAAAACATAAACAAAATTCCTACTGTAAAAAAGCGGCAACACTTTATACACTTTTGCCACACGCTTAATTGTCAATAAAATTTGAAGTATTTCCGTATCAGTTGCGTACAATTGTCTAATATATTTAATTAAAATTATTATTTTGTGGAATATTAGACTTAGAGTTATTTCATAAAATTTATATTATTAATAATATCAAATGTTTTTGGTTATTTAACCAATATAATTCTAAAATTTCCAATGTCATGATGATTACATTTGTTTGATTATTACCCCATGTTGACGCCTATGACAGATCTATCAGTTCCGTATGGGTTTCGAATTATTAGCTATGTTAGGAAAATTTGAACTCTAAGGTTGATGTTCTGGAAATTTTAAATACATGCAATAAAGTGACGTCACTCTGTATAATTCGTGACGTGCAAGTGTTACTTTGAAAAATTGTATTATTTAAATTATTTATCTTGAAGTTATACTTCATCTAATTTACATACCGATGCATGTCATTATCTACAGAGATCGAAGTTGACATAGTTGCCAAAGTATAAAAAATCCTGACTCCATTTTAAATCAAATAGATCACATAATTATGGCAAAAGTATTACCATCTCTTTATAACGACTATTTAAATTCTTATGTGACATTTTTGAAATAAAACACACTAATTTTGTTCTAAAAAGAACAGATTTTATTAAATAGGTAATATATAAAACAAGAGGTATTCACTTTAAAATAATAAAGTACAAAAAGTGTCAACACCGTAACTGTCAAGTAAGTGTTACCAATTTATGCCAAAATTTCACCTTCGTTCGATTACAGTTACAGCACAGAATAATAAACAATCAGAAGGGCCACTCTCAGATGCCGCCTTTGAAGTTTTTCAGCACGCGCGCCATGTTTTAGGAGGACACAAACATATGATTTGTGAGGTTATGCAATTGTTTACATTTATGTTTAATTATATTTTATTTAGCAGAGACTTTAACACTCACGCAAAAATCTGCGAATAAACTTAGAGTTACACAATGAGCCATGGAGCGTGCAAAGCTGAACGTGAGCCTTCGAGACCACATAACAAACCAACAAATTAGACGAAGATCAGGAGTTCAAGACGTCATCGAAAGAACCACGACGCTTAAGTGGAACTAGGCAGGGCACTTAGCCAGAACACAAGATGGACGGTGGACAAGACGTATTATGGAATGGAGGCCCAGAAATTATAAAAGAAGCCGAGGACGACCACCGACTAGATGGACCGATGACATTAAACGTGTAGCGGGAAACTGGCTACAAGCGGCCCAGTGTAGAGAATACTGGAAAGAATTGAGGGAGGCCTTAATTATATTTTATTTAGCAGAGACTTTAACACTCACGCAAAAATCTGCGAATAAACTTAGAGTTACACAATGAGCCATGGAGCGTGCAAAGCTGAACGTGAGCCTTCGAGACCACATAACAAACCAACAAATTAGACGAAGATCAGGAGTTCAAGACGTCATCGAAAGAACCACGACGCTTAAGTGGAACTAGGCAGGGCACTTAGCCAGAACACAAGATGGACGGTGGACAAGACGTATTATGGAATGGAGGCCCAGAAATTATAAAAGAAGCCGAGGACGACCACCGACTAGATGGACCGATGACATTAAACGTGTAGCGGGAAACTGGCTACAAGCGGCCCAGTGTAGAGAATACTGGAAAGAATTGAGGGAGGCCTATGTCCAGCAGTGGACGCGATTGGCTGATTGATGATGATATTTTATTTATGTTATTATATTTAAAACTGTTAATATAATTGTATAGTATGTCTATGATTGCCGTAAGTCAAATAAACCTGTTTTTTTTTCCATGCACACCACATAAACAACACTGGTTCCCTTTAAAATACTCGTAAAACATGGCGGAACGTCTGCGCGAAGGAGATGCGCGTACTTAATTTTCCGTGGAGAGTGGGCATTCTGTTTGTTTATTATTCTGTGGTTACAGTGTGTTCCGAACAATATTGTTCTTCATAAAAACGCTTTATAATGCATTTATACAAATTAAATAAAACATATTATTGTGTATTTCTTTAAGTTAACATTAATAGAAATTTTTAAATATTATTTCTACGCGTATATAATAAAATATGTCTAGTGGCTGTAATGACAGTGTACTCGGCAAAGTGATTCTAAAAAAGAACACATCTATCACCTAAATATTTCGTGTTGGTTTCATGTGACGTCACGGGCTATGACGCCGATGACGTGCATCGGTATGTAAATTATATGAAGTGTTGTACCTAGATACGCAAGAGATGGGGCTGTAGTATTTAGATTTAAATAATGTTATTGCCATTTAAATACCATTTTCTTGGAATATTACTTTTAATCTAGTGTAAAATTAAACTGATAAAAGCTATTTTTTCTGAAGTAAAATTAATGCCACCTCACTTGCAGTTTCTGCCACTTCTTGAGAAAATCTTCGTTAACATCCATCTTTACAATTCAATCTATAAATATGTAACATTTGAGAGATTTTGTATATGTAGTTTTGGTTGCCTACACAATGGCACATTACACATAAATTCACAGATGGGTGGGAAAATAAATGAAATAACTTAATACATGAAAAAGATATATTAAAACAATACAATAAATTCCATTTTTCTTAATATTACAAAAACCTTAAACCTGTCTTGTGTACCGATAATGCGCCGAAGAACCTCACAGATAAAATGAATAAAATAGATACAAAAACAGGAATATTTGTACAATAATACTTATTTTCCCGATTCTACGAGCATTCTCTATGTAGAATTTTATCCGGTACCTCCAACAAGAATCCTTTTTCTTATCTATCAATAAAAATTATCATAAAGTTTAAAAGAGTGAGATTCTCCGTATGATAAGCGATGATGAAAAGTGCAATTATGATAGCAATTAAAGAAAAAATTGCAGGCGAACTGATTTATACAAAGATATTTTTGTATAGGACTTTTCATAAAAACATGTTTTTTCTAACAAACAGGTTAGAAATCGCTGTAAAATCGGGACAATATATATTTGATCTGATTTGAGAAATTTTTCAAGATATTTTACCATAAGGAAAATCTCGTCAATATCGGCATGGTTTGTCAAGGTTCTTCAGCGCAAAAGATCAATTATTAAAATAATTTCCTAAGGGTGACTACACGTGGCTTACACGTAGTAACTTGGAGGCACGGTAAGATCGCTTAATAGACACAGCTCTTCTTCTGTAAATTTCAATTTGTGAGTTTCCCAATTATTGTGGTGAGTTCTTTTAAAATCTCCTAAAGTTTTGCGAATGGTTGCCTAGAAATGAAAAAAAAAAAATCAACAAAACGCCTAACTGTCAAAAATTTCAATTGTGAAAATTATCATTTTGAAATTTTTTGAATATTTAATGTATTCACTCAATGCTTAGGAGTGTTTTGTTTGAAATACTTAGGACATACTTACTGGAATGGGCTGAGGATCACTGAGATGAGGTCTGAGATGCTCGAAAATTTCCGGCAGATAATCAGGTACGTCGTAGGGGTGAGATTCTATGAAGGCACACAATCCTAACACGGCGGCGTGTTTTTCTTTGATGTTGTTATTGCTGGTCGACGGAGTAGCTTTCTTTTTGTGCTTGTACCTCGCCTTCTGCTTGAATTGGGTCTACAAAATTAGATATATCAATGGTCCTGAAAGTATTGTGCGAAATATGGGAAATCGATACTTAAATCTGGTGAAATTTATCGTGAAAAATACAAGCGTTTGGTGAAATGGAACTTTCCCTAGATATAGGGAAATTTTACGACATCAACATGTTTTGGAACTATAGATTTTCTCAAAGTGACTAGTCTGTACAGGGTACATGCACAACATCGATGCCATACTTCTTTGCAAACTTGTATTAAAATAAACGTCACTTCTTACTAATTAGCCTAATCCATCTTTTGTGTTGAGGGTAGCTTAAATACTAATGCCCACTAACGACCCTGCTTGGTTTCCTTCTGTCAGTGGTTCTCAAACATAAATAATATTTGCTACAACATACTTGGGTTAAATTAAAATAGAATAGAAATTAAGAATTAGCGATACAATCCATTTGTTTATAGATTTAAATAAAATCGAATAAAATAAAATTAAAATATAAAGAAACATTTTATTTATGTATTGTTCCATTCAAAAGTTAAGGGGGGAAGGACTTTTAAAAACAGCACTGTATATGTTGGCAGTAACAAAACGTAGAAATATCCGAAAATAAAACTAATAAATAAGTTGAAAATAAAAGAAGTCATTGTATTTAATTTCGTGTGTAAGTAATCGTAATTGTACACCATCATATTTAGTTCCTTTTTTTGTCAATCGCTGTCACATTCAGTTTCTGCTTAACTATCATCATCATCGTTATTATCGTCACTCTCATCACTATCTCCGTTATTTATATTTATAATAATTGGTTCGAAATCATCCAACAAATTTTGAATTTCCTACATTTTTTTTTCTGTTGCTATTACGTGGTTTACATAGTTTTTCCATTTTTCTGGCGTAATGACCTGGTACGCTGCTGTAATTTCGCATTTCATCTTCTTTAAAATTCGCTTTGCGTCCAGCTACATACCGTTTCACTTAACTCCAAACCATTTTGATGGGATTAAGTTTACAGTGATAGGGTGGGAGCCTCAGAATCTTCACATTGTGCTTTTTGGCAATATCTTCTATTATTTACCTGTCATATTTTGCTTTGAAGGCCTTGACTAGAATGAGTAACTCGCATTTTAGGTAGTATTCTTCAAAAAATAATTAATTAATTACTTCATTAATTACCACAACAGTTTTTTCTGGCAAATCTAGCATTAAGGGGACAGTCTCATGCGAAACTTTCAAAAAATCAGAAATTTTTTTTTTACATAAATCGCTTCCATTTACATTCAAAAACTCCCTCCTAAAATTTTAAAAAGACATTCCCAGTAGAATATAAGTTATAGTTATTTTATTAACGTCAGATACGCACGTATGAAAACCGGTTTCTCTCCGCGCGGCGAGCGGCGCGGCCAGCTGTACTTGCTTTTGTATATATGTTGTATATACGTTGGGTATGTATTAGTGATTTATTTTTATATGTATGTATATCTGTATAACGTTTGGCAGTTACTATACACATTTGGAATTTAAAATCCGGAACATAGGATTTTTTACAAATACTAAGATTCTCTGCGTTGCAATTAACCAGTGTAAATTTCTTTATAACGTCGCGATGTTTTGTAACTAATTTATTTGTTCCACTGGATTACTATTACTTCTCCTCAGCGGTTTGTAGTAGCGTATATGGCATGCCGACAGTGTTGCTTTGTCTACCGATTTTTCCTGAAAGTCCGGTTTTGTGCAGATAATAAATAATGTTTTATTAACATCAATTTTGTTTGTGTTCATTAGGTATTATTTAAGTTATACAATTTATACTTAAATACATTTATTATTCCAAATATCGTTTATAATTTCAAATTAAAAAGAGTGTAATATAATTATTTTATTTTTAAAATTTCTTTTTATTTTTAATTTTAGAAATCAACTTTTTTTCACGCCGTTTTGGCAATAAAACATAACCATTTTTTTAGTTATAAAATATTTTTATATCTACATTTATAAATAAGTAGATACGTTTTCGTTAAATTGACATGCGATCTAGGTGTGTTCCGTTTTTACACTTACACTGTCAGCATCGCGGCGTGAATTGAGACTCCAGTCGAACTAATGAATTAATTATAAAACATCAAATCAAAAAGAAAAATGCTTTACAAAGCCATTTACAACAACTGTTGGATGAAGAGGGACCTCAATATTCACCAGGAATGGCCGATTAAACGTGAGTATAAAGTTATCAGCCTTTAATTCACGAAAATTATGTAAAAAAAACTTTAAATGCTTTTTTCTCAAAAGTAACATTTTCAAACTGGTCAGACACTTTTCTCCGAACCTTCTTAACGGATTTTAAAAAACCAAAAAATTTTTCGAATGTATATACAAAAGACTAGATGATAAACCTTTAAAATATTTAAAAACCACCCCCCTTTCATTAAATATGGGTAAATCCACCCAAAAACATAGCGATTTTTCGACTTTTTTGAAAAAACTCGTATAAACTCTTCAAAATAATACAATTTTCATATTTTAAAGGTTTATCATCTAGTTTTGAGTCTCACGAATACAACCCATTTTGAATTTTTTGAATATCTGTTACAGGTGACCCACAAAGTGTCTTACCACCAAAAACGCACTTTTTACTACACGCCATCTACAGGACACCAATGAAGTTAAAATCGCTATTAAAAATTTTTTTATGTACTTCAAGACTTACTTAATCATCTCCAAAAGGAATTATGTTAATAAATATTATAGTTTTTTTTTTCTGCTTTAATTTTAAAATGTGTCTCTTTTTTTTAATCGCATGAGACTGTCCCCTTAAGTTATTTTCGAACCAATCTTCGAAGGTCGGTCCATCCATGTTGGTGGTATGTTGCCACGAAAAAATTGATGAACTATTCTACGAATTTGGCCCCTGACACCGTCATCGTACTTGTTGTCACAAGAATTACCAACCTTTCGCTTCTTGGGCCTGCTCTTTGGAGATTGTAATCCAGCAGATCATGAATATTCCTGTCGTATGCGAAACAGAGTCTTTTCGCAAACACCACTCATTTCTGACACTTTCCTAATTACACTTTATACAGAATCGTTGGAATCCTGATTAAGATGATAATTAATAATATTCATTAGTATCTGCTTCTCTTAAAGTTTCAGAGCTTTTCCACGTTTCCATTGAACAATTTCCTCCATTTTGCGGTAAAAATTAGGCGTCAAATATAACAATAGCCAACAACAGAAAATAACAATAATTGCCAACAGAAAACCACAACAACAACCACCAACAAATAATAACAATAACAAAACAGTAACAGTACATCCAAGATGGTACAAATAATCGTAACTCGAATATGTTTACATGCTCCGAAGAACAAATAAAGCCTAATTAAGGCCCTTGATGTATCAAGCTTTTAAACATATTCTGTACAAGAATTACTCTCAAGAAGAAAAACTTTGAAACAAATGTTTGTTTAATGCACATTTTATTATACTACTGCTACTTATAAAAGATAAAAGTTGATAAGTTACTATTATATTAGAAACAAATAATATACAGTATTATGTAAAATTATTAGCAAACGATATTTGTAAATTACATAAAATTGTAGGTGAGGACTTATTGAGAACTCCTGGTTTATTCCGTTTATTTTGAAAGATAAACAATTGAGAACGCCATCACTCACTGCATAAAACTGGCAACGTCTTGGCGAAATTCCCAGAAGGTTAGCATTGCATATCTTACCCTGTACAGACTAGTCACTTTGAGACAAAGTATAAATATGTAATTTTGGCATTAAGATCAAGCCTCCATGTTGATAAATACTTCAATAACATCAAAAAATCCTTTAATCTTATGACAAACGACTACATTTTACAGCTTTCGATTAATTATAGTGTGTATTTTTAATAAATGACATCAAATTTCCCCAGATGTACGAAAATTTTGATTCATCAACTTATTTTCACAAATGTTATCACCAGTGTTGTTATTATATAATTTGTACATACATAAATCAGTAGATTTTTGGGTATAAGAAGGCAAAAAACACTTACTAGTAATTGAGTGGGATCTGGAATGAACTGGCAGTGCAAAAGTCCGCTCAAATCTTTCGCTGCTTGGACTCTAACTTCGTGTTGAGGATCTTCTAATAATTCTAATACTATTGATTGAATCTAGAAAAAAATATATAAGAAAATTTACTAAAATGCTTATTTTTATTAACATGCAAAGTATTTTTATAAATTTGATTACCTCCAGCACCCATTCTTTCCTAGAATTGATAGCGGCCATATTGTAGAATATATAAATAGGCAAAAACTCAGCTATAACCGCTCTCGCCGACCAGGAAGGCGACCCAGCGACTTTCTTGATGACGCCTATGGCGTCGGGAATGTCTGTTAGCGAGGTACCCGTTTCGGAAAGTATAACCAGCAGATTGGTCGACAACGTTGCCAACTCCTCGTCGACTTCGTTGTTTTGGAACAGCGCCGCTAACGGGATCAGCTCGAGGAACTCTTTACGCGCAGAATGGTTAGATCGCACCATGTAGGTCATCACGAATTTGGAAACTATGGAAGAATAAACCTATTAAAATATTTTGAAAAGGAATTGAATATATACTTAAGAAAATAAATATTTTTAGCGAGATTTTTCATATGTTTAGGAACAAATATTCAACGTTTTATTGCAAATATTTTCTACTTTTGCAGTTTTATATCTTATGTTATTAAAATATTAAAATTTTGTACAGTTTCTTACTGGTAGCTTTATTATAAGCCGAAACATATTATTTTTTTATATTGTAGCAAAACTCTACATTCAAAATTTTTCAAAAAATCAAAAGTATTTCTTAGTATTATATCCTTATGATGTAAGAAAATTACCAAAATTGTATGTTTGGTTTTCCCGCTTCATATTGAAAAAAACTATTTTCCGCAAATCGCCAGGAAATTTTGACATTCCTGTCAAAATTTCTTGAAGAAAAAGTCAGGACTTCCTTACTGTAAGGAAATGATATTTCCGTACAGTTGTTAGTGTTCTACATAAATGATAGAAAACACATTGCTTATAAGGAATTAATTTATATTTTGAAAACATCAAGTCATTGCTGAATACATTTTTAAGATCAATTTGTTATATTTACAGTAATTTGACAGTTAGTACAATTATTGAACATTGGAGGAACACTCTTAGAACTATGAGAAACATTTTGGACAACATGCAGGGTGGAAGTGTCATTTTGTTGAATATTTTGTACTGTGAAAATTTTATTTGCCATCTCAACCTTATTGTTAAGCGATTCTTCGATATATCCTTCAGCAACGTTTGATGACTTCCATCCGCCATGCCTCTTTAAACTAGTTATGCCGGCACCAGAGTCAACCAATATTGTTGCAGAAGACCGACGAAAGCAGTGACCAGTATATTCTGTCGGATTTACCAAGTTCAAATAAGTAGCAATTATTTTGGGCATTTTTCTAAATTGATGAATTCCTACCACTTGTCTACAACCCTTTCCGCTTTGATATTTAAAGAAAAATCGGTCACTGTTCATATTTTCTGGTCTTAACGAAACATACTTTCGATAAACATTCAAGTAGATCTGATTAATTACAAATGATCTTGGTTTGTTGGTTTTCGAATCAGGTATGCTGATTAAAAGCTTAGATTCTAAGTCTTCTATATCGTGTACAGTCATTCGGACTAACTCATCCATTCTACAGGCCCCAGAAATACCAAATATTACAGCCACCTAAAAAATAAATAAAGCTATAATCTAAATAGAAATTAAAACCTTGTAAATTACCTTAATAATTAAATTTTCTTTATCTGGAGCTTCCTGGATAAATTTTTCAATTTCTTCCTTCGTTAAAATCTTAGATTTCTTTGCCCTATAACCTTGAGCTTGCCGTTTCAATAAAGAACGAAGTTTTGAGTATGTAGATATATCTACATTGTGTTTAAGTGCAAGGGTTGACTTCAGCATTGAATAATTGGCCCATAATGTTGAAGATTTCATCTTTAAACAAAGGTCTAGGAAGTATGCCATTACAACATTTTCTGAGAAAGAACTCGTATTTTTACTCATGCGATAATCCATAAAACGTCTGTATGCATTTTCGTACTTTTCTCTTGATTTCTTGGCAATAATTCTAATGAAGCAGTATTCACTGCCTCAACCAGCTCTGGAGGAGTCCCAGGAATGGAAATTTCATCATCACTTATCATTTTACTTTCGAGAACACCAGCAATTAAATTTATAAGCGTCAAGTTTGACAATTCAACCTCAATACGTTTCCATAGTAACCCAAGTAATTTTATTAGGAATTTCAAAGCACCATTTATTTGGGAATAAAATTATCGCGTTTTTTTTTAAATCAATCAATATCTGTCGAATTTTAAACGATTTGCGGAAAAATAGTATGTTTACCTCGTAGGAAAAGCCACATTCCTGGACTCTGTGTTGCTTCTCAGTGTGTCTGTGTGACTCTCGGCTTGCGCCTCGACTTAGCAATCTTCACAGTCGTCCAGGAATGTTAAGCTTTTCCTACCCGGTAAACAATGTACTATTGTTTGGAGTTTTTTCGGAAACGAAAACATGAAGTTTTCTCAAAATGTGTCAAAATAGTTCTAGTTATCACATATACCTACCCAAATTTTTTCAATTTTTTTTGAATGTGTAGTTTATCTTTTTGGGAGTGCAGATCAAACTTAGCATCAAGTTTTGCAAAAAATTCATCCGCCTGAGCCATGTTATTATTATCACTCACAGACAAGTAATCACCAAAACATTTATGTTGACTAGAAGAATTTGTTTATTATTAAATATTGTACCTTATCTATTATTGACAATAAAAAAAATGTTCAAAATGTTTTTTATTGGCGAAAGAGGAAAAATGTTTTTTATTGGCGAAAGAGGAAAAATTTTGTTTTTACGAAATAAGAAGCGACAGTTAAATTTTCTAGTGTTGCCAACGTAAATAATGACGTCATATCGTATACAACGAGATGTGATTTGAGTATACTGGCAATTAAAAAATTTGTTGTTTTATTTTTATTATACTCATCTATTATTTTGTAAAAAAATATACAAACCTATCTTAAACAATCTAATAAGGGATTCTTTTTCTTCGTTTTTGGCATTTGATTCTTGGTCTTTATCTCTTTTGTCGTCATCCATTTTTGCTAACGATATTTCTAACAGTTCTTTCATCTTTGGTTCTAGGTATGCGAATAGGTTCCTAAAACATGATAAAATTTATTTGGTACACGTTGAACTTCTTCAAATCTAATCCATGGAAATATTATAAGGGTACCAACGTTTGCCAAAAATGTTTTTCTGGAATTAATATCAAATATTTGTATTTAATCCAGAGCACATCTATGTGGCTTCTAAGGTTTGGAAAGTAGTTTTTTGTAATCCCAACAGATATATTGTGAAACTGTAAGTCATTATTTATAATAACTCTTAAAAATATAAAGGACAATGGTTATTTCTTCTTGCAATATCGTCTCCTATCAAAGGTTGGCTATCATAACAGCAATCTTTACTTTGCAATAGTTATAGAAAACGATAAAACATCTGGATACTGTTTTTCTGGATCTAATATAGAAAAGATAACTCTGACTAATGAAATAGTAGTTTTTCGAAGACAAATAATATTCCGTTTTGTGAATAGTTCAACTAATGTTTTCAGATCCTTCAAAATTTGATCCAAAGCAAAAGTATTGCTGCTAAGATTCGGAAAGTTGTTCTTTTCAACTCTAATTGGTATTTTGTGAAATTGTAAGCCATTATTAACCACAATTCTTGAAAATATTAGGTATAACAATTCCGGAAAACGATAAAAAACCTGGAATAGGTTTTTCTGGATCTAATATAGAAAAGGTAACTTTGACTAGTGAAATATTAGCTTCTCGAAGGCAAATAATATTCCGTTTTGTCGATAGTTCAACGAACGCTTCCAAATTCTTCAAAATTTGATCCAGAATAAGTTCAACAATGTAGCTGCTAAGACTCGGAAAGTTGTTTTTTTTTCAACTGTAATTGGTATTTTATGAAATTGTAAGCCATTATTAACCACAATTCTTAAAAATATGAGGTATAAAAATTCCGAAAAAACGTTAAAGACCCGGAAAAGGTTTTTCTGGATCTAATACAGAAAAGGTAACTCTGAATAGTGAAATATTAGTTTCTTGAAAATAAATAATATTCCATTTTGTGGACAGTTTAACGAACGCTTCCACATTCTTCAAAATTTGATCCAGAGCAAGATTTAAAATGACTATTTGGTTTAAACGATAATTAGTGAAACATTTTTAATAGGAATAAGTTCATAAAGTTTTCTTTTCTGCCGTAGACTTATGTATCAACGCAAACGACTTTTCTGGAAGCAGCTTCTAAAAAATCCGTTATGATACACATTTCCAAGCCTATAGCAATTTAGATCGTGATTTACAAGTATTGAAAAGACTTACCTGACACTCGTCATCTCGTCTCCATCAGCATCGTGCACCTGATGTCTCGAGTTAGCAAAAACGATGACTAACAAGCTGGAGATCCTTTCCCGAATATTCTTGAACGGGTGGGTGAGATGAGGCCGGAGATATTCCAGCAAACGTCCGGAAATCTCATAATTGCGCCACGATTGTTGGCTTAAGGCGACAAACAGCAATTGCAGGCGAGTGCAGGTTACTAGGATCGTAGGGTCTCTGAAGGGATCCTGAAAATACGATAACTGTCAATATATGGGAACTGAAATACCGAAGAATAAAATAAGACATGTACATTTTTCTCCGATTTAACTACTGATCCTAAGATTATTACAACCCTGAAAGTACATTAAATAATATAACAGATATTAAATGAAAATACAACTTTAAAAAATAAATCGATTAATCTTCGCAAAACGTTTATCAAAAACCAAATTATACGATACTTGTAGTAAAACCGACATAGCTGTCACTCAAGTATATATCAAATGAAAGTCCTCAATTGGAGGATCAATTTGGGCACATCCTCCAATTCTGCTAGCAATCTAAATGAGTAACGTAGTAAACTCACCTGTAAGAGATACTCCAGCAGCCAATGATGCCTGTTGGGGTCCCTCGATTCCAGTCCCATGGTAATGCAGAGCGCCCAGTCAGTTTGAGTTTCCGTCGAAACATTAACGATGGCTCTTTCTAATAGAGGCAAAATGGTCGACCACAAGTTCACTATTTTATTGTACTCCCAGTGCTTGGACCCTCTGATTAGTCCGCTGATGATTTCAGCGGCACAACGGTTACTGGACTCGAGTTTGTCTTCGACGAGTCGTTGTAGGTGAGGCACGAAATTCGGTAAGAGAGCGTCTTCGAATATCTTAAATAAATTCTAAAAGAAAAGCGAAAAAATGTAATAAATGCATGTGTGTGTGTTTGTGTAGTAAGTAGGTTAATAAACAATTTACACAAACAAAATATTTCTTGATAATTATTTAAAATTCCTTGTTTCCGATAAAGCCTAATTCTCCTATAATAGCCCAAATTTTAGCGAAAGATCCAAAAGAGCCGCCGAACGGAGAGTGGAAGATATATTCTACTACCCTCAAGCACATGATGACAGAAATTTAATATTTGATGATTGGATTTTTCAGCGGCACATTTTTTAAAATGTTCATGTTCAGATCGTGTATCGCACTCCGGAATTTTACCGGATACGTTCAAATTGACATTTGACATTTGTCACTGCAAACCGTATGCCGCGACGCGATAAAAACTCGAATTGAACGTCAGTGGGGCTTGTAGTTACGCTTCTTCACACGATTTAAATTTTATCGAAGTACTTGAATACCAAAAAAGCGTAGGTACATTGTAAAAAGGGAATTTTTCAATTAAACGTTTGGTGAAGTATGCATGCGCCGCTTCTTTATCGGGACATGACACACGAGTTTTAACCTTGTTTATGCCTGGGCCTCTTCAAAGAATGGGTAACTCCTTTTTTTTAACGGAGTTGTGGGGGTGTGATAAACGTCAATTAAATGATGCACGATGTTAAGAAGTAGTGGACTACTAAGGAGCAGGGGGAAAAAGAAGGTGACTTGTATGTGTGATCGATAAGAATCGATAAGAACACACAAGAAGAAGTGGGATCTGCCTAGCATGCCAGTTGAGGTACTTCAGGGGTTACCAGCCATACAGTAGGAATGGCTCTTTATCAGCGTTTTTGGCGCGCAGTATTTTTTGCAATATTGGATGGGGAATGTTTCTAGAATTTCGAAATACTGATCAGGAAGTTCATGTCCAGTGTTGTGCAGAAGTTTTGCTGGAGGAAACGGAACTTTCTTAGTGGGAAACCTGGTAAGTATTTGCCCTCTATGATTGCAAGGCGTCGTTAGTGTTCGTTTTGCTCTGTTGTTCGAGCCAGCTATAGTTCTTAGGACATACTTCCCGCTGAGGGTTAGGATTCTGCCCTTGATTGGCGTGATGTTGGCCAATATGTGTATGTGGGCTGATGGATACGACCAATCGTTTCTCATACAGTATCTTAGCATTCTACGTTCAGTAGCTGCGATGACATTCAGTTGGTGCCATGTTATATTCGGTGCCTTATATTCGATTATCGGTCTGACAAAAGTCTTGTAGGTGTGCAACAAAGTTTTGGAAGACGTTCCGCCAATTTTACCGGTTAGCACTTTCAGGAGATTAAACCTCTGTCTCGCCCTATCTAAGGATTCCTGGACGTCGACCTTCCAGCTGAGAGTTCTTGTAAAACGAACTCCCAAGTAGAGAACCGAGTTCTCTTATATGTCCAATTCTTAATCTTCTTATAACAACTTTGTCTCTTATAAAAAGTGCTGGTAGTTGTAAGGAGGGAATTCTGGGTTGGATATTATGAAGTTTTGAGCTCGTTCTATCTCAGAGGTTTTGCCAGGCTCTCACACACATTTGTTTGACTGTATGTTGCAAATAGACCCCGAGTTGAATACTTTCTATACGTACATCAGAACGGACTGCAGCTGCTTGATCTGCATTTTCATTTCCTGCAATGTGCACGTGTGATGGAGTCCAAATAATGCTAACAGATACGATCCTATCTTTTAATTCGTGGCAGGCGTTGTAGATACTTTGGATTAATAGGTTTTGGTTGAAAATATTATTGATGGATAGGATTGACGATAATGAGTCAGTGCAGATTGCGATGTTTTTGCTTTTGTTGATTGGACAATTAAGTGCTTTCATGATAGCATATAAGTCGGCTATGTAGATGTAGATGATACAGTGATATGGAATACGGTAGGTAGGTAACTTCTTTGGTGGTAGTGACAGAAGAACCAACCTGATCTTCAATTTTCGAAGCGTCTGTGTAGATGATTGAGTCATACTATTTGGTTTTACTGCTCTGGGTTTATTTACTGTTATTGGTTTGGTAGTGTTGATTAACCCGTTGACTGGATTATTTGGATTAGCCGATGCTTTGACAAAATAGGACAAAATAAATCGCTGATGGCGAATATTGGTAGGAGGTTCGTTAGCTTCGACTTGAATACTTTCTGTGGGACTAGATCTAAAAGCACCAAGACATATTCGAAAAGAGGTGTTCTGAATGGCATTGAGGCAATTTAGTTGAGTGAGTTGGGAGCTGACATGTATAGTATACTACTATAATCTATTTTTGAAGGAATTAAGATCGGTAAATGCTCAGCAACATATCTTCGTCTGTTCCCCATTGATGGTGCGCTAATGATTTTAAGAAATAACTGATGATTGTATTCTAGGTTTCAGATTAGTCAGAACTTTTATAAAGAATAACTTTTTTTCATAAAAGTTTCCCATATGCTGCCGACTTAATTGGGAACACTGTATACATATTCGTTTTCTGGAAGCACAAAACACTCTTTCATGTTTAATTTTTTTCTATGAATGAAGTGGGCTAATTAGAAAAATATTTTCTCTCTATATATTAGTTTAGGAACTCATATAGTATGATTTTTTCTACCAAAGCTGGAAATATAAATAGGTACCCGATTGTTTACCGGTTACCCGTAGACAAAAACTTCTGAGAGAAATTGAAGGCTTGACGAAAAAAAAGGCTAAATCTAGCAACCATGCATGTGGAGTACTCGGACGAATACAAATTCAATTATCTCGATGTCGAATGTCATACTCAGTTCATTTTGATTTATTTTGCTAGATTTCACGCCTTTGAAAATTGACAAGAACAATTTTTGTTTGTGCATCACTATTTGGGCGACCATCATAAAAATTTTTTAGTTTCCTCCGACATTTTCACCATTTACTCTGCCGCATGCCGTCATAAAACAAACCTACTGATGTCACAAGACACGTCCTACAACATCGAGTCAAAGCTTGACAAAGCTTGATTAAAAATCACCAAAACAAGTGTCGATTTTATTTTTTGGTCGTGGGGTGAGACATCAGTAGGCGTGATTTATGGGTTATCAGTCGTAACAATAAGATAAAACACCAGAAATTAAAATTTTAAGTTTACTCACCTTAAAAGCCAGAAACCTGTAGGCGTTGAAATGATCCCGTCCCTTCTTTTCCTCTAACGATAGAAACTTAATCAGCTTTTCTATATTTTCTTTATTGTTAAAAAACGTATAAATATCCTTCTCTATCTCCGTCAGATCGTCTAACCTCTTTGCGGCCGTTTGTTGCGTGGAAGGTGGATCGTATAATTCCAAGGTTTTAGGCCAACAGTAGTACCCTGTATATTGGTCGTGGATATACCTAACATAAATCAAAAGTAAAAAACATAAAAAGTTGGCTATGAAAATATAGGAGCTGCTATTTTTTAGATTTGGCTATCCTGCTACAGTGACGGATCACAGCGTTACGTTTCATTGCTTGACTCATTCAAACTGTATACTATAAAACAATATTATTGTGACGATTTAAAGTTTATCCAACATTTGGGAAATAAAAAATACCGGGAATTGTGTTGTATATTCTTGGCATCGTAACCAATACCTTCTTCAAATATGGCGGCTTGCACATCTGTACAGTCCAATGGTCGCGTCCCTTTTAAAAAGTAGTTAGATCGTTAAAAAATGCCATTTACGATAAGGTTCTTAACGTTTTCAGCATATTTTAGGAGTATATTCAGTATATTTGACAAATGACAGGTTTTAAGGAGCATTCAAGGTTCAGAATGCTGTTAGTATAGAAAATTTTCTCTCAATTAAGTACCCCAATAACTACTGTCTGGTAATATTTTAATTCAAAATTATTTTTCTACACGTTTTTGATGATATACAGTCATGCTACCACGAAATAATCGATATATTTCAGTAATCAAGTAACTAAAATTAAATTAATAAGTTCTCAGTTTACTAGAAACTACAACGATCAACAAAAGTTTCGTAAGTCTCAACATAAATATTTGAAACCGCTCTGTGTTGGAAGACAAGCTGGATATTTTTGAAAGACTATTTAACTAAAATGTCATTCCTACTAAAATTTTACAAAAAAAAAATCTTAATTAATAGAAAAAGGAGATTCGATTTGAGAACATACAACACTGTATACGATGACAGTAATAATAAGTATAAGGAAAAATGTATTATTGGTTGCCTACTTTAAAATGACAGAGCATTTTGCTTGATATTGCAAGGGAAAATTTATTATTGGTTGCCTATTTTTGAAGTAAGGCTTTTAAAATTCTGTATTATAGTAGATAATAAAGATTTACAAGATACAATTATATCAATAGTACTCACCTTCTTTCCTCCCACTGTTCAACATTCTTCGGAATATTCTTATCACTATATATCAACCATTTATTGTCCTCTCTTACACCAGGTTTAACATCACGATTAATCACAGATTGCTTCGAAAACGAAAAAGGATCTACGATAGTCTTAGCATATTTAGCTTTGTTCTGTAGCAAAAGGAACACAAGAATTTTCAGCGACGACTTTCTCACCAACAACGAATCGTCTATCAAGGATTTCAGGAAGAATCTCACGATACGCGGAGTGTACTTCACGTCCATGTGAACTAGATCCTTGATGAAGTTTATCGCCATCTGGTGGTAACGCCAGTGACTAAAAATACATAATATCCTTAATATCACTCAGATATGACATACGCACACAAAAAATACTTAAACTAGTATTTACTATTTACCATCTTGAGTTAAGATTCGAAGACTACTTCATATTTAAACGATTTTTTTAACTAAAATTCCAGAATTCTAATACATTATATTAGCTTGTTCATTTTTTATTGAATATATGGATATGTCTCCAAATTTGACCATATTTTATTTTTTTTAGTTAAATGCTTGACAATTAAAAAAATAGATATGCCAGAGATCAGAAAACACTGTGGCGTTACCTATCAACTGTCATCTGCCAGTCTCAATAAGTTAACATATTTCAGGCTTGTCATTGGTTATGTGACATTTTTTTATGTTTTTTATGCCTTGCAGTAATAACAAATAACCATTGAGTTAGAATCTAGATTCTAACTCGATGCAAATAACACTTGTATCATATGTATCATTAATTAATGACTACAATTATTGAGATATATGCTTCTTCTGTCACTTGTCAGTTGTAATGTGTTTCTAAATTTAAAAATTCAAGATGTTTTTCAACGATTCTTAATCTGCTGTTCTATTTAGAGGAAAATAATCAGCTGTAATGTTGTGACAGTACAAAATTGATCAACTACTCAATAATATGGAAGGTAAGTGGGGAAAAAAATATATTATAATGATCCAAAACTTACAGCGATCCGGATTCTAAGGAATCCATCAGCGAATTCATCGTTCCGTCATACGCCGATCTCCTTTCTTCGCTTTTTCTCTTCAGATACGCCTCTCCGTTGGCCTCCAATGCCTTGAATCGATCCATGTCGCACACCGGCTCGTTTTTTGCGAAATTATAAGCAGCGGTTAACACAGATTGCGGTATTACTAGGTTTATTGCTATGGTAGGAAAGCATTTGTCGATTGTATCATCTGAAACGACAATTTTTGAATATTTGCAAAGTAATTGGTGACATTAATATATATGATAGTCGTACATATATAAAAAATTATATTTCTTTAAGGAATTTTACACCTATTGTGCAAAATTTGCCATATTTATGAACTCAATGTGGCTCTCGATTCCAAAGAACTAGTTGTGTTTTCATTTTATTGTATTTTAGGGCAGACCTGATCAATTTTAAACGCAATTAAACATAAAAACAGTTTACTTACTCAACGCCATTATCAAGGCGATGATGGAAGGCTTCTCAGACGGCATAGATTTGACAACTAGGGGCCAAATCTGCTCAATGAACTTCCAATCGTGCCTGGCGATGATCGGAGCACTTTTTGGTCCCAATAAAATGTACAAACAGCCTTTGAACCTTTCATGGTTTTTCTCAGAATCCATCTTGAGAATATCTTTGATTCTTTCAGTCAAAACAGAATAGGAATATGGAAAATAGGACACTACAGAGAACAATTTGTTTTGGGCCGCTATTCTAACCTAGAAAAACATATACTGGTAAATACTTTGATTGCGCCGTATAATGGTGATGTATGCTATTTTTTGAGGTTATGTAAATGACTAAATAAACAAAATTTCCACAGCAGTTTATTTTAAACTCTATATATCACCCAAAATAGTTTATAACTAAGTTTATGCTGCAAATACTTTCTTTTTATCTATTTTCCTTTCTGGTTATTTTGTTCTTTCACTAGAATTAACTTTGAAAAATGATTGATTTGAACAAATATGCCAAATAAATTATGAATAAGAGTTCAAAGTGTACTTAAAATGAACTATTGTGATATTTGTTAAATTGAATCAAAATGAATCTCTTTGATTATTTCAGTCATAACCAAAAATCAATAAAAATTAGACCAATTTGAAAAAAAAATGTTTTGGGAAGTTATTTTAACCTAAAAATACGTATATGGGTAAATATTTTGTTTTCTTTTCAAAATGTTGTTTTTTCACTAGAATTACCTTCTAAAAATAATTGATTTGAATAAATAGGCCAAATAAATTATCAAATAAATTATCCATAAGAGTTCAAAGTGTACTTAAAACGCTCTATTGTGATACGTATTAAATTGACACAAAGTGAATTTCTTAATTTTTTTCAATTCAAACCAAAAATGAATAATGGAATACACCAAAATAAAAAAAAATGTTTTGAGATGCTAACCCAGAAAGACATAATGGGTAAATATTTTGACAGTTCACCATATTAAAGAGATGTCACCACAAGTCATTTTTTGAGGTTAGGTAAAATTGTTAAATTGTTCTAAATAAGTTGACATTGCAAATATTTTATTTTCCTTTCAAACTTTTGTTCTTTCGCTAGAATTACCTTCAAAAAGTGACTGGTTTGAGTAAATATGCCAAATTATTTACCAAAAAGAGTCTAAAATGAACTTAGAGGGGACTAAAACCTAATTTAAAATGATTTTTTTTACTTCACTGTATCTAGAGGTGCTCAACTCGAATAGGTCCAGTAATATCATGCGGTGGGTGCCGGTGAATGAACAATTGCGGCTTTCTATGCGGAATTCCTGCTGCAGCATCACCCTGTCGACTAAAACGTGCCGCAGATGGAGCTTTTTTTGGAGCAAACGGTCTTCCAATAGTTTTTTGGTCATGTGGAAGCTCTTCCAGTGGAATTCAAAGTCTTGCCCGCGGGTTTTGTTGAATAACAAAATATTGTAGATCTGAAATGAAATAAAAAATGATGTTTTTTAATTTTCTTCAACTTTTTCTATGCGCAAAATGATCAAAACGTGCTTACATTTATTATATGTTGTATGCTCTGTGTATCGCCTTCGTCCATGTCCAGCAGCGCTTTCTGTAATTTATGCAACACCGTAACGATAGCTTTCCTTACGTTCGAACCATCTGGCATCGTCACTACCCCGCTACCACACACCTTCAAATTGAACGTCCACGGCTCAAGAACAGACTCGACTCTAAAACCAAATATTCCTTTTATAACAGTCATAACTTCTAACAAATCACTTACAGCGGATACACCTCTTCTTCCCACATCGGCAACAGCGGCTGGCACGACAAAATCGACGTGACAATCTTCAGAGATTGCTTCAACTCTAATCTAGTTATAGTTTCCTCGGCACTGGAAATTTTTTCCAGCCTCTGTAGCTCAGGTAATAGGTATCTTTCGAGGAGGTTCTGGACAGCAGCCACTTCCTGGGTACCCGGCACGTACCATGAGATTTTTAGGTCCTTTATTTGTTGTGCTTTACCCCATTCTCTAAAATAACAAAAATAGCTGTGAATTAAATGCCAAATATAGTGTAGTGCCATAATAGTTCCGAATTTTGTGATGCGTATATAAAAAATGATTTATATTTTAATATAAAAATAAAACCACACTCCACTATACTATTGTAAGTAATGTAACATTAGTGTGGGAGATAGTGACACATATCAAAAATACGTTAATTTAATAATAACGGTACAATATACCATACTAAAGCAACATTAGTGTGGCAGATAGTACAAAATTATGTTTTTATTTGAAAATGACCGCGCGACTATCACAGATCAATAAAACCTATGGTTCTTGTAAAAATTCTTGATACACACAAATAATTCACAGAAACAATACTTGCCTAATAGACAAAAAGTCTTTGATAGGTGTGGAGTAATCAACGGCGCTACTTCGTATTTCCGTAGGCTGGATGTTGGTCAAAGAAGACATCATGAGCTCCAACATCCTAGCGGACAATTGGCTAGCACTTTGACACGTCATATGCAAAGTTTTGTCCAAAATATTCGTTAGTTTGTCTAGATAGATCAAAATTTCAGAACGACCATCCACCAGCTGCGAAAATAATAACAGTTTAAACATGTTTACAAAAATAAATCTGCACAAAAATAGCCCCAAATCAATGCTCAGGAGAATGCAATGTAATTTTTTAAAAAACTTATGCAAGAAAGATATGAAAAAGGTTACCAATTGATTTATTATCGTACAACTAGTTTTTTCTTAATTGTTAAGAAAACTTAGATCTTTGATCCGTTAAGGACATATTAAAAAGTATTATTGGTAATTTGACAGTGTACTTATTAAAAATAATCTACAAACAGTTTATGGTACTTACTTCAGAGAGCATAAGAAGATTGTACAAAAGCTCATCGTCGATATGTTCCTCCTTGACGATATTAGGGTTTTCGTTAAGCAATTCTTCAATTCTATCACAGAGGTACGGCAAAAACAGCTTCAGTGTTTCCTTGGGGTTGACTTTAGCGAAACAATGACAACAGATCGCCAACATTTTACCAGAAACGTGAACTTCCATGATTTTACTAGTTACGAAATTGTAGATTTTTTTCAGGGCACTCTAAGAAACAATCATAAATAATTGGCAAACAAAATCGGTCATCGTGGACAAAAACTCTTAAAAAATGTATAACTCCCACAATCCGCCACACTAACGTCACATTAATGTGGAAGATTGTGGTACATATGGAGGACTAAGGAAGCCAATCAGTGTAAGTTATTTTCACTAAAAATTCAGTTAGTTAGGTAAAAGATTCCTTCTAACAGCTAAAACTTTTTACAGACAATACTTCACAGGAAATCCAAGAGATGGCAGTACTTTATTTAGCGTCAGAAATAAACTAAGACATGTTCGGAAGTCGAAGTCATTTAGTGTAAGTCATCTTGGTGTGTCACAGTGAGATTTGAATTTTATTTCACACTTTTATCGGTTACAATGAGTAAAAATACAGTTGAATTATCATTAGAACTAGAAGAAAATGGTCCTTACTCCGATAGTGAATCAGAATACGTGCCTAACAGTGGAATAATTCATCTGATTCAAGTAAGTAACTCTTAACGTAAAAAGTGGAAAATAATTTCTTACGAAAATAATGTGATTGAAAATGAAGGGGGCACATCGTTTCAAAAAGTTGATTGTAAATGTAGACGATTTTGTTTTTTCAATATAACAATTGAAGAACGACAACGTCGCAGCAGAAATGGATCAAGAACGCCAAGATTAAAATCAATAAAGTACTACTTAACTACTACAGTGATGTCCATTCTTGTGTGTAAGAAATTTAAAAAAAATACCTTTTAAGTAAGTGAGTGGCGTACATCTAAACTGTCTTGTAGTACGAGGTCAGCTTTTTGAATAGACAAAAGAGGTCACAAAGAACCAATCAATAAAATTAACGTCACGAAAGGCAAGGAACACATTAAGTCATTTCCTTGCTATAAGAGCCATTATACACCTTGTGATGCTCCAGGTAGAATATACATATTTAAATCCAGATTTAAATATTAGAAGGATGTATCAACATTATCAAGAGAAATGCGAACAAGAAGGTTCAGAACCAGTCAAAGAAAAAATGTACTATTATGTTTTCTCATTAAATTTTAATCTTCACTTCAAACCTCCATCTAAAGATACCTGTCAGTTATGCGATTCTTTGCAAAATGCCATCAGATTTGGAAATAACGACGAAAATATACAGAAATCAAAAACCGATAAAGAAATTCATCTCAGAAAGGCATAACTAGCGAGAGATTCGCTTAATAAAGATAAAAATTTAGCTGATGAAAACATTTATGTTCTTAGATTCGATCTACAAAAAGCTTTGCCTTTTCCCAAACTAAGCACGTCTGTTGCTTATTATAAAATGAACTTATGTGTTTACAATTTGGGAATTTCCAGTTTCAACGACAATGGATACATGTTTATGTGGGACGAAGCAGAGGGATCACGAGATTCACAAGAAGTTGCCTTCTGCCTGACAAAACATTTAAAAATGAATGCAGGAAATTATAATAATATCATTTTATATTCGGACTGTTGTACAGACCAGAACCGAAGTATTAAACTAAGTCTAGCACTGCTCAAACTCGTACAAGACCCAGAAATAAATGCTCATTCAATCGACCATAAATTTCTTACTTCAGGTCCTAGCTACCTTCTGAATGATGCATATTTTGGAGTTATTGAGTCAAAGACAAAGAATAAAGAGTTTATTTATGGTTCTGAAGATTGGATCAATTAAGTTTCCACTGCTAAAAAGACTAATCCATTTCAATTAATTGAAATGAAACGTGAAGAATTTCTTTCGACAAGAATATTGGAAAATAGCATCATTAATAGAAAAATCGATAATACAGGGGAAAAGTTAACTGGTTGAACATAAAATGGCTCAGATACTCCAAAAATTAACCGGCATCTATAAAGAAACACTGCAAGAAGATTTTCCATTTTACGAGGACAAGGATGTTGACCTAGAACTTGAGTCTAATATTAACAGTGACGATTCGGATAATTATATAGCCTATAACTACTTCCCCGTTATTTTATTTTTAGTTCAATAGACACTTAGCATGTCATTTCTCCTTCTTTAAATGTACCAAAAAAGAAGTATGTTACCTTTCAACAAAAATTATTATTAACATTTATATGGGAGTCGTTATTTTATTGCAACAAGTTTTGAAACAAAGTCAATTTACTCAGTTTTTGTATTTAGTGACACACTGATTGGCTTATGAGCCCTCCAGATTTTATTCTAAAACGACACAATCGGCCATACTAACATCACGTTAATGTGGAGTAATATTAATGGGTCTAATATTAACAAATGAAATCTACCTTAAAAATATCAGGCGAACACTGGTTCAAAACGACACCAATGACAGACCCCAACGCGCTTTCAGAAATGGTCTCAATTCTGTTCCTAGCGCTCTCGTTATTCGTGATCTGCTCCATGCGGATGAACTCCAAACTGTTCGACTCCATCCAGACGCACAGCTTGTCAAAAAACTGCAGGACGAAGTCCTCGAAGTTGGCAGTCGCCTCGCAAACTACGTGCTCCTCTTCGGTTAAATCGTGGTAAGCGCTCGCGCCCGACGAATCGATCAGCGGGATCATATTGACGAAGTGTACGATGAAATTGAACGTGACATACGATTTGCGGATATCGTTGGGATCGATACCCGGAAGCAGCTCCATCAGTAAGGGAATGACGTGGGTTGGGCCTTCGGGATAGTTATTCCGGCTCCCCTGGACCATATATCTATTAAAAGCGAAAAAATATAATATTTAGAAAGCAAAAATAGAGCCTTAAAAAGCTTACCTTCCACATGCGATCACAGCCATCATTGAAGACGTCAGCTTATGGGGTTCGGTCAGGCTATTCATCGATGAATAAAGTTTTTCTAACGTCATAGGAATTATAATGTTCGGTCTTAAACACGACAGGTATTGTAGAGTCAAACTAGTATCTTGCAGACCAATTCTACGCAAAAAAGAAAAGTATATACTTATTTTCGTTACTATAAAACTGATAAGACACTGTATTAACTTTTGTTTAGGAACTTATAATATGAACTTTAGTCATTACCCTCAAATAGCCACTTAAAATAGTATTTGCTGGGTTAGTTCCTTCAATAGAATCGAAATCTTAATATAAGTACCTGTTATATAGAGCTTGTTCAATACAAGGCTTCAGGATGTTGACGAATCTATCTAAATCAGCATCTGTAAGTTTGAAATGATCCGGAACGTGGAATTCCCAAGAGGGCGCCTTGTAGCGTTCGCAATGAACCCGCTGGATCATATAAAATGAAAGAGTTCGGAGTAGCTCCCTCAGTTTTGTTGTCCACCTAAGTTAAAGATTACGAATTAAAATACGGTTTATATATACAAAAAGTAATCACAAATAAGATGGGTAATTAAAGAAAAATTATTTTTGTACATAATTTTTAATGGTCAATGTTTTTCTTTATATTACTTCCAAACCAAACTTAAAATAGAGAATTTTATTATTCTGATTAACATTTTAGTAGGAAATTGTATATATGTGGATATCTTGTTCATAAATGACGAATGTAACATATATCAGAGAAAATACGATAGGCCACATCGCCATATCAAAAAGATGGAGATCATTAAAAAGGTAGAACATCAAATAAAGTCCAGAAAGTGGGGTTGGATAGTAGGGTGGAGCGAAAACTTTTTTCTTCAATTAGTCATGCCTGGCCTACAGAAAGTTGTGCATGTACAAATCGAATATTTTCAGAAAATTACAAAAATATATGTCGAGTCCTTCCACCGCCCCACCACTTTCGTTATATTTTCGCTTTGAGACTGATGTGGCGGAGAAAGAACAAGTTAGATTGCTTTCTTTATTAAAAGTTATTGCTTTATTTATTATAATAAATATTTTCAGTGGTCAGCGGTTCCTTTTTTTCTAAATAAAATTTATTTCTTCTTGAAATGTTATAAGTGATATTACGGGCCAGTATAGTAGTAGGCGTTTAATAAGAGGCCGGGCCTGTATCACTGAAACTTGTTGTGACTTGCACGACAAAGACGAACTACTATACGTTACACCAAATACCGTTAGTCATCGCCTAGATACAGCGAATAGTGTTACATGTTAATCAATTTTTTACTTACTATTTTTAACTAACTTAACTTTAAGGCTGTTTTACCGGTGCACTAAAACCTAGGAACAGTGTTTTCTTTGTTATTTACCGACAAAATTTCCCGAAATTTGGACACGTTATTCGAAATTGTGTTGCTTTTAAACTGATGGTTTTACTTTTTTTAATTTCTTGAAATATTGGTAGAAAAATTGGATTATACTGTTTAACGTTCTATTATAACCAAACTTTTTACGCCCATCACTTGAAAGAGTTTTTTTTTTCTGTAATCGTTGAATTTTTTTCACCTTTCTGTGTACAGTAATAATCGAGAAAAGCGTTTTCTAACTTTGAAATTGCTAAAAAATACTAGAATCTAATAGTGAAACGTGTTACTCATCATTAGCATTTAGTTTATCGTTATCGCCTTCGTGACGTCAAATCTCATGAACGTACGGTCAGCTAGTTCGTGTTAAAACTAATTTAAATGGAAAATAATGCATTTCTTGTCATTAAACTACCCGTCGGCCGGCGCCACTGAGTAAAGATGGTCTGGCGTAAGCAATGTAGAAAAGTAAGTGCCCATTTCAAATCGCAGTGTGATTGAACTGCTAAAACAGCCTTAAATTAAAATGTCCAAAAATACAAGAAGTGCAATAGAGTGCCCCCTTTTTGGTGTACCAAGAGAGTTACAATGTTCTATTTTACCCACGTTTTGTGATGTAATAAAATACTTTTTATGGGTTCGATATAATTTGGAAAATAATGGTACTAATCAAAATCTTCTTGTGTCAGAGATTGTTGCTCAGAAGGTTGAAGATATTTGGAAATCTGCTTCAATCCCAATTGTAAGCCATCAAAGAATTGTAGCATTAACTAAATAATACCAGAAAAAGAAAAAAGACCTTCTGAAGCCCTATTTAAAAAGAAAAGACGTCGCCTCTTACAAATCAAAATTGGATGTGTGTAAGAAAGACAGTTTGCGATTGTTTGACACTGCTGAATGTAAATGTGACAATTTTAATTCGTGTTTGTGTTTAAAGCAGAACAAGGTAAGGAAATAAGTTTATTATTTAATATAAATAAGTGGTATTTAAACCAGTCGTTACAGGAATGTATAAACTTCAATATTGTTTTAGGTTCCAATAAAGGAACGTCCATTTCTCCAAGACCAGAGGTCCTGTCGACAAATTATGATTGGCTCTGTAGATTTTGAAGCTGTTCGGCAACAACAAATACGGGAAATGAGAAGTGTGACAAAGAAAACATCATAATCGATGACGTAAAAGCTACCACATCCTCTTATAACAGACAAGTGCATGGTTTGGAAGTAGAAATTCAACCGGGATTTAACAATATAAACGGAAATGAGGTAACCCAACATGAAAAGAAAAAGGAGCAATCTGCCGTTATTTATGATGAACAAACTATATTACAACTGACCAAACGTAACACAAGGAATCTCTCTGAGTTAGCTAAAATGCTTGATAGATACGCGTTGTTAGACAGAGCAGGTGCTACAATAGCTTCGGCAGTGTTACAAGATTACGGAATTGTCAACAAAGAAGACACTCCAAATATTATTGACTGTCACAAAGTGAGACGGGCAAGACAAAAAAATAGGATATGTCTTCAAAGATTATCAAATTCAATAGTTTTGCTTGATTTGTACTTCGATGGTCGTAAATATAAAACATTGACTTTTGACGATAATAGGAAAAGAACAATAGTAGAAGAACACATTAGTTTAATACAAGAACCTGATTCAAAATATCTGGGCCATGAATCTCCTATCTCTGGAACGGCAGCAAATATCTTAGACACATTTAATATTTTTTTCAAATCTCTTCGATTTCATTAGACAGTTTAGAGGTGATTGGATGTGAAGAACAAATACCAATGTAGGAAGTAAGGAAGGAATTATTTGGTTGTTGGAAAAAACAATTGGGCGGTCCTTGCAATGGTTTATTTGCTAAATGGCGAAAGAACTTCCTTTGCGACATTTGCTACAGCATCTTGGTGGTGAGACAACTGGCCCTCGAGCATTTCGGAGACACATTGGAACGCTTTTACATAATTGCGAAAAGCTTCCTATTGTGGGGTTTCTAGGATAGAATCAGAACTACCTGATATAACATCTGATTTTGAGTTGAGTATGGATCAAAATTTTCATCAATCATCAATCGTCAATCAGTTTAGCTCCGAAGCTCTTTCCAAACGTGACTCTGGAAAACTAGTTCATTCCCGTTGGTTAACTACTGCTAACCGAATCCTTTATCTTTATGTTAGTACCGAAAATCCGACTCAGAATTTAGTTTCATTGGCAACATTTATAATTAAAGTTTACACTCCAATGTGGTTTTTGATCAAAACAAAATCTTCATGCATTTATGGCACATCTTCATGCATATATTTAAGTATATTGAACTATGTCATTAGTGGCCCGAAAATTTAAAAAATGTTTTCAAAGTAATTAATAGAAACAGATTTTTTGGACACCATGAAGATATATTAATTTCTATGTTGTGGGTGAGCGCAAACATATAAGACATCTAGCTTATTGCAGAATTTTAAAGTATAGGACCGTAAGCGATGGTAAATTAAATATTCATAGTTTCGCAGTTCCAGACTTCAACTTTAAGGCTAAAAACTACTATGAACTAGTAGATTGCCAAACCATCCTATGGACTGAGCTCTCAATCGAGCATAACTGCTCGATTGACAGATGCCCAGTTGAAAGAAATAGTAGAGGACCCAGAGAAATCTGAAATATCTTATATAAAAAAGTATCCTTGTCACAACAGGCCTTGGAAAGAGCTGTCAAAATGGTAACTGAAGCATCTGTTAAAGTTTGTGGATATGAAAGACGAGATGGACTAACTAGAAACCAACTCGCTTCAAGGTCTATCATGCCGTCATTTGAAAGCAAGAAATATTTTATTTCAAACCTGTAAATATTGTACACATGTTAGTTTAAATTTCTTCTAGTAAAAAATAATAAATACTTTGGTCTAGTTTAGTATTTTAATTTATTGAGGACTGGAATTGTTGTGAATAGTAGTGGAGGGTATCAAAAATCACTATAAAAGGGAAAATTGTTGGATACAAAGGAACTGTTTTTAAAAGAATTTAACATCAGTTGGAGGCGATGGAGGGGATACTGTCAAAACAAAATAAAAAAACCTAAAAAAATTCTATATTCGATATTACAACTTTCCGGCAGTCAGACGTCCTGATTTTCTTAAAAAAAAAATTACATATATACCGACGCCTGGTGGCGGTGGAGGGGATCCCGGCAAAAAAAACAAACAAAAAATATGAAAAAATTCTATATTCTAAATTACAACTGTCCCGTAGTCAGGCGTCCTCATTTTCCTAAAAAATTTTTTACATATATACCGATGCTACACCCTATTGGATAGGTCAAAAACTCCAAAAATAATTCCAGTATAGCAAAGATTGCCCTAGCCCTTTCAGTCACAGTGCCATCAATTGACGACACAAGAATTTTAACTTGTTGTTGTTTTACAGGATGTTATGGTATAGCAACAGTGTAGTTATCTCACAACATTCAATATTAATTAGATTTACGACCCGTAATACAATCTGTTACATTCCAGTTGAACTAAAGCAGTTTCTCTGTTTACTCTTTTTTTGCTCTTTCCGGACGGCAGATGTCATGGTGTATGGAGGGATGAAGGAGCTGAGCGGGCTGTACCCTTTACCATGGATGAACTTGTCGAGGCATTGGGTTCACTCAAGACTCGTAGGTCCCCCGGACTGGATCAGATACCACCTGAGGCGGTAAAGGGTCTAGGACGGGTGGAGCCTGCGTGGCTTCTGGAACACATGAATGCATTGCTGGAAGCACAAACCTTTCGTGAGCCTTGGAGGACATCGAGGTTAATACTGCTTCCCAAAGCTAGGGAAAAGTATCGCCCATCTGTCTTCTTCCATGCATCAGTAAGCTCTATGAAAGGATGCTACGAGTACGCATAGACGACATGATTGAGAGGTCAGGTGATTTATCTCGGAGGCAATTTGGTTTTTGTAAAGGGAAAAGCACGATTGATGTAATCATGAGTGTACTCGAAACATTGCACAACAGAGGGAATGAACATCGCTGGGCGGCCCTGCTGTTGTTTGATGTTAAGAATGCATTCAATACGCTGCAGTGGAACGAGGTAATGAAGGCAATGGAGGAGAGAGAATGTCCTGGTTACCTGATGAATGTTATGGCGGAGTATCTGTCCGAGAGAAGGATTATGGTGGAAAAAGGCACGATCGTGGACGTGACGGCCGGGGTACCCCAGGGATCTGCCTTGGGCCCGACGTTATGGAATCTGGCATATGACGGGGTTATGCACTGTGAATACGGAGAGGGTACAACCCCCTTCGCATTCGCGGATGACCTCGCTGTACTGGTAGTAGCCCGGGATGAGCCAGATCTCAAATACCGGGTTCGGATCGCAGGTGGCGTCGTAAAGAAATGGATGACGCAGCACGGACTAAAACTTGCGACGGAGAAAACCGAAGCCATTATTCTGAAGGGGACAAGGAACAGGCAAGGTGTTGAATTAAAATGTGCAGGGGTATGTCTAACACCCAAGACACAAGTAAAATATCTAGGAGTGACATTGCACCAGAATGGAAAATGGGGGGAACACGTTCGGGAGGTGGTCCGAAAGGCTGCGAATAGTGCGGCTGCGTTGGGGAGAATGATGCCGAACATTGGAGGACCCAAATCCGAAAGGAGAAGGGCCTTACACGGTGTTGTACAGTCTATCGTTCTCTACGCAGCACCAGTCTGGAGCGAGGCGGTAGAGATAACGGCCTATAGGAGTCTTATGAAACGAGTAGACAGAACAAGTCTGCTGCGAGTGGCATGCGCCTACAGGACTGTGTCTGCGGCAGCCTTATGGACCATCACTGGATGTGTTCCGTTGCATATTTTGGCGGTGGAAAGAAAAGAACTTTATGAGAGAAGAGGCCCAAACCTTACTGTGGCTGAGAAAAGACAGGTAAGGGAAAGTTCAGTTGAAAGATGGCAAGAAGAATGGAACAATACGGAGGATGTGGCACAGTGGACGAAAATTCTGATCCCTAACATAAGAGTTTGGGTGGACTGTGACCACAGGCGATTGGATTATTTCCTGACGCAGGTGCTTACAGGACACGGGTGTTTTAGGGCCTACCTTTATAGGATCGGTAAAGCTGATACAGATGAATGCCTATATTGTGGATACTCGGACACTGTGACACATACGATGTTAGATTGCAGCAGATGGATAGTGGAAAGGAACAGAATGGAGAGAGAGACAGGTGTGAATTTTGTTACAGTGAGAGAAATGATTGAGAGAATGATTGAAAATAAATTAGGTTGGATTAACATACACAGTTATATCCGTGCAGTGATCAAAAAAAAAAGGAAGAGGAAGAAAGACAGCTGGACCAACGGCAAAGGTAGAGTGAATGATGCTGAAAGGTGAAGTGGGTCACACTTTTTGAGTTAGAATGCGTGAGTTTGACTGTGGGGAAGGAGAAAATATCCTTCTGAGAATGATGCCGAACTAGGAGTGTGAATGTGTATAAATGGAGAATGAATGAATAAAGGTAGTGCTTCGGAAGTGATGCCGGCCTTACAGCGGCCATTCCGCTTCCGGATCGCTGGATGACAGAGGAGGGTCTGGTTTAGCAGGTAGGCGTTCGGCGTAGACTCGGCGACGAGAGGGCATTTTAAAGTACCTCGGGAACTATCGCCGGGAGTACGAAGAACGAAGTTTCTCTGTTTACATTCACAACTCACAACGGTTTATGAAAGCTATTGATGCTACTAAAATTATTATATTTTTTTACCCTTCTAAAACTGAGATAAATTCTGTTCTTTTCAAATATTGGAAGCTTATAGGTGCAAATAATAAAATTAAATAGTAAGTACACTTCAAAATTTCCATAATATGTCAAATTATTTTTTTGAAATTATATGTCGTCATTTGACGACATCGTGACTCAACGACTTGAGTAATAAACATTTTCACGGTTATTATTAGATCTAAAAATAAGTCAAATAAAGAGATTTAGGCCTCTTTCCGGCCATCTAAAGAAACTACTTTTAGTTCATTTTAGGGCCTATATTGCAGAAGCTTTAATTCAGAAACGAAATCTGAAGATGTAAACTCCCAGAATGTGAAGGCGTTCCCGTATTCTTTGTCAAAAATGTAAAGTACATCTATGTTTGACAAAAAATAAAAATTATTTTTTAAAATTTCATAAACCGAAATTTTGTTTAAATATATTATAATCATTAAATCATGTTTTTTAAAGTAAATAAATGTATTTTTATCCTAACGTAAGCTGTTATTGTATGACATACTCATTAGTTTGTAACCATTTAGTCACAATGTAGTAAATTGACGATATAAAAAACGGGCCTCATTTTAATAAAAAAATGGTAATATTCTTACCAAAAGACGTTAAGAATACCATAATTGGGTAGGAATTATTACCAAAATATTATTTATATTACAATAAAAAAAATCGTGACCGAAAGGGCTAGAGTGGAATCGCCAAAGAAGGAGAAATAGAGGTTTCCCAGTACACACTTGGAGAAGATCCATCACGGACGAAATAAGAGGTCAAGGAAGGACTTGGAATGAGGTAAAGACCTTAGCGCAAAATAGAACCTGATAGCGTGTTTTACTGAAGCTATATGCTCCACTTAACATTACAATGAAAAATTAATAAAGATTAACTTACCTTCCTGTGTTAGCTGGATAAAAATATGATTCTAGGCACTGCATAAATTTTTCAAAATGGAAAAAGGCATCATTTTTGTCGCCATTCAATATGCAAACTATCCATAAAGCAATAGCTGAGATATCCATTTTGTGATTCCTTCCTTGATGCCTTTGTTTGAAAGCTACAGGCAATTGGAAGGTTCTCTGGAATCTGACAAACATTTTTGGTATGTAAGGCTGCCAGTCTATTTGTCCTATCTGGAATCTAGCCAGACCTGTCATTATCCACATAATATTCTGTGAAAAGAAACATATAGTTAAAAATAATTGACCAGATATTAAGTTTTCACTTACATTCTCCCATGAACTGTCATCTTGACAAGAATCCCACAAGTTCATCAGTTCCTCAAACCACAACCTATAACTTATATCTGCTTCTTCTGGCTTCGTACTATTGGGTAAAAATATTTCTAAAAATTTTATAGTATTGGCTATCTCGCTGTGATTAAAAATGCACATTTTTGGTCGGAATTCATCCAGAATTTCTTGAGTGACAGATGCTGGGAAGTATCTATAAAAGGAAAAATGTTTCAAATAAATTTAGAAGTTTACACAATATTTCTTTCTAAATATTTCATATAAAGAATTTTTTTAATTTACTGTATGTCATATAGTATACAGCACCACACATATCACATGTCACCTATATTGTATGATAGACACCATTGATAGACACAGTTGACATAACAACTGATATCTCATCTATGGCAACTGACATGATAGCTTATAAGTATGAAATAACTGCAACTAATTTAGGAAAAATTCTATACTATAGAAGCTTAAAATTCTTTAAATGCAATGTTCAAATTCAAAGTAGTTAGGATTTGCACTTTATACTTACACTTTACAAGATCTAATGAGATGGAATAATGTCAATTCAAAATTAGAAGGGTATCTGTACATGCCTATATCCGTCTTGCTCTTCTCCATGACATTAACACACAGATCATACAGAGGTCTCCACTCCAACTGTAGATCATCTCTAGTTAGAAGGTATTTCTTCCTGAAATATCAACAAAATGTTTAAGTTTGCACAGGTTCTATGTATGAAAGATATGATGCACATGATCATATTGACCTTCTATATTTTTACTAAGAATAGTTATGGAACTTACTTCAAGAGTTGAATCAATGTGGTAGCACATTTATTGATCCTAGTTGGTTCCAAATCTGGAATGATGACCAGTTCGTAAAATAATTTTATCAATGCTATATGATCCTCCTTGGAAAACTTCATTCCATATATTTTTATGTACCTCAAAAGTTGAAATTTTTATTAAATAAAATTTTATATGTACATAAATATGAACAAACAAGTCATTACAGATATGCACAAAATGTAATGACACGGACAAGTAAGAAGAGTACTAAAGAGTTTTAGTTAATATATACGTTATGGTTAAAACATGAATATCAGATACTAGAATTACCTGGATAGTTAGAAGTATCCAAGCATAGTGAATAAAGCTACTAAGTACATATTTGTGAATATTTCGTTTTATTCTGAATTTATCTGGTTAATACTATATTATTCTGTTTAAATAAATAACTGTTTCTAATTTGGAGTAAAAATGGATATGATTTATATCGCTGTTAGTTATATCAAGTTTTCACTGCTTAGTTATATCTTTTGATTAATAAAATTGTACTAAATTCTTAATAAAGAAAAGAAATCAAATAAAACTTAAACATAAGTTTAAAATGTACTGCTTCAAGCATTTGACATTGGATATATTATCTAGAAAGACTAGGATAAATCAAGAAGTGATCAATCTCCTTTGCCTTTTATCCAGCAAATTTGTATAATATGCAAAGTATCCAGGTAAAATTAGTTTTACCCAATTTCGGGGTTTACCTGTAACATACATATAGAAACAAAACATATAAGTGTACCTGACTTATTAAATTAGAATAGTTTCACATGAAATTTATGTCTCCCCCACACCTGCCCTAACACTAGATATACCCCTCATACATATGTCTTGCCATCAGTATAGTAAAAAATACCATGTTAAAATTAAGGTTGATCTTCACCCTCGCTTAATTTGTTTCTGATCCTAGAGATGTAATTTTTTTAACTTAAGGTTGATCTGCACCCCCCAAAAGACAAACTCCAAATTCAAAAAATTTGAAAAAATTTTAGAAGGTATATGTGATGACTAGAAGTATTTTGACAACTTTTAAGCAAACTTCATGTTTTCGTTTTTGAAAAAACTCAAAAAAACTACTTTTTTTTCAAGTATAAAAGCGGGAAAACCAAACATATGATTTTGTTAATTTTTTTACAGCATCAATATATACTTATAAGAAATACTTATGAATTTTTTGAAAATTTCTGAATTTACAGTTTTGTCCAATAGGCAAAAATAATATGTTTCGGCTTATAATAAAGCTACCGGTAAGAAACCGAAAAATTTTTTAATAACAACATATATAAAAACTGTAAAAGTGGAAAATATTTGCAATAAAACGTTAAATATTTTTTCCTAAACATATGAAAAATCTTGTTAAACAAGAATTATGTCTTGAATTGCCGCTTTCAAATTGTAATGTTGGGAGATGGCTCCATCTGAAACAATGGTAGTATTTATCATCGATAGATAACATTACGTTCGGATTCGAAACGCTTCAAACGAAACGTCATACTAACAGGGTTGCCATATAAATTACTTTGTACAACACTTTGGCAGATTATCAAAATTTAATAGGAATGTTATCGGTTTGAATTTTGAACTGGTCATGCTGAAACTTACAGAGTTACAGAATAGTAGATACAGCAACTTTTATTTTGAAAGCACGATATCATAAAATTTACACTCTATAAGTAATATATCTATAAAAGACCTATTGAGTTTTAAAAACTTATTCAGGCGTTTTTAGTTAATTATTTTAGTATTTATAAACAATAGAGTAGTATACCTTTATATGCTGTAGTCTAATTAATTTTTAATATCTCACTATGAAGTACAAAATATTATTTTGAAATTTTCATTCTTCGTGTTCCAAAAACACCATTTTTTAGAACTAGGCAGCATACAAATGTTTGATGAAATAGTTTCAGCATAACTTGCAGAACAATAATTAGTAAGTGATCCTCCTTATTCTCAAATAGTAGTCCTTTGTTCAAAATTCCCTAATAATAGTTCATAGTTTGATACAGAGCTGTATACAGGATGATTTAGAGAATACTTTATTTTTGGTCATAGTTTTGCAATTTTCATATTATATACTTAATAAATATTACCAAGACCTTTAGAATGGATTTTGTCCAGGGCGTCTAACAATATGGCGATCGCTATATAACATCACAAAATTCAAACCGATATTTTTAAATTACTCTTGGAACAAATCAACCGATATAAATAGGCTTTACAGCTCATACAACTTAACAAATGTTATATTTATGACTTTTTTGTAGTGTAACTGATGTCACAAAAATACTAATATTTACAATAAATTTTCTCGAAATAAGCTTGAAAGTTTTTTTATTTCATAAAGTTCGTTGGGAAAGTTATATATTTGAATTTCTGGTAGATAACTACTATTACAATGTTCTTAGAGATAGGAACTTTTTTGGGCTGCCCTGTTTAATGTCCTAGTACTTAATTGTTATAACGGTTAACTAGAACTAATAAAATTTAAAAAGTGATTCTACTTGCTATGTTTTTTTTATTTTTGAAAAAAAAAGAAACACCTATATTGCCTTTAGTTGTTAAATTGCTCCCCGCCCTATAAAACCAAGATTATGAAAGTTTATCTTCTTTTAATTTTCTTCAACTTTCGCAAAGAAATAATATAGGCATAATAGCCAATTAGTAATACAATTGTCTAAATATAAATTTGTCACTTCTAGAGAAATCTGTATTAATATACTCTTTGTATATATCATTTTACCATTTTATAGGGTTTTCAATTACGGTTCTAATGATATAAATATGTGTGTAGGTTTTTAGTTTGTTTTTAAATAATATTAGGATAGGATTCAAAAAGGAGATCGAATCTGGTCGGTGTTTACATCGCCGTGTAAAATTCACATAAAAAGAGTGGCTTAATTAATTTTAAAATATTCAAAAGTGGTAAGTGATAACAAACGCATAATTCAGTTGAAGGGTGAATTCATACCACCTATTTTTATTATGGTTTTTTAATTATTTACTACTTACTGTTGAAATATCAAGTGTTAAAAAAATCAATAATTATTGTCTGCTGTTAGCTGTACTTTTACCTGTAGCTTACAGAGCCGGAATGTGAGGTCATTAGCAGCAATAAAATATTGGGCTAGTCAAGTTTCAGCAACTCAATAAAAGATGAACAAATGTCCAAATTGTAAGTTGTCGATTGTTAACAATAAAAATACCTTTAATTGTATGTCATGCAATTTACCGATTCATATTCAATGTTTAGATATTGCACAAGAAGAAATTATAACAATCGTCTGTAATAGTTGCTGTACATTCGAAGATAAGTTCAATAAATTAACTGATATAATTTCTGTTATCACATAGACTCGCATCAATTGAGGATCGTCTCGAGGTGATGGAACAACCTTCTCAAACTAACTCAATGGAGTTCGAGGATTGTATTCAAGAACCAAATATTCGTTATCAGTTTCCGCGTTTTTCGTGTATTGGAAAGATTATCAATAGTAATAAAATTAAGCTATTAAAGGTTAAATTTGCAGATAATGATAGTCCATTATTTATGTTGCTCAATAAGATGAGGTTGTTAGGAACCAAATTTTCTGGAATTCAATTGAACGATGACTTAACTAAATATCAAATAAACTATTTGAATAAAGTGTGAGAGGAACTGAAAAAACGTAAACTACTTAACAAGGAACTAACAATAAAGTATATTAATAAAGTTCCAACTATTGTTAGTACTAACCAACAAAATGCCGCAAAAAACGAATAGAGTTTACAACCATAAATATTTTTTAGACTAAAATTGCATCTTTACATGCTAAGTTTGCTGACTTTTTGTCATTTACATCTTCTAACGCCGATATACATATTTTTGGGATGGAGTTCCTCTGAAATCGCTACGAGAAGTTAATAATTCTAGTGTTACGGTCGACCAAACATTAAGTTGGTCTACTTAAACAGCAAAAGTAGTTAGTAAAGCGAACTCTACTTTACTTTATTATTTATTACAAAAGCTTTTCATAGAATATCTACAAACTTGTTTTTGAAACTCTACAAAAGTTATGTCAGACTTCACCTTGAATTTGGAGTGTCAGTTTGGTCACCTCATTTGTAAAGAGACATTAATTTATTAGAAGGGGTACAAAGAAGAGCTACTAAGCCACCTTTTAGTTATAGAAGATTAGACTATGAAACACGACTAAGAAAGCTCAAATTGTCTTCATTAACTCATAGACGAGAAAGATATGATGTCATATCTACTTATAGAATTCTTAGGGGGATTTTTGGGGAACATCTAACTTTTTTAATATTAACGAAGATGCTAGGCTGAGGTCATAACTATAAATTGAAAAAAATTTAAAACCACTGTAAGGCAAAACTTTTTAGTTAAACGAGTTTTAGATAAACTGAACAGTTTAAGTGATGACGTAGTAGAAGCTACTAGTTTAAATAGTTTCAAAAACAAGTTTCATGAAAACGAACAAAATATTGTACCTAGTCTTATGTTAACTATATTGTTTGATTTCTTATCTTTTATATATACTTTGTAATATTTGTATTTTTGTAATTTGCTATTATTGCAAGAACTTTTTGTAAGTATTAATTCTTTTGAAAATTATTTTTACTTTGTGAGAAGATTTCATTTATATTATATTATTTAGTTTAGTACATACAAATATTTTGTAATTTGGGCCACATAAGCTCTGATTTGGCTCGATATCATTATATTATAATAATAATACTCATGTTACTCGTGTTATTCCCAAAAATCACCTAACGAACATAAAACAGCTGGGTCTAAATAAACATCTTTATAAGGCCATACATAAAGCTGTACTCTTCGCGACGTCCAGATGTGTACAAAAGTTTTTGGGAGATACTCCAGCATACCAAGTCTCCTATGGCTCGATAAAACGGAAAGGGTCCCACCAGAGCTCAATGCTTTTGATACCGTAGGTATCTGGGATGAGTGAATTTTTCCCTTAGAGGGAGTATGAGCCGTATGGCTAAATCTGGTTAATACTCAAAAGCAAACTTAATTCCAAGCACATAGTAAAAGTAATAAACATACGCAATACCACCTTTCACATAGTCCTCATTTGGCGTTATAA